GGAAACAGGGGGTCAGACCAGGGGTGGGGATGTTCACAGGTGGTATTGGAGGTGCTCGGATCTGGTATATGACACATACCAGGTTCAAGGGAGCAAGACTCAGTATGGTTGAAGAGATAAGCTGCACAGAGCAGCTTCACCCCAAAGGTTACAAGGTAGACGGGCATGATCGAGTATCACATACATTCGGCCCTCAATGGTGCATATAACCCATTCTGCTTTACCATTCTGTTGGTGAGCATATGGTGCTGACAGTTGGCGTATGATCCCAGCTGATTCAAGTTCCTCGGTGAACGCTGCATTCAGGAACTCACCCCCATTATCCGAGCGGAATACTTTCACTCGCAATCCCGATTGATTTTCCCAATGAGTGCAAACAAGATGCCATGCATCAATAGCCTGATCCTTTGTCGCAAGGAGCTGGAGATTCAGGATGTTTGTATGGTCATCAAGAAAGATGATAAAATAACACTTATTGTGGGTTGAGAGAACGGGAATTGGACCGCAAAGATCAGAATGGATAAGATCCAAAAATTGAGTAGCACGAGCAGACTCTGATGGGGGATGAGGACGGCGAGGATGTTTACCCATGATACAGGATTCACACTTGGAAAGAGTAGATCCAGCAGACACGGTAGCACCAGTGGTAAAGAGGGGCAGGCAACAAACGGCTTCACCACCAATGTGCCCGAGACATGCGTGCCATAGGTCAAGACTCGGTGTGACATGAGTGAACGCTGAAAGATCAGGAGGGGATGGTGGGATGCTCGGTGCAGTAATGGAGTGCTGATTGGAGGGAGCAGGGAGAAATTTGAGGTTGACGTAGCATAAGTTGTTTGCCATGGGAATAGCTCCTAATTCAGTCCCTTGATAGACAAGCTCGCAGCGAGGAGGTGATGCTCGAAACACACAGTCCCAACCCTTGCTAAGAATCCAGCCCACAGAGAGCAAGTTTAGCATCACCGATGGTGCATGTAAGCAGTTTGATAGACAAACACGATGTCTGGCTCCACCGATTGACAGGATGGCGACGCAGTCTCCACGGTCAGATGTGGACAAGCTCCTGTGATTAGCTGTACGGATGGTAACAGCATCTGCAGTGGAGTATGACCAGAAGTATGACCGATTGCAGATGAGAGTTGTGGTAGTTCCTGAGTCCAAGATCGTGTTGAATCCTGCAGCAACAAGGCAAGAGAGAGCCACAGAGTCTGCATCTGGGAGTTCAGGTATTTCTGCAATGGAAGCACAGGAGAGGTCCGCTAGGAATGAACTAGGAATGAATTGGCCGCTGCTTCAGTTCCCACAAAGGCTGCAATGACTGTCAAGGGAGGTAAGGCAGTGGGTGTAGGAGCAGGAGGAGTGACAACTGCGACAGCAGCTGTTTCTTTCTTCTTGTTTTTCATCCAGGGAGCTTGTCCCTCCATTCTGCCCCCCTTTGCATAGCAGTGAGCATGATCGTGATTGCCCTTATTTCAACCAACAGTGGTGCAGAAGATTCCCTCCAGATTATGGCGGTGCTTCTGCAGGCCCGTGATTGAGTTGATATTTCCAAAGGAAGATGAAGAGGTTACTGTATTGGCATACTCTGAGCCAGGATGTCTGCCCCCACTCAGTATTTGCTCGTCAATCATCCGAGCCACTTTGGCTGAGATGCGTGCAATGCATGCATCAAAGGCAGAGGGCATCACAGGAGCGGGTGAAGGGGTAACTGCAGTAGCAGCACCCAGAGAAGTTGAAACACGGCTTCAGCATCAGTATAGACCACCCCCATGTGAAGGAGACATTCCCAAAGCACCGAGTGCTGCCTGACGTAATTAGAGGCATCAGCAGCATTGTGCATCTGTAATGTATAGAGGCTCTGTCGAATGACATGTTGAGACCCCATGTTGATATGACCAAAGTGGTCTTTGAGGGTTTTCCACACGTCACGAGCAGTGACCTTATGACTAGTGGAGACAAGCTGTTGGATGGTGACAGACAGACGGCAAGTGATGATAGCTTTAGCTTTGAGATCCTTAATGAGCCATTCACGAATGGCAGTTGTCTCAGTCGCTGTAGGACTAGCGGGATTGACTGCAACTGGCTTAAATGAGGTGCTGCCCAGGATGTCGTCCAGATCAACAGTTTCTGTGATGTGACACCACTGGTCCTCGATTCCCAGAGCATAAGTGACTTTGCATCTCCACGCAAAATAAGTATCCGGACCCATCAGTTCTGGGATGTGATCAAGTTTCCTCATGTTGAAGGAAGATGATACAAGAATATACCGAGTTGCTAAAACAGTTGTGCACATCAGTTATAGCTCAATGGATTTCATGTAGAAATTGCGGCTCATAACCTGTTAGAAGCTAACATACAGAACACGCTCAGTGTTGGGAGACAACAACTAGACATTATGAATACCTAACACACAGAACACACTAGAGAGAGTATTGTAAGAGATGGCGGGACAATGAGAAATGAAAGAACATACCTCAGTGTTGGGAGACAACAACTGAGGTATGAGGAAATGAAATGATGTGTATTATATATGTGAATGCACATGATAGAGTAGAAAAGGAAATGTATGGTGTGCGATGATGACAATGATGATTCAACAGTCAGGAGTAACTAGAGTAGGACTACTACGGACAAGTCCAGAGTAGAAACAGAACGGAGGTAGACTACCCTAAGGTAGAGCCAGAGATATAGTCTAATGATTGAACCCAAAGACTTGGAGATGGACAGGAGGTAAACTTACAGCTGTTTGCATATGTAATGGTACTGGCGCCTCGATGTAAAATGAAAGATGACATAGACCAAAAAAAGACTTACGTAAATTTTACAAGAGTTGCATACCACAATCATCAATATCATGGCAACAGAAAGATCTCGTCCGATTTGAAGCTTGCAGCTATTCGTCTGCATGAACAAGGAATTCTTAGACTCTGCGAGATCCTCGACTGTGTTGGCTTCTCCTGCATGTCATTTTATAGAATCAAGAAGCTCTACAACGAGACTGGCAATGTTGTCAAGCCAAGGAGCCAATACACTGGTCGTCCACGTGTTTTCAATCTCGAAGACCTCCATTTTGCCCCCGATCCAAATGCTGTTGATGACCCTGAGCTATCGGAATTGGAAGATGTTGATGAGATGTCAAGGACACTGCCATCGTCATCCGAGCTATCGGAGTCATTGATGAACTCTGCACTTTTGAATGTCTTCGGGTCACAACCCACGTTGTAGTAGATTCAGAAGCTGAGATCTGAGACGTCACGGACTCACGGTACTACAACTCAAGCCTTCAAAATATCATCAAGTCCTTTTGTGGTCTATGTTATCAGTTGTTTTACATTGAGGTGCCAGTACCATTACATTTGCAAATGGCTATAAGTCCGGAGAGACAGGAATGAGCAGGAACTAAGATGATATTCAAACTGAGGAGGTACAGAGTTTTACAGGAGTTTATATATTGTAGGTACCAAGTAAGTAATCAGTCAGCATAGTGAAAAGCTATGTATGAGGCATGTGGAAAGTCTATTAGTAAGTATACAACAGATCAATGAAATGGAGTTGGAAATGGATGCAGAGAGACGGATCTGTAAGCAAGGCAGAAAAGTGTATAACTGGTAACCACAGAAAAGGAGGTCTTAAAGGAGGTAAGCATAAGGTTAGGTTTAGATCCGGAGATGAAATTGGAGCGCTGGACAGAAAGCAGGGCGGAAGTCCGGGTTTTACAGGGGAGGATCTAAAGTTCCAGGTACAGAAGTGAGGGATATGACAACCACTAACATATCACACAATTGTGTAGCTATCTTCTACTCTCTCTTGCTGAGCTCAAAGTTGCACAACCCAAATTTGTGGTCCTCAGTGAAATCATCCAGAGCTTGCCAATACTTGATTGCAAAGTCTAACATGACAAATGTTATCATAGCACTTGCTCAACACAATTTTTTGAGAAAAAAAGTACATAGCACTATTCATTGACATTGCAGGACTATTTGATTCTAAGAGACTGAGGCGATTCGTGATGATTTGAATGTACTAGCTCAAATGTCCGAACACTAAGTGAGTCTGAACTCGTGGGTACATCTAGTAGTGTCAGACAAAAAATTAGAAAGATTTCAAGCGGCTGATTTGAGTAAGAACACACCATTTGAACACTCGAGATAGTATCTTGCCTAGAGAAGTATGTTCCTTGACAATGTGACGGTTCAAGGATACTAAGGCCAGTCAAGAGATCTCGTAATTCATTCATATTCATGAAGGGTACACTTCCTCTTATATTTTTTGAATGCCCTTATTTCCGTGGCCAGCAATATCCTTGACTCTTTTTGAAGTGTGATTTGATCTACCATGAAGTCGAGGTGCTGCATCGGTATGTCTTCGATAGGTCTTGGGTATTTCTGCCTTCGATATTGCTAGCTGGATGACCACTGTCCGTTTGGACTACCACCAGATGGACAGTGGACATCCAGCTGGCAATGATGGCTACCTACTTACTGAGGATGGTTGAACAAAGTTGTGACTCTAGTGTGACACCCACATCCGCGAGAACACATATATCATCAGCAAAAGTGCCCAAACCTGACGAGGTCTTGGATGGCCTAACAAGACCATACACGACCTTGTGAATATTGGAGGGCCTGCGATGCCTTGCGAGGAAATAGCCCCGTCTTGGATGGCCTTCTGAGAGTGCGTCTAGGATGGCTTTTCAAGGGTGTGCTAGGTAGGTTGACCTTGCGAGGCTGCTAAGGCTTTCGAAGCTTGCAAAGGTATACTAGGCCTTGCTAGATCACTCGAGACTTGTGTACATTAGAAAGCCTTATGAGATCACTTGAGTTGTGTGTACTTTGAAGGGCCTCAAGAGGCAATGCATTAGTGTACAGTATCAAGATACATCATGTGTATGAAGTCCAAGTCCATATCAGTAAAGTCCAGAGCGTGATCAAGTCGATGGCAGCGGTCAACAAGCAGCGAAATGATGAATGAAGAATGAAGCTGCAAGAAAGTTTGTAGTCCTAGTAACCATTCTTGCGTCGACCAGAAGTTCTTTGTGGGGCGTCCAGAGCCGTAGTAGCTTTCTTTTTTCCTTTTTGCTTTGAGGGCTGAGTGAGGGGTGGAGGGGTGAAGTTGTTGTCATTGTCAGTCAGATCTGACAGTGGGGATGAGGTGTGTGGAGGTACTGGTGCGGTCGCTGGCCGGGACTCCTAATCATGACATCAACAGAGTAAAAAGAGAATGATCATAGTGACATACCCCAATCATACCCAACTGCTCAGCCACAAGCTCACCTACTGAATCCTCATGCTCATCGCGAGTAGTACAACGAGGTTTCGGCTTCGGTTTCGGCTTTGGATGTGGAGGCTGGTCCTCATCGTCATGGTGAACAGAGGCACTTGCAGGATGGTGTTGCTTGCTTGACCGAGGTCTTGATTCCTCTCCATCAGAATCTGCAGGGCCTGCTCAGATCAAAGCACGAGCTGTATTGTGGCCAGCAGCCTCAGTGGAATACCGAGGCTTGAACTTTGGTGGCAATGGGACGTGGGGATCGGACTGGCGCCGTTCATGAGCATCAGATTCTGAGCAGTGGGTTGGGTTTTGAGCTGGTACCAGTTCATCTTCTTTGTCATCCGAAAAAAATACACCATGATGGCGCTGGGGCAAGGACTTCTTAGGTAGTGGGTGCTGTTGTCCACCCTGTCAAGGGTGAGTTGGTAGTAGTGCAACCTCATCATTGTCGTTGTCATAAACTGAAGCATGGTGTCGAGTGTTGGCCTTTTGAGGATGTGGTGAGTCGAGGTCCTCACTTGCTTGTTGAATTCATTTGGGTGCACGTGGGATATCCCCTTCAGGGTGGCGCTCTGCAGGGTGGGTGTGCTTGCCACTTGTTGAGGGCTCACAAAGCTCATTAGGGTTGCCTGGATGTGACGGTGGTGAGAATTAAACATCAGTAGCAATATCACATACCATTTGATTGAGCTAATGCAGAACGGCGTGCGGCTCGCTGAGCATGAATTTGTGCGATGTCGTCATCGCTTTCCTTTCACATGAGCTTGGCAGAGTGTGAGTTCTCCTTGGTTGGTTTGAGGTGCCTGTGAACAATTAGAACTGAGCTAACCATGCAGAAAAATGTACCTGTTCCACCACGCAAGGGTGTCTTTGACCCATGGATCGTCGTCGTCGTCGTCTAGCATTTCAATGATAGCCCAGAGGAGCTCATCCAAGTCCATGTCGCCAATACACCGTGTCCAGTGCTGAGCGCTGCTGATCGTAAAGTATGTCTATGGGTTCATGAGAGGGGCATTGATACCAATAGCAAAAGAGCTAAACTTACGATAATGTGAACATATGCGATGATGTATTTGTTAACAGCCGTCAGTCCCCATGCACAATTTTTGGATGGCTTCGCAGAGTTGCGAACATTTGACGAGTCGTTTATGACGGATGATGGTCCAATAAAAAGATGTTTATAAAACTATAGTAACTTCGTTATAAACTTTAAATGATAGCATAAAAGATGAAGACGCACCCTCAGAACAATGTGGTTTCGAAACAGGCTGTGTGTCTTCTCAGCAGCGTCATAAATGCCATGTTCATAAAAGAATGTTGGCCAGTTGTGTGTCATCATGGTGATTTCGCCAGCTTGCAAGGCAGCCATAGCGCTGAAAATAGTGACATCAGTACAAAGAATGAAAAGTAAAACATACATATGAATCAGGGTCCTCGTCAAACCAAACCAACTTCTTCCGAGGGCAAAGTAAACAGGCCAACTGCGGGTGATTGAGCCCACACGTCGACTTATCCTCGATTTCTGGAATTGGCGGGTCAAGAGCATCGGCCTTACTATACATATTCAGCCCAATGTATTGCAGGCCCTTGTGCTTGACGGAGCTCAAATTGGCCGACCTGCCGTCGCTCATACCCTTCGATACCTATCATGCAAAAGATCAGTTGTCAGGGTCAGATTTGAGTAGAAACAAGCGCATATATGCACATATAGTTACCATTGCAATGATCATGTTGAGTTTTTTGCTTGATATGTGGTCGAGCTCGCTCTCGAGACCAGGAATATAGTCGATGATGCCATTGTAAAGTAACAAATGCCGATTGGTGACATCTTCAGGTCTGTAGCGAGTTAGCTGTCATGTGAGATATATATAAGGTACATACTGTTTCAGGATGCGCTTACCCCCTCGGTCAAATTGAAGACTGGTCTTGAAGGCTGCGGAAGGTATGCCAAACATATCCAGAAGGCTCGAAGTCTTCCTTCCCGCATTTTGGTACAGCTCAGTGTCATCCATTTTCGAATCTTCGTGTTTCCTGCTGCCAAAGGTCAAAATGTTATGGCACAATTCAGATTACAATACCTTGTTGTGTGCTTGCAAGAGCCTGATGATATGGAACTGATGAGGTCGTTGGTGCTGGTGTCACTGGAGGAATCCTTATGCTTGCGTTTGCCAGGCCTTGATGGTTCTGGTGACTCTGACCGCTTATTCTTGCGTTTTCCAAGTTTCACGGGCTCTGGAGAGGATCTGATGGAAGAAACGCTAGTGCTTCGTATATACATTGCATCCAAGTCGGGGGGATCAGAAGAGCTTGACGACGCGCCAGGACAACGATGTGAAGACATGATGGTGGTTAGACATAAGGGTTAGGGCATGGGACTGATATCATTAAGTTCCAAATATTTGGTTATGTTGACATGATATTAGGTCACATGATTATATGCACTATATGCGCAACAAGAAGTACAGAATTAATTCTACAGTTACAATGTGAGTGCGTGCAAGTGTGTGACAACAAAAACAGTATGACTATGAGAGACAATGTCCATGGGAAGTGATATAACAACAATGCACCAAGCAATAACGATAGGATGTGAGAAATGAAGCTTGAAGGCGGGACTCATTCTAACTTTAATGCTTCTACAGCAGCAGGTAGTGTCATGAATGCGTCAACATGTTTGAGTGGTACTTCGGCAGTCATATTCCTGAAGCCACAATGAGGGGGTCATGTATAACCATTCTCCCACTCAAACTTCTCCTGTAAAACGACAATTGAAGGAGTGTCCTTAAACCTGCCATGTAGTTGCACAGGTTGCACACTGACACACTGAGGTGCATCCCTATAGTCGGGGTCAATGCAATAATCAAGATATACAAGAAAACACGTACTTCGAGGTGGCCTCACAGACCATGGTAACATCTGGGTCTTCCTTGATGACTGGTGGTGCGTTGACTTTCCCCATTCCCTCTGCCTCATCTGCACTATTGTCATCTTCAGTTGAGCGAAAATTTGACGCGTCCTTCAAGCGTAAAATGAGCTTCTATAATGTAGATATCAGTTTTTGAGAGTAATTCAGATAATAAAAAGATTACTTACCAATGGTCCTGGATGCTCGGGTGTGAAGTTGATTGTGTAGGTGGGCCATCCAGCAAGAAGGTTATTGATCTCCATTACAACCACGTGGTCATGGAAGAAGGAGGTTCTGTTGGCCAAGTCGAGAGGTTCTTCAGTACTGGTAATAATAATAGCCATTAGAACGAAGATTGAGGGATAGAACAATCAAATAATGATAATCAAAGTGTTAATACACCACTGGAAAATGCCATCTGACTTTGAATTAAAATCACGTGATTTTCTAGACACTTGCACGCAGTGATGATTCTACACCCAAACCTCTCCATGGTGGGTATGCTGAATATTGTAATTGGTGAGCGTCCTTTTTGGTTTGCTTAACTCCTCTCCCTATGAAGTCTGGTATGGCATGACCCTGCCCCAAGACTGAGTAGTGGAGCACCACTTCCCCTTCCACCACCACCACAAATTTTGACCATTTTTTTTTTGGCTCACCTTTGTTCCTCAGGCAATTCTGGACATCTCTCTATCCGACTACTTTGTCAAGCGCTACACTTCATCCACGATACCTGCCGCCCAACCTCTCCTCCGCGCAACGAATGAGCTACCGGTTACCTCTAAGACCAATGGTGCTGTTGCCCTGACGTTCAAAGTTCCGGCTTGTGGTACCAGAAGTCAGTACCTTGCTTGAATACTGCATTCACCTACTAAACTATTGTGTATAGAGGACTTCTCACATCAGAGCTTCACGACCTATTTGCGCATGCACCCCCGGCACCTAACTCTGACATCAATCAGCACACCCAAGAAGCGTATGCATGCGCCACTGGCATGGCTACTGCCTCCTCTGAAGGAAGAGTCTGGCCCCATGAAAAAGCACTGTGCGCCTGGTCCGGAGGATGACTGCCCCATCTGCTATGAGAGCATGCATGGCGCAGATGGGAACACCCTCATTTGGTGCAAGACTTGTTCAAACAAAGTGACAGTGTTGGAGGGCTACATTAACCTTGGTGCCGTTGCGGGTTTGAATCAAGAGCGCGATACCAGCTCCTGTGTGTCTATTTCCACTGCTTCCAATCTCTTTGGACTTTCGCCTCATGGCCCCTTTCACCTTTTTTCGTAAATCATGAGCACCTATCTTATTCGATCTAACCATCACTTGCTGCAGATTATCAATACTTTCACTCGAAGATGTCGCGCTAACGACTGCTTACAGATATGGCTCAATATATATGGGTAGGTCTCGCACTTCGCCTTAGTCGAAGCTAATCGTTCCCTCTACCAGGTCGTCCTGTGTCAATCGCTGAGGGCGACTTTGATGAAGATTCTATTGTGACAATGATTTGCCCCGTCCGCTCTATGGGAAGGGGCTCGCAGTGGGTGGTCTTAAACAATCTAGAGTCTAGACTGGACCAATGGTACATCGACCTCCCTGGTAATCTTCAGTATGATCCAGCCAGTGCTGCTGCACCACCCCACGAGCAGCCGAGTATGAACCAACCGCTGCTACATCTAGTCCTGCCACCGAATGTGTGAGTCGTCTGTTACCATCTTTTCTGCATTTCTGTTCACATAGAACATCGGCTCGACACCTCTAGGTATCCACTTACTTCCACCCCCACCAACACCTACCTCACCTGCCACTAGGCCCCATTGTCTGTTCCATCCTCCTTGCGTTATGCTTCTTCTGCACACGTTGCTGCAGGACACATGAGTTCGATGGGAACTTTCACCCCAATTGTGTCATCTGGCATTGGTACACTCCCACAGGTCGACCATGCGTTACCGTCTCGATTATGGTGGAAGCACCAGTACCGAGAGTACCAGCTGACGGTGCAGGTATCAGTGATGATGCAGCAGGCTGGACTCCACGTTGTCAGATCTCGTTCTTATCAGATTGTGGTGAGCGTTGTGGTAAATGAACTACAAGTCAGAAAGTTAGTAATGTGGGACACATAGGTGGCCCGACGGTGAATTCCTGGAAGAAGGTATAATGGCACAGGGGTGTGCGAAGTCCCATTGCCCAAACTAACCACGTCAATTGAATTTATAGCCTTACCCCTGAACTTATTTCTGACACCCTCAACTCCAGGGAACTCGCTTTCATCCACCCCAGGGCCCCCCTTCTTCACCTACTGGTCTGGGTGAGCAGAGTCTCTATCAGAAGAACTAGATAACAATTTGTGATAGAGGCAATGCTGGTCCCTAATGACTGTTCTGTATCTCAGTGTATGTAGCTTGCGTGCCACATGTGGTTGACCAGTTGTGCCGATTTGAATTCCAGAAGGACTTCATCACAAGTCAAAGTCATTGATCGTCAGATCATAGTAGTGGTACACTACTAGGCAAGGCTGGTAAGCAACGATGGATGGTAGGAGCTGGTTTGATGGGCATCTTTGACCTCAATGATGCGACGACATTCAACCGATGTCAAGGGCTGACACTAGAGAAAGCCGTGCTTGACTTGCGCACAGATTCATTCACACACAGACAGCTATACACAGCACTATCAAGAGCGCGATGTCAACGAGACATTTGATCGCTATTCGGAAGAGAGGGAGAGGAAAAGACAACGGCAAATGTAGTGTACAGACATCTCTTATTGTGATTGACGATGGAAAACATCCAAAGGTGTAAGGAATGCTTGTTAAAAATAACAGAGCTGATTCTAACCTATCTTGTTGCATGCCATTGTCAGTCACAAGTCTGCAAAACTATCCTCAAAGTCGTTCACCACATTCTCCCCATCTTCCGGACCGAAATCAACTGCATTGTCAGTCTCTTCACCTGCGCCATCCTTGTCGAGGACTTGGTCAAGGCCAGAGTAACCGTATTCATCCATCTCATCAGCAACGGTGTCATCTACCATCACTTCGAAGAGAGCTAACACTGAAACTTCATTGTCGTCTGGTGCTGTCTGCCTCACTATTGTCCGAGCCATCATCACCACCTTCCTCATCTCCATACCTGCCCTCTTCCAACTCTTCATGTTCCTCCATATCCTCGTCTTCAGAGCTCTCGTCAAATTCCGACCCACGGTGCTCTTTCTCTCTCCAGAAAGGAACCCTATCCAATTCATCAGCAGTCATCAAGTAGGCATGATGTCTCTCTTTGTATGGATTTATGCCCAACGCCTCCCCTGCAGAAGCGCATGAACATATCTCTGTCGACAAACCTGGTAGTACCTCAGATTTAGTTCATCGTGAAAGGGGGAGTAACTGACATATTGATGTAGTACCAGTCCCAATCTTCATCATGGTCTGCTGTTTGGCAAGCGATGGACTGGTCCAAGTAGATGCTTTGTAAGTTTGTACCGAAATGCTGGGATAATGTGAACACCTCGAATAACCAAGTCAGGGTCCAGGAACCCAAATGCTGATTCATCCTCCAGCAGTCGTAAAATTCCAACTCGTGGCAATCATTTTGCAGCCCAACCAGAGGGTGCAGCGACATTGCAGGGCAAACCAGCAGGACCCACAAAAAGTCAAAGTGCTTTATAGAGGGATGTGCACCTGGTCTGGTGTAGTGGATATTGACATGAAAGACTCCAATAACTCGTGCATACCAGTACGGATGGGACTCTTCGTCGTCGCGGGCAAGAACCATGATGTCTGCATGTGTGCAGGGATTAAGGGAGTCCTGAGCACGCCACATGTCATACAGTAGTGTAGTTGACGCAAAGAACTTTGTGACGATAAATCCGGTTGTTGATAATGACAACAGAGTTTCGCTGCGCAGTATTAAATGAAGTTTCATCACCATCATAGTCCAGCCCTAACAAGTGACCCAGAAGGTGGTCTTTGAGATGCAGAAGAAAATTCTAATGGCATCCAGTGAATAAATATGATTGACATAAATCGTGTATTGACGACTTTACCTTTGTGGCCTGGTCATTTCTGTTCTTTCTGAGCCAGGAAGAAACATCCCAGAAATGTTTCTGCGACGAGGACATTTGATAATGGATCTCTGGTGAGCAATGTGGCAGTGGGTCCTGGTCGACAAAATGAAGAGATGGGCAGAGATCTTCTGTCTCGGGCTGCACATGATCCTCTCTCACAGCCTCCCTTTCACGGTTCACCTCTCTCATCTTCTGAAAAATGCGCTCGCGGCACTGAAGTCTTGCAATTCCATGCACAAATTTGTTCTTATTGGTCTGTGCATAAAATCGCTTCACTCTTCAATGCTCGAGTTCGCCCTAACACTACCATTAGTGGATCATCAGTTATTCATGGATTCTGATACTCACCACTTGTGTAGAGTAGTTGTCCATAGTCCCATACTGCCAGATTGACTTGACATAGTCTCCAAGAGCATGGAGTTTGTAAGTTGAGAGGTTGAGGAGCCGTTGCTTGGAGGGGCCATCACCTTCAGCATCTGTATTTGTCCCTTCTGACCTTTTGTTCTTGCCTTTAGATGCTTTAAGACGCTGGCGCCGTGCACAAGCAGCTGTTTCACGTGGTAGATCATGAGTAGCAAACTTTTTGCATGTATTGTTGCGGAATTTCCAGAGAGCCTTTCCTAACCGTGTTGTACAGTTATCGAAATGGTAGAGCGTTGTCTCTGTGTGCATACAAAGCTTCCCAAATGCATGCCAGGTGGCTAGCTCAAACAGAAGGTTGAGGATCGAGTTGTTGAACGGTTCCGGTAGAAGACCATCAAATACTGGCATCGCACACTGCCAGCATTGATCAGTGTAACAGCAGCTGTATTACTTATATTCCTACATGAAGCAGGTCTTTGAAATCACGTGCTGCAAGCTTCATAAGACCTGATACATTATCACTGAACTTCCGGATGGTGTCTCATCCAAATGTTGGTATGAACGATACCTATATTGTGTTGGACACACAAATATATGAGAAAAACCGACTTACCGCTCATTGAGATCTTGCACAGCGGTATCTCCATATGAATACAAAATTTGGAGAAGGTGAGTAAGGGTTGCCTTCCATACTCCTAACTCAAACTCGTGCATAAAGTCGGGCACGAGCATCGAGTGGAAATCAAAACCGAACTTGGCAAGCTTCTCCAAAAAGGCATTCTGATACTCACAGTTAGTCAACTTTGAAAGCTCGATTCAAATCATACATACACGAATAGGCGCGACAGAGGTGGCACCAATGATTCTCTCAATTGCAGAGCTGACTACACTATAGCCTCGAATGAATATGAGTTCACAGGCTCGTTCGATGAGACTACGCCATGAATGATTGTTGACTCGAGAATTTCTGGTGTGCTGTCGTCAATCGAACTTTGTCCCTAATTTGAAAATGTTGTCTTTGCTAACAAGACACCGCAGGCATGGACACCTCCCAAGGAATTTCATGCATGCAAGTAGAACCCTGACATCGTAGAGATTAGTATGGTGCGATCAAGTAAGATGTGAAACAGACTTCTCTGGATAATCAGCAGAATAAGTGAAAAAATGTGGAAATACATGACGAAAGACTCCATCAGGGAACTTGACAACAAAGCCATGTCGATATGCATCTATGAAATCAGCATCGAGTAGGAAGTGCCAAATGGCCTGCATCAATTCTTGTTTGCAGTGTGTGAGTACTGCTCCTGTCACACTACAACTGAAAGTCTTCTTGTAGAAGTCTTGGATAGTATCCGACAGCTATACACCTAATTAGTAGTTCGTATCTTGAGTTTAAACAAAGACAGACCTTTGGAATATATGCAAGATGATGTGCTGCAAATGACGTTGGCTTGCCACAAATATACTTTGTGTTACGGCTGTGCTTATCTTGCTTCTTTTTCCCTTGATCCACGCTTACTACGCATGTCTCTTATCATGCTATATTTAGTTCAGTATTACTCAGATGCCTCATTGCTTACGCATGTGCTTACTGATACATACCTATTATTACATCACACCCTGTACCCTGTATACTATATAAACCCTAGCTAGGTGACACTGATTCTAAGTTACCTCTTCGGTACTTAGTCCTTACTTGGGCGTTCTTTAGACTTCTGTCTAGAACGTATCACCAGAATAGTTTATATGGCTTTGTGTGAAATGTTTTGGCTGCAACTTCTGTGTATGCTGATTTGAGGACCTCTAATGGTTTGCGATAATAGAGCCCATCAACATCAAATTCAGGCGCGTGATCCTCAGAAGAGAACTTCTCTTTTTCACATGGTAGCCGGATTTTCACTGAGGCCTCAGTGCCATCCATCAGATGAGAATATGGATGAGGCAGGGTCGTGTTGGGCCTTCTTGAGACATGATGCCTCCCTAGGCACATTAAAATCTAGCAAATCCTCCCGGCAGAAATCCTCCGCTAACATGACATCATTGACCAAGCGATTGAGATCTTGCAATGATTTCGAGATTGACGAGTTATAAAACTATGTCATGAGCCGAAAAACTGTAGCGTTAAGGAATGGTGCAAAGTAATCATGATGGACCACTTCAAGTGACTGTCCAAAGCCAGCATACCATGGCCATTCGTAATTGGCGTCCCCATCAACATGCTGGAATGTTGAGGAGTCACAAAGTGCATCAAAGTACACTGAATGTTCGGGGTCGTATGTTGGAAATGAGTGAGGGTATTCACGAAAAAGGTTGAATGCATCAGTGTCTGTACAATATTGCTCGGTAGGGGGGGCATGCTCTGATGATGGTCTGTCATTGAAGTCCATGGCGATGTCACCAGGGTCATCAGGCGCTGGTGCTGGCTCATCTGGGGCGACCGGAGGTGGGGCAGGAATTGGCAGGGCAGGAACTTCATCACGATAATGCTTGGGGAGATGTATCTGGCGGTTGGGGCGCCCAGATGGTCGTGGCAATTCCGACATGTCAATATCTGGTACCTGTTCATATGATAATACTACATGAATATCAAGGTTAAATTTTTAGAAATAATACTCACTTCGTCAACACGAGGCTGCTGCTGCTGTCGTCAACGATGCTGTGCCTCACATTCTTCTTCCTGTTGCCGTTCTTCCTCTGCACGGGCAGCTTCAGCAATTGCTTGTCGGCGCTCCAGCCGTTCAGTAAGCGCTGATGTTGTGGCTACATCACGCATGCAGCAGTACCTGCTGAGGTGCATGGAAAGTCCACGGTCATGAACTTCAACATCACAGTTCAGACAGTTGACCATAGAGATAAAAGCAAGCAAAAAGAATAGTAAGACAAAGTAGAGCCGCATCAAGAGGTGCTGCTGGAGAGGTGCTGGTTCATTGATGATGATTGATGAGTCTTAAATACACATAGTATGAGATCAGGTCCGAAGGGAGGTGTTTCAAAGGCATGAACCGAACCAGAAATAGGACTCGGACCGTACCTTTGAAACACAAACCGTTACTAGAAGTGAGGTTTCCCTTGCAATCCCGTATGAGACATTGCCGATCTTGAAACCGATAGGATAAGGTCTGGGTAGATAATCTGGGTGACAGTCGAGATCAGTTTGCAATCGAGATCACATGCTTCTGCTCAGTGACAAGATACCAAAGATAGCGCTCATCTCAAGATGTGGAGCTAAGAGAGGGTTGAGTTCGCTCTAGAACCCATCACCCGGACCAAACTGCATGTTTCACACCATTGATGGATAAGAAAACTGTATATTATAGCGCATATAATAAATCGGGATTGCACGAACATTTATGACCTCTCAGAGGTGCAGCTTGAGACTTAGACATCGAAAATGTTCAAACTACAGAGACCTTTGATGGGGTCGTCAAATGCAGGACGTGTATTCCTTGTCGCAAATGGTTTCTCGCTGTGCTTGCTTCTCCGCATGTTCGAACTTCCAACGTGTTGTCCGCGCAGCTTGGGGTCGAATGCTTGGCATGTCCACTGAGGTTGGTGGATATCAAAACATCAAAATAACGTACCATTTGCCTGCACAAATGAAGTTTCCCTCGCAACCCCATCCTAGACAGCGCCAGTCTTGAAATGCCTCGCAAGGCTGCCGCGAGGTTGAGAGAGTCTAGTGAGGCCTTACGAGACGAGTATGCGCACCTTGCATAATGACGAACAAATACATTCAAGCCTCGGAAGGCATCATGTGGCCGTGGGAGACTCTCCGGACCTTGCCGGCCCTTGCCAGATTTGGGCACTTTTGCTGATGATGGACTAGTTTTGCTCTCGGCATGTATATCTTGACGGCGTCTATCAGATTGTATATCCTCTGGTTTGAACCAGCATGTCAGATATCGTAGCTGCAAACCGCGATCGCCTCCTCCAAGCTGCAGTCGAAGGTAACAGTCTATTTTCTCAAAGTGGAATTTGAAACGAGCACAGGTCATGAATATTTGAATAGCAAAGGCATTCGCATACGCGCCTTACTCTAAGTTCCGAGTTGGAGCTGCTCTTCTCACCGAGGACGGCGAAATTATCAAGGGTGCTAACATCGAGAACGCCTCGTATGGTGCGTGTCATTCAATATTTCACTCGACTCTTCCTGCTCATCAGTCTTGCGACTATCATTGTGTAGGTGGTACGATCTGTGCAGAGCGCACTGCGTTCGTAAAGGCAGCGGTGCGTCCTCCTTATCTGATAGCGCTCGTGCACCTTGATCCGCAGCTGAAATATCTCGATATCAGAGTGAAGGCAAGCGTAAGTTTGCAGCACTTGCTGTCACGACGTATGCCATTGACCGCCTTGCACGAAACAATACACTAATACATTTGCTAGCGACGTCGCCTCGCCAATCGCACCTTGTGGGATGTGTCGCCAAGTGATTCGTGAATTTTGTTCTCTGGACATGCCCATCCTGCTGGCTGCATCTTCCTACATGGAGAAGAAAGATGGAGTGAAAGAGCTTACTCTTGAGGAGTTGCTTCCATATAGTTTCGGACCTGAAGACTTGGACAGAGACCGTGCTCCTCCTGCTTGAATCCATAGTCATATGCACCCAATGTAAGAATACCGTTATCGAGTACTTACATTGTGCATGTCCTCCCGAAATAGGTCTAAATGGGATACAACTAGTTGAGTGGCTGTGAAAAGTATACCGAATTTTATCACGTGATGGCTGCGGGGGAGTAGGGGATAGAGTAAGTAAGACACAACATACAACGTGTACATACACATTTGTTCATCCACCACGTCCTGGCATGGCTCCCTGGCACAGGACAGCAGCTTTCATATGGTCAACGCTAGCTTTTCTATTTTACTTTGGTGCCACGTATGCTGCTGACCCAGAGCATGCCATATCCTACTTCGAGAATGGACCAGCTCGGCTGTTCTTCTTCGATGATACAACTGTGAGGCATTCATATCCGACTCAGGGTTCAATTTTTCATTCATTTTATCTTCTAGAGTGTGATATACCATGATGCCATTTTCGAGGACATATATGTTTCTCAGGACGAAGGCAAGACCTGGGCACGGGCAGAAGGCATACAACCTGGTGAGGCTGCTATGCTTGTTGAGCACCCATTCAATAATCGCGTGGTGCGTAATTCTTTATACTCCTCGTCCCAGTTCCATTTCCTCTAACTGATGTGGTATTCGTTCTCTCTAGGCATACGTGTTAACCAATACATACACACATTACCGCACAGACGACCGCGGAAAGACCTGGCGCACATTCGACGTCCCTGAACGAGTTGCCTACGTCCCACAACCACTATCATTCCACTCAGATCCCACCAAGTGGCAGTATACCCTCTTCCAGGCCGCCAAATGCGAACTAATTCCCTGGGGCGAACGCTGTCAAGCTATAGTGCGCACCTCTCTTTCTCTTCATATTACTTCTGTTGTTCAAATATTTGTGTAGACATTCTATACCAAAGATGGATTCGCATCACCACCACAAATACTCCTAGATGACGTATCCCGCTGTCAATTCGCTCACAGCAGCAAAGACTTCAAACACGACGCCCACGAAGACCTCGTCTACTGCGTCGCCTTTGACACTTCCACCACGACTGGCTCGCACAACATCGCAAGCAGCCGCCTCTACTCCAGCGCAGACTTCTTCGCCACTGGCAAGCAAAACGAAGACCTTGGCATTGGCAAGAACGCCAAGGGCGTCGTAGCGTTTGCAATAGTGTCCAAGTTCGCCGTGGTTGCGCTCAAGGATTTGACGCCCGGCAGTGATGGCGACATGCTGTTATATGTCACAGTAGACACCAAGGAGTGGGCAAAGGCACAGTTCCCGCATGCCTCCCAAGCGCGCTTACGCGAGAACGCATACACCATCGTAGAGTCTACAGTCCACTCCCTAGCAGTAGACGTCGTCCTGCACGACATAAGCACCGTCGGTACCCTCTTCGTTAGCAACTCCAACGGCACCTACTTCGTGGAGAGCTTGAAAGATACGAATAGGAACATGGCGGGTTACGTCGACTACGAGACCATTTACGGCGTTGAGGGTGTCGGTATTGCCAACGTCGTTGCCAATGCACAAGATGTCGAGAGGAAGATGGCTGCCAAGCAGATACGGTCGATGATCACATTTAATGACGGTGAGGAATGACATCCCTAGTGTTTTTGTCGTCAATCTGACCTTACATATTCGCAGGCAGCTCGTGGGCGCCTCTTCGTGCTCCTAGCGGTGACTGCTCTGACGACACATGCTCGCTGCACCTGCACTCAGTGACAGACATGCACAACTATGGTCCCGTTTTCTCGTCCCCTGCACCAGGCTTCGTCATGGGCGTGGGCTCCGTCGGAAAGACGCTTGCGCCATACGAGGAGTGTAACACTTACTTGAGCACTGACGCCGGCCTGACATGGTCCAGGGCCCACGAAGGCGCATATCAATACGAATTCGGCGATTCGGGTAGCATCATCGTCATTGTCAACAACGAGCAACCTACCGACTCGATCATGTACTCTACAGACATGGGCCAGACCTGGTATGTCCCCGCATGTGCATATATGCGGTCTCACTGAAACTCCCTACCCCACAGGCAAACATATAACGTCGGCATCAAATTCCGCGCCAGGGGCCTAACGACGGTGTCGGATTCGACATCTCAGAAGTTCCTCCTTCTCGGCCAGGTGATGCGGGAATCCCAGCAATCCGGGCAGGGCCGCAACGCTGCCATCTACCTCGACTTTGCCGCCCTCGGGCGCAGGCAGTGTGGTGAAGACGACAAGGAGCGATGGTACGCAAGGGCCCATTCCGAATCAGAGTGTATTATGGGCGCCAAGGTCAGCTACCATTACATCCTTGCCACAAGAACGTTCCTGCTGATCCACTCCTAAGCAATGGTATAGCAGGCGCAAGGCTGGTGCAAATTGTTACATGGGCGATAAGTTCCATGATCCGGAGGGTCACGACGACAAGTGCGAGTGCGATGTGCACGATTACGAGTGGTACGTTCCTCTCGTCTGTCTGCTCATCTCGTCTGCTCATGGATTGTTCCAGCGACTACAACTTCGTACGGAGCGATGGAAAATGCGTGCCTTCGGGTCCAGAGCATATACCCAGCACCCAATGCGCCCAGGGTACAGCCAACGAGAAGTATATGGGGTCATCGGGATATCGCAAGATCCCCGGGAACAAGTGTGAGGGCGGCAAGCGCTTGGACGAGCCTGAATCCAAAGACTGTTCTCAAGGTAAGCATTTCAGAAGTGGCGGAGGTTCTGTGTCTGATATGTACATCATTTGCAGCTGAACCTGCCGAAGGAGCGATCGTCCAGCAGATCGTTTGTTTCTGTTCTTACTTTTATTTCCAGAGTGGATGACTTATGATTTCGCAGCATCCGTTCACTAGTGATATTGTGCAGAGCGAGTATTTCAAGGATTCGAAGGTGAGCGTCTTGTAGTTGTTAAAACATCAGCTCACGCCTGCCTCTATAGACCGTCCTCGTCCGTCTTGCAGACTTCTCGATATGGCAATCCAGCAATGAAGGCTACACATGGGAACGCAAATACGAAGAAGAGCGTTTCCTAGCGTTCTACATGCACGCACACACCAAAGATCGTGCATATCTCCTCACAGACACTAACAAATACTACTTTACAACCGACACCGGCCGCTCCTGGTACACCCTCTCCGCACCTTCCCCTCCCAATACCTTCGGCGCCCAAGTCCTCCGCTTCCATTCTGTCATCACCGACTACCTCATCTGGATCGGTAACGTGGATTGTCAATCGGGTCGCGAGCACTGTCGCGCGCAGGCGCAATATACGTGGAACAATGGGCGGGATTGGAAGTTCGTGGAGGACTATGTGATTAATTGCGATTGGGCGCGGGATGATGAGCTGCGGATCGATTCTTCTCAGATCCTATGCGAATCGTATGAGAACAAGCAGGGCTCGCAGGTGTTTTTCGGGAAGGAGAATGCGTTGCAGCTTGTTTCTGGGACGGATTATTTTGCGAAGAAGACGAAGTTGTTTGATCATGTTGCTGGGTTCACCAAGTTTTCAGAGTTTTTGATCGTTGCGGAGGTGCGTTTGTGTTGTGGGTGCGTTTGTGGGATGGTTGATTTATTTATTTTTGGGTTTGTAGTACCTCCCGGTGAGGGGCACGCTTAACCTCCAGGTTTCACTGGACGGGCGAACGTTCGCTTCTGGGAGCTTCCCTCCTGGCATGCATCCAGATTCTCACGTAGGTATCATCACTGCTCCCTGAACGCTGGAATTGCTCATCACGTCTCACAGGCATACACCGTCCTCGAATCAAGCACCAAAGCCATCTTCCTCCACATGACCATGAACGAATGGCCCACGCCCTGGGGCAACCTCCTCAAATCCAACTCCAACGGAACTTACTTTGGATTATCCATTGAGAACGTGAACAGGAACCAGAACGGCTTCGTCGACTTTGAGAAATTCGCGGGGTTGGATGGGATTGCTATGGTTAATATGGTAGCTAACACTGCGGAGGCTGCGCTTACGGGGCGCAAGGCTCTGCAGACGAAGATTACGCATAACGATGGTAGGTTTTTGCGCTGTATCTTTTGCAGTTTGTTTACTTACGGTTTATCGATGATAGGTGGTACTTGGAAGGCGCTTATACCCCCTCTAAAGGATTCGCTGGGTCAGACGTATCCCTGTTCATCAGTCGTAAATCGTCTTCTTTTGCATGTGACCGAGTAGCTGATTAGATCTTATTTAGGGATGTGCGCTCCATGTTCACGGGTTTACAGAACGCTTTGACGCCCGGGCAACATACAGCAGTCCATCCGTCGTCGGCGTCGTGATGGCAGTCGGAAATGTAGGCGAAGTACTCGCTCCCTACACCGAGAGCGATACCTTTCTATCCCGAGACGGCGGCTTCACATGGGAAGAAGTACACAAAGACGCGCATCTCTGGGAGTTCGGCGACTCAGGCTCTGTCATCGTGATCGTAAACGACGAGGAACCAACAGACCATGTCTTGTTCACCACAGACGAAGGGCTTAGTTGGCGAGAGTTCAAGTTCACAAACGAGAAGATGAGAGTGAGGGATATCATGACCGTGCCTGAGGATACGAGTCGGAAGTTTATGCTCCTGGGTCAGTATCCTGGGACGGCGGGTTCGGTGATTGTGCATTTGGACTTCTCGTCTCTTACGCATAAAAAATGTGAGCATGATGATTCTTTTGTGCTCGTCCATTGATGTTGAAGGGATTTCTTCCAGGCGTCGTGGATGTGGAAGATCCTGGACACGACGACTTTGAGTTGTGGAGCCCCAGCGAAGAAAGAGACCAACTTTGCTTGTTCGGACGACAGGTGAGCCGCCCAACTCCAGTTTTTGTTAACCCCCTCATATGATATGCAGACGCTTTACCATCGCCGCAAACGAGACGTAAACTGCGTGGTTGGAAACACGCCCAAGGCACTAGACAACATTATGCGGAACTGCACATGCACGTTGGAGGACTTTGAGTGGTGAGTCGTGGATTGTGATACCACACCCTTAGAGCTAATTTATGTCTGGGTACTGAAAAGCGAATTCAACTATGTCCGCAAAGGAGATGAATGTGTTCTTGTGCAGGGGATGACTCCACGAGCGTCTGATGATTCATGTCGCAATGGAGAAGACTACTGGTATGAGCGCACGGCTTACCGCAAGGTCTTCTACTCCACTTGTGAGGGCGGTGACCGCATAGACCGAGGCACGTCACACCTATGTCCTGGCATCAAGGGTCACAGCGCGATGTTCTGGATGATGGTGATTATGTTCCCCTTTGCGATCACAGCGCTTGTCGCGTGGTGGTGGTACACCAAGAGTGGATTGGCGAGAGGGCGAGTGATGTTCACTTTATATGTGCACGTTTTGTGCTTATTGCTGATGTACAGGACGATCCGGTTACCTGGAGGTGAATATTCGCATGGGACAGGGTCTGGTGCGTTGGCTACGCTGGCTTCTGTGCCATGGTTCCTGCTCGGGCTTGCGGGCATCGCGTTTGAGTATGTAGCGTCGAGCTTGGAGGCTGTGTCGATGGGATACCGCACGAGGCGTGGATATAGGGATGTACCTGTAGATGAGGATGCACAGGTGCTGCGTTTTGAGGACGAGGAATGAGCGGGGCGGGGATCGTACTTAGAAGGTACAGTGTCGACTATTATATTAGCACGCGCTCGGCGCACTGTCCATATGGATAGCCATCGCTGATTGCTTTCCTATGTATGCCAGTTTTTATTCTTTCGTGGGGTATCATGGGATGTCTTCGTCCAATGGCATTAAATTAAGCGTTGAGTTGGACGAAGACAACATTAGTACTTTGCAGTAAATAACACAGCGAATACAGTGATAGCAGGTATACATAAGGTGATCGTCCAAATTCGATCTTTTGACTAGTCTATGACACCAAGATGATCTTCCTTGATCGTTCCGATTGCGAACTGGCGTCGCGTTAGAAGCTAAAATAGTCAAGCCAAACATAAAAAACTCACAATTTCAGTGGCGTCAACGCGAGTTCCAACTATTTTTAGTCGTACACGAGTGTTTTTCTCGATGATCTGTTTGAGAGGCAAGGTAGGGACATTAGGGGGACGACACATGGATGGACGATACCTGGTCTTCTGATGCAAACGATGGTGGATTCGATGTTGGATCGAATTTCATGTCTGGATGTATCAGCTATGAATGGCGGGGGTAATGGTGAGCGAGGCAGAACCAAGTCGCGTTGAAACTCACCTGGTGCGACACAAAAACTGTTAACGGCCCGACGTCAGCAAAGAAGCCCATCTGCGTGCCGTTCAGTACGCAGTGAGGGGATGTAGTAGGGCATAGAGCACCTTATTAACGTTGTTCACGACCCCGTCGACCACTTCTCCCTTGAATGGCTTGAAGACTATTGCACGATAGCGAGTGATGAATTCGGCTTGACCACTTCCGCTCAATACCATGCCTTTTCCGATATCAAGGATGGAGACGACTGCGATGATGTATCCGAATGCGCCTGAACATGTTCCCTCTACGTCTGAGTAAAGTTTTGACTCGAGGAACTGGAGCATCCGAGGACCAAAGTATGACGGATGGAGTAAGATTGTGTGGGTCAATTCTTTCTGGGAATTTAAATTTATTTATGACGGGATGAAAAGTGATCAAGCTCTCTACTCACGATGAAGAACATGGTGGCTCGGTATACGAGCGATCCTGTCGATTCGGGCAGAGCGTAAGTTGTAGATGCGGTAGATGACGTAACACAGCGGCTACTCATTAGCAGGCCGAGGACAAGCTCGCGAACGTAGAAATGCAAGCTAGTGCAACTCTAGAACTACGGTGGTTTCATCATTCGAAGAATTAATCAAGCTTCTAGTATGGGTGGCTTGTCGGTACTACTTGTATAGTAGCATGCAACCTTGCAGTTGCAATTGAATCATGTCATGCACTAACATTTGAATTCGAGTGGATTGAATCGACCTAACAGGAATGCACTTATTGTAGGGGGATGCGATGTATGGGGAAAGAATCATATATATTGGTGCGAGTCGGAGATCTGAGTGCTAGAATCTTGGTATATTCAATGCTATGATCTCAACTCCCAATAGTATAGTGCCCTTTGTATGAGCGTAACTGCTCTTGGCGCTATTCTTAAGTTCTAGTGCAGCTGCAGGCTTTGATGGGTTAGGCGGGCGCGCTTGGCGAATGAACTTCGGGTTACTCTTAATCCCCCTATATGTGCCACCCGAGTATCTCTTTCTGTTCCACCAACTTGTGCTTAGCGCTAGTTAACCGGATCCAGCTCTTCCAAATATTCATTACTACCAATACAATACATTCATAGCTCTGCCCTCAAAGCTTATCCACTTACGGCGGTTCCATTATAGCGGTTCCATTTAGAGCCGTTATGGTGTACAAAATTGGTGGATGTGTTTGCTCGCGACCAAGTACGTACTTGGTTCCAGAGAATGGGAGTCGAGCACGAACATTTTGGTCCAACGCATTTTTTCCGGTGCACCCGACGAGTGGTTCGACAAACGAGGCATGATGGATCTCTGGGCTGTCCCCACCTACTATCTTGTCGGGTTCTGGATTCATGTTATAATAATCACGCGAAGGCAGAGAGAAAATCCCGACTCAACTGTGACCAACTACTCGGGTTTTGATGAGGAACCTGCGGACCACACGGTGAAGGAGAAAATTATGGCGGGGAGTGGATCAACTGACGAGGAGATTCCTTGGATTACTGTTGTGGACCCTTTTTTCCGAAAGAGTTGACGAGCTTCCCTGTGTCGGTCATTTTTCTGCAACCATCTGCCTAATGCTTCAGCCTGTCTGCCAGTACTACTACTGTGCATCTCTACTTCGTCGTTTGCAGTTTTTTTAAAAAAACAGTCGCAGCCGCCGAGTCCGCGCCGAACAGCACACGCCGACTTGCTAACGTTGACTTCAACGTGGAAACTTGACGGGGCGACCCTCTAGGATATGTTTAACGGACGTGCTGACTAGTATGAGATGAACGAACCTGTATGAATGACGGTGTCTTGGGCCACTACTATACAACATTCGCTGGGAGTTGCAATGACTTCCAACTGTCTGCATGCCGCCACGAACAAAGGATGCATCGCCCCTGCAGACCGGTCGGTATGCTATAGGGCCGAACAAACATATAATTATCAACCGCATTGATCGGGTGAGTACATACCTTTAGGATTCGAGCTAGTCACCAAAGTAGTCGCCGCTGATCGGAGACCTTTGATGGAGTCTTCCTACGCCAGAACTTGAACATGTATCCGGTTAGCGTATCTTATTATTTATATCTAGATCGCCAACTATCACGCACGAGTGATCCAGGTAACCGTATTCATCTGCGAATGAGAATGGGGTTTTCCCTGCGTATATCCGTTGCAGAATCATCCGGCGTGAAATGAGTTATACAAACGTTGAGCAGTACAAATTTCAAACCGGGGATAGAGCCCCACCTGGACAGTCACCTGAATCAGACGCCATGATGATGAAACACATTCTCGGTGCTGACGTTGTCTTCGGCGATTCCACTGATTCATTGGAGAACAAGAAGATCGATGAGGATTACGCATTCGACCACTTTTATCGAGGGGGTCACTGCTGACATCGATATCGACACTGATGGGATTCCAGGCGCCAGGAAAGTTTACTTCGTTCCATGATACACCAACAAGCGAATCGAAGCTGCAGTGGGATTTAGCTTGCACCGCACCAAACATGCAGACTTATGCGCAAGGGATTTCGGCGCGTGAGATGGAACCAAGTAACTCCGCTATCTCGATATCCAATACCGTTCAAACGGTGTTGGAACCATCACTTCTCTCTTCTTCGGTGATACGAAGGCTGGCGATGGAAGTTCGCCTGATCTCAACGAGGATCGGGTGGGGGATACCTTTGTATCTCTGCTGGAATTGTTCTGAAGGATGAATTAGTAAGATAAGCCGGGAAGGGTGTAAAGGTGATGTTATGGCACGCACGAGGAGTAGAATTCTGATCCGAGCGCAGTTCATTCAGTTTGATATATGCTCCGATTGGTATGTGCATATATTAGATTTTTTTTGCTGGCCTCTGCATTATATGTAAATGTCACGAATTTGAGTACATTAATGCTACCATGCTGGTGTGTCATGAACCTTGAACCCTCAAGCTTCAAAGGCAAGACAAATTGCGGGACTTCCAGGACGCAGAAACCATGGCGACAGGACGGTCGTTTCCTTAAAGAAGGAAAACAGTCGTTCTGCGCGAGTTGGGTAGCATACGCTGCTAAGATGGAGAGGCGGAGAACGAGTAAGTTGTTGGTTTCCGAGTCCGATACAGTATCCTGTTGAGATGGTGTCATTAGGTCTACTGTTCCGGTACGTACGACTCGTCCCTAGGTTCCATAGCCTTGGGCGAAAAAAAGAATTGGCCAACGTGGGGATCGAACCCAAGACCTTCGCGTATCAGATCGGTGGTGAGCTCCACGGGTGAGCAGAGAGCTCTCCAACGAACTGTATTAGCACGACGCTCTAACCAACTGAGCTAGTCGGCCTTGTTTGATCCGCCCTGCAGAGGAGATTTTACTGAGGTTTGATAGCAGCGACTCCGCTTGTTGGCTTGTTGTGAAGAAACAATTAAACGTTATCATCGAGTTACAAACGTTTTCGCATGGCTATGGTTACAGAAGTTACAGCAGCTTTACGGCCCTTTGACATACTTAAGTTTGTGAACAAAGAGTGTGTTACCATGTACGTGAGCTCGTCACACTGGATTTACGAGTACGTACCCTATCTCAAGCTCAGTTCGAAGGGAATAGTCTTGACTGCTAGTACTTGCTAATGCAGTGGATACAATTGCAAGAGCTGCTGCTAAGTACTTACATACATACTAAGTAATACACTGTGCTTCGATGGCGATTAATATTGTGCAGATCTCAAGTAGAGGCGTGATTCAAGGTCACGAGGTGGCAGTGCTTTAGCGAAATGAAAATGGACGTCCCTGTATCCTTATCGAGAAGTTCAAAAAGTGGTTCAACTTGTCTTTGACCAACATCCTCGTTTCTAAATTTCTGAAAGGCCTAATATTATTCAAAACTTCAACGATGGTCACATATTCCGCGTTGTTTTCTTCTGGCCTTCTTGCGCCTTACCATACTAGAACAACTACTCCTGTACCACCTTCCTCGCCGATGCCGATGCCATCCAGTCCTATGCACCCTGTCGATCGCGATCTGAGCGTGACACCCACACCTGGTAGCAACTCAAACAATGCTGCCGCAGTACCCACTGCGAATGCAGACCGTCCTCGCATGCGCAGGCGTCGCAGTAGCATCAACATTGCCGCGAACCCAATGGCTCTTATCAAGTCCCCAACGCGAAATGTCGGCAGCGCACTTCAGCGCACCGGTGTCATGTCTCCCACTCGAGGTCGTGCAGGCAGCATCGCTGAGAACGCTTCAGATTGTAATAGTCTTTTTGGAAGACTTAGAAGTGGCAGTCTGAATGCAGGCGCTCCATTACGGTGAGTGGCTCCAACGTCTATACTTGAACGACTTCCTGACACCCATTTAATGCAGCCTACGTCGTGCAGTCAAGCGAACTGTCCCACTCGCTCCACCTCCCACTGCCCCACTCCCCGCACTCCCACCGCCATCTCCATCTGCGAAATATACGCGTACTCTCGCGCCTCCTGCAATCATCATACCTGTTCCTCGCCAACCCCTCATGAATTATTTCGCATCCGGTCCCAACACTGCTGGACTACTCAGTCCTGATTCTGTGATGCAGTTCACATCCAATATGTCACCTGGTATCTCCTCCAGCCCTGCTCACACGTGTTATTTTGGACACACCATCGATGAGGAGATGAAAGAAAACTGAACGCCCTCTAATGAGCGCTGCCTTTTTGGACCTTGCTGCGCCTGGTTGCGCATTTGCTCTCATGCATAAATATCCACCTTACTTATTTACTGTTCCAGAATAATTCCCTGCTGCATTTGTCATCAACATTCCACTCATATCCATCCAGTATTACACCAGATCTCTATGTCACTGTGTTTCTGCATCTTTTAAGCTTTCTCCGCTACTGCTCTTGCTCTTTAAAAATGGCTATGCCCGTTCTCGACATTCAGTCTATGTTTCTTTCTGAGATTTATTTTACGGCATTGTAGTATCTTGACATGTGGAATAGAAACTTATTTCTACCGCATTTCTGAGATTCCAATTTAATCACGCTCCGCGACACTTGTTCGAGTGCTGTGTGGCTGTAGTAAAACCGGTTCAGATATATTGTCCTCTCCCTACCCCGCGGCGTGCGCTGGTGTCACGTGGTCAAATTCACCTTAGGTAGACTCGCGGGAGTCGACTGTCGCGAGCAAGACGTATGGCGTCAATATGTGTAATACCGTAAATACGCTCCCTGGCAGTCCCTCACTCGTTCCCATCAACAACGTTGCTCAGAAACCTTCAAAAACCGGCTAACCTTAGACTTCTTAGTCAACTTGGTGCACCCACAATGACATAGTAAGTACTACGTGACACTGATAGAATCTCCCTAGGTTTCAATTTTGATCCGAACACTCCATCAGATTGAAACTCAGAGATTATACCGAAAATATCTTACTCGGAGAATGCTTTGTTCTTGCCATTTCTCCCGACCTTGCGACTACTTGATTCGAAGTAGCAGATTTACATGACAAGGCCCCTGGAAGTTTCTGATGAGTAATGTGATTTTACCACGTCGTTAAGCGTTGATGTGACTATAACGCGGAACAACAGGCACGAGGGTATACGGGTACTGCCGCATACCTGGAAGACTTGAATCTTCGACGACTTATGCGCAATGGCTGACGCAACGGTCAAGAAAAGAAACAAGGATCCTTCCCTGAACAGTTTAGGCCACAACAGATTCGCGCGACGCCCACAGCAAACCTGTGTTTCATAGCCATCGCCCTTCTGTCGCAGCAGATACTTATCGCGAATGTGATACTCTATCTTTTGATGTAACGATGCTGATATAGCAGTGTCTCAGCACCTATCGAGGTGCACCAGGGTGTACTGGGGTCCGGTGAGCATTTAACTGAGCGGCAGTCTCCGATCTCCGGAAATGAGCGTACTAGTTCTACCCTTCCTCGAAATGTACTCACAAATCTATTTCAGCACTGAAACCTTTGCCCTTGGCATGGGGTCAGCTCTTGTCACACCTCGGCACACCCAGTGGGTCCGCTCTATATGTTTTGGTAAGTTTAGCTATGGTATCATGAATCATGACGCACAAACATGTCAGCGAAAAAATCTAGGGTCCATGTATCACGATTCACCCCGATCGACAACCGCCAATCTACAGATCTAGGTCCTTGCCCAAGTTCCAAAATCTATCCCATCACCCGACCCTGGCCGTCTCTATAAAGAGCTCACCGCACGGCTGAGTCCCAGAAAGGGAATACCGAAGGACAAACTTGAGGTGAGCTGTCTGTCATGTTCACAGCAGAGATCTACTAACGAAGCAAATATTAAATAACACATTACGATAGCGACACATGCCTTGTCGTTTGTACATCCCGCCTATGGAATAGCGCAATAAATTCGAGTCTCACATCTTTTTTGGTGATACATGAACGCCCCAGGAACATGACGGACCCTCAATGACCTATCGCAGTAATGTTTCACCAGAATAGCGAACTTTGTGTATCAGACCTTGCTATTATTCGAGCGAGTGATACACTGGACCCGTAAGTTTACACCACATTTTCTCTCAGCCTGAACAGTGGTCCCCCTTCCAAAAGTACGCGATGTTCCGAGAGATCACGACATGTCCACTATAAAGACTGACATATTTCTGAGAAACTTGTCTCCTCACTCGCGCCTCTTATTTCTCCGATAACTCATCTCGGCTTTCACGATAAGAGTCCAACAACCTCCATGTCTCCTGTCGCAACCTGCACCATGACTCCTACTCCTACTGCAACCTGCACCGTCACTTGTTCAGACCCCGAGCCCGCAGGGTTCATTATACCTGACTTCTTCTTTAACGATTTCCACTATCCCTTCCAACTGAACCCTAACTGTTATCCGGTCGAGAGCGCTTCTGCAGAATGGCTTTGTAACGAAGCGCATTTAGTAGAGCCCGAAAAGTCCAAATATATAAGCTTGCGCGCAGGTTACTTCGCTTCAGCTGTCTACCCTCATGCGGATGCTTTCCATCTCAGAGTCTGCTCGGACTTCTTGAGCTGGTCGTTCAAATTAGACGACTGGCTCGAGATCGATAGGTATGATGTTAACGATGCGTGGGGAGTGCGAGATTGCTGTATGTCTGCATTCCGCGATCCCATCAACTTCCAGACGGAAAGATACAGCGCAAAGATGTGCAAATCGTGCGTCGATTTTTTTTGCCATCACACATTCTAAAACTGTCTTCATACGGTCTTTAGATTCTTCGGTCGCTATATGGAGACTGGCAGTCCCGGCTGCGTCGAGAGGTTCATCCACACAATGGACTTGTGGTTCATTTCTGCGGCTAAGGAGGTGGACAACCGCGCCAAGGGACATGTCGATGATGTCGAATCCTACATCGAGTTGAGGCGCGACTTGAGCGGCTGCAAGGCTTGCTTTGCCCTCATCGAATTCGTAAATCAGCTTGATCTCCCCAACGACGTAGTCTCGCACCCGGTCATCATGGCTCTGGAGGAGTCTACCAATGATTTTATTTCATGGTCCAACGTAATGCCCCATTATGTCGTCGAAGCCGGGACGCTACTGACATTACTGCTGACAGGATATTTTCTCCTACAACCGGGAGCAATCTCACCATAGCACACATAATTTAGTTGCCGTGCTCATGATCGACCAAGGTCTAGACCTGCAAGGCGCTATCGACCGTTGCGCTCAGCTATGCAAGAGTGCCACTCAACGCTTTGACGAAAACCTTGCTATCCTCCCCTCGTGGGGAGAAGAGGTTGATAGGCAGGTGGCTATCTACGTTCAAGGGCTGCAGAGCTGGATGGCCGGTTCGCTGAACTGGTCCTTCGAGACTGCCCGCTATTTCGGGAAAGATGTGCATACCGTTAAGCGGGACCGACACGTCAAGCTACTTCCCAAGAAGCCCTTGTAGAGCCCATACCTATTGCTCTAGGTGAGATCGTTTTCACCTCTTTCCTGCAATACCCAATTCTAATTGCGACAACTGGCGTCTTAGAAAGCCACATTGTCATCTATATCCTGCCATGAAGTGTTTTTTTTACGTCTGATCCCATGCTTTCCTTCGTAAGAATGTTTTTGATGGACCTTAGGTTCGTTGTTGTGAATATGTAGCGTAGTATGATACTTCGATCGTAGCGGCGCGGAGTACCTGACTCTCTGTTTGTCTCATCATCTGGTGAACGTGTACAGGCGTATACCACCTTTGTACAAGCCACGGAAAAAAGATAATGTTATTCGTTTTGGGTGAAACGAGTGTGCAGTCCCAAAAGCAGAATCAAACCTTACGATAAGTACAAGTATGACTTTCATGACGTAGGTGGAGAAGCTAAATACAACTCTAGCTAGCACGGTTACTAATATTTCTGGAATTGTATTTAGATCGATGACCGTTGCCGAGTGACACTAGGGATAATTAAGGGTGTACGAACACCTGGTCCTCCCGATTTGCAGCATCATCTGAAAGTACTTACATCAGAGAGGGCGAACCGGTGTAGCAGCAGAATTTCCACGTCCAAGTATGTTCAAGTGCCCCTGCAGCGTTCCGTGTATAGCACTGCCTCCATCTATTTGGTGGCAGGTAGCGGTTAGTGTCGAATATGATATATGAGCTATATCGAGCCGCTTCAGCGAGCGAGCCAGTGTACGGCGTAGGTTATGCAGAGCAGAAGCTTGCCAGTGACCAACTCACTGATCACATCATTCCGTAAGTGTCTAGAACTCCCCTTGCACATTCCTCTCTCTAGTTCTTGCACTAGCTTCAACCACGCAACCGTTCCTCTAGCCAGTGCCAAGTTAACTTGTCCAGATCCTAGCGAGTACCACAAGGCGAATGGTTTTTCCCCTTCTGGTGGGGGGGAGGGGGGAAATACGTCAAGCGTGAGCAGGATCACGAGAAGTTGGATCTTTTAGGTGCATGGCCTAGAATGGAAACCTAAAGGAGCTCTGGGTGCCAATGGATGAGCGCAACATGGGCGTCAGAAGCTGCGTTGAACCTGGACATATACAGTTGGAATCGAGGGGATGATCTTGAAGAGAATCGCATTGGCCATCGTGATTTGCAAACATTCTTGAACCACCAAAATGGTACAGAAGAATGGGTGCCAGATGAACCTGCGAATTAACCCCCCAGCGCAGCCCTATAATCGTAGTAAGTACTAGATCAATGTCGTTACATTTTGTACATGAAAATATTTGCAAATTGGAGATCGCCTTTGAAAAATTGATAGCCGGAAATTTTCGATGCGACCTTTTGGTGGTGATTTTATTATGTAATTAAGACTCGATGTTCACTAACTGCATCAAAGCTGGGATTTGGTCACCAGATCTATATAATATGCAAGTCTAAGGTGCAAACTGCCAGTGCGGCGGCCTTCCCGGCCCTTCCAGGTCAGTCGGTCGTGCGCGTTAGCCTTGTACATTCGAATTTCACCACTTCTCTGACCACTACTATCTAAGCGCTGTCTCTTTTTTACTGGCCATGCTAGGGTGTCTACTTTTTGGCGATACCGAGCCGCTGTGCCCATGTGCTGCCAGCACATTCTTCTGCATAGCGCCATGCGGTATTGCTGTTCTTGTTAGTGCCCATGTGACTCTAGTGTCCGACTCAAGTCTATATCTCCATGGACATCACTTAAAAGTAGTATAAATGGCCTATGGGCCTCTTGCAAGCACCCGGCAACCTGCCTCGTAGTCATGCAGCCGTTCTCTTGCTGGGCCCTTCTGTTTGTGGCCCTCGTCGCGGCCAGCAGGTCGACCTCATCCTTGGTCACCATCCCGTTGACGAAGCTTGACCGCACTGGTTCGTACCTCCAAGGGTCCCCGCATGCCGATCGTGCCCGAGCGTCATTTTTGAAGACCCGAACAACCAGCGGTTCAACGACCGTCCCGGCTTCAAATTTGGCATACATGCAGTACACCACGAGTGTTGGCGTTGGCAGCCCCGCCACCTACTACAATTTGGTCGTTGACACGGGGAGCTCCAACACCTTTATCGGGTGAGTAGCTATGTAGAGGAATGCCTTTTGGAATTGAATGATCGATGATGACGTACAGAACAGGTAAAACGTATGTCCGTACGTCAACCAGTGCCCCCACTGGACAACATGTCAATGTAACCTATGGACTTGGTTTTTTCACTGGCGTGGAATGTTTGTCTTTCTCTCTACTTCGCTCTAGCGTATAGAAGTTGATACGGTCTAACCCATCAGACTCTGACACAGTCACTCTTGCACCCGACCTCGTCATCGCGAACCAGTCTATTGGCGATGCTCTTCAATACGCAGACTTTGAAGGCGTTGATGGTATCATTGGCGTCGGACCAGTTGATCTCACGAATGGCACCCTGTCACCTGATAATACGTTGATCCCAACCATCATGAATAACGCCTTGAAGCAGGGTCTGATCAAAAAGGAAATTCTCGGTGTTTTGTTCGCGCCGCCCGCAACTTATAATGACACTAGTATGTATACATCGTATTTGATTTCATGTAACCTTTCTGATCGATTGAACAGACGGAGTGATTACATATGGTGGCATTGACCATGCTCTCGTGCGTAGAATGTCATGCTTACTGCTATTACCATCCCTAATCTGCCCGTCAGTACACTGGTAAAATGAGCTACGCTCCAGTTACCGAGACTTACCCAGCATCCTTATTCTGGGGCATCAACGTGACTGAGTTGACATGTGGTACACATACCGTCATTCCCCAGTCAACCGCTGGCATTGTCGACACGGGTACCACTCGTATGTATCATTCGATCAATCGCACCCAATAATTACTGAATCCTTACATTGCAGTGGTTCTCCTTGCGGATGATTTCTTTGACGTGTACTTAGACGCCATTCCCGGCGCCTACCTCGATGACGACAACAATACTGGCCTCCTTGTCATCCCCTCTTCCTCCGTCGCGGATATGCAACCCCTTAACTTCAAGATCGGCGACACCGTATTCAGCATGGATATAGCTGCACAGCTAGTCCCATTGGACCAGAACACTGCTTGGGGTGGCCAGGCTGGCGTACAGTACGGCGTTGTCGGTAAACTCGGCACTGACAGCGGCGGTGGTCTCGATTTCATCATCGGACAGAAGTTTATGGAGAAGTATTATGCTGTTTTCGACGCTCATAGCAACCGCGTTGGCTTTGGGTACACGTGAGTCAGCTTGATTTGGTGTCGAGGGAATGTGGAACCTGATGTGGTTGGGTCTAGTAATCACACCTTCTCAAAGTACTCGCCTTGAGTCGAACCATCACCACTTGGGGAATAAGCGATACGAGCTGGGCAACACTACCATCGCATGTTCAAGTTAGAGTTGTTGACGACGCCATGGACAGCAGGTACACGGTTGTTCATTTCTTAATTTTGATACCGAACTTCGACTCGGCAGATCGAAGTTTGACCTGCTAAGTCAGAAATGGCCAGAAGTCGATATATAAGCGAGGGTCGTGGGTGTATATGGGTGTCCCCAAAATGAGGGGTCCATCTGCAAAACCACTGAAATGAACGCTTACGACTTCAGTACAGTCGAAATTCTCATAATGCATAATGTTGGTCCCCCAATCAGCTTATGCATTGTGAGGTTGTATGCACGTCTGGATTTGTGACATACAATCACACGGTGTGACTAACTTCCCACCTGCTAACTCTGTCACAATTTTCCGATAGCTCGCCCAACACCGGTTCTAAAGTTTAAACCATACAATCTAGGACCTTCATGACTCGGAGAACTAACTCCAGAACTGATCAAGAGTGGCCTGCGCACAAGATTTATCAGCAAGACGGCGGATATGTGCCTGCATCCTTCGAAGCTGCTTCTGTATCTCCAGCAGTGATACCCAGTAAAGACCCAACATGATGAGATCGGGCGCCAGCGGGCGACATCTGAAAATTTCTTCTTAACTGGGCGATTTCCCGAGCTAAACAGAACCCACTTGAGTGCATCCCATATGTTACATGATGGGGCAGGATGATATCGGATTTTCATTGTAATTTACATATGTCTCTCGATTCAATCATATTCATGATAGTTAAACGAATGGGATGTATTGTGACGACAGCGGACAGGGTCTGATTTTCATCGTAGTTTACATATTTCATCCGATTCAAGCATATTTATAATAGTCGAGCAAATATAATGTATTATGACGACAGCGGACAGGATCGGATGACATGGGATGTTACAGTGCAGTCGGGAATTACTGTAAATAGCAGGGCGGGGGCAAAAACGCACGAAAGCGGGGGGGAAATATGCAGGCAGGCAATAAAAAAGACATACAATGCAAGGGAAAACATGCTACTAGTATAGTGCACCGTCGCAGACGGCACAATCAGAACCCTTTGTCCATGCCCCTGTGCTTTGCAACCGCTCTGTGTCGGCCTTGTACTCATCTTGCTGTGTGGTCGCGAGTGCTGCCCAATACACGCGGAATTCTTCGGTTGTTCCACTCGTGTCATTGACCTGCTTTAGCCAACGCCATGCGCATAAGTTTCTGTGTGACAAAGGTTAGTGCGAAACATTAAGAGACAGGCATACTTACCGAGCGTTCTTCGCGGCACCAGGTCGCATCTTCTTCTTTCCCTCCGTTTTTACAACTGACTTGGTGTCGGATATACTTGGTCCGTCTTCGTTTGTCTGCTTGATCGGGCTAAGTGCTGGGGCAGGGATTGTCTTGGCAATTCCGTTAGGTCCGAAAATATCGGCGCTTCGTAGCAGCGTAGTTAGCAAGGATGAGTATGTAGTATGAGGTACTTACAGTGGATCCTGCAATATAATTGTGTTCTCTTTGTTGGCACGTTGTATGTCGCAAGATGTTCCTGGTGTGCGAGGAGTTGGCAAGGTCTTAGTTTCAGAAGTATACACAGTTTGGCGCAAAGGCGATCGGGGAAGAGACGGGCCTTGCGGAGTGGGCTGCAGTAAGTAGACTCCAAATGGTGGGGTAGATGCATCACGTGGGTAGGTTGGCGTGATGAGAGTATTTTCGAGGGCAAGAGAATCATCGATGGGCGAAGGGACACATTTGTCGGTGCTAGTGCCAGGCCCCGAGTTTTGATCTGGATGCAGGGGCATATTGGTTGAGAGTAAGGTTGGCGATATAGCGCCAGGGTCAACTAGCAGTATCAATGTTAACAAGGTAACGAAATAAAGAACAATACATACCTTTTGGTTCAATACGAAGCAGCAGGAGATGGTGCTGAGTCAACTAATGGTGATGTGAGCCCATCAGAATTACGAGAGAAAAAACGCATACATTTAGGTTTCTTCAAATGGTCTTGGTGGTCCAGGCTTTTGCTATCGTCAGACAGGCGCCGCTTGCTGTTTCCTTTAGCCCGGGGTCCATTGTGTTTCAATTCCGATATCTCTGCGTCAAGTTCATCCAAGTCGTCGATATGCTCTTCCTTGACTGAGAGCTTGCCTGGTAGGTCCTTCCAGTTTCCGTTGTTCCCAAGGTTGTTCTTACGCCAGGATGGGTAATCGGTAATGCAAAGCAACTTGAGTTTCCAGCCGCAGTGGTCGAATAGGAATAGTGGGAACTGTTTCACCACGATGTCGAATACAAGCTTCTTTCTGGTAGCACAGATCCTTGACCAGGTGGGTGGAGCTAATTTCTGAACAACCAATTCAGCCCAGGCTGCGTGCAGTGCCTTACAAATTGATTTGAGTTGCTCGACCAGTGACAGATTTACCATCCTCGAGCTCTAGCCATGGGGCTTTACCCTGAGTTCCAGTCCCAGACTCAGCGTTCTCAATGTATTTGTCGTAATCTGCTCGACTCCAGAAACAGATTTTTGGGTGAGAGTCTTGCGAAGGACGGACTTTGTCGTGTCCCGTTAGCAAGTCGTTTGTGAGACTGAAGTTCAGCGGGTCGGTGCGATCCAGGAGTCGCAGTATGCTAATCAGTTCGGTAAAAGACGCCCTAAAACAAACAACTTCGATCTAAGTATCATGATAGGAGAAAAAGACCGACTTGATAGTGTCACGTTCGGTAATAGTCTTGCTTAACTTGAGTTGAGTCTCTGCAAGCTGTGCTTGATATATAGCGAGTTGTTCTTGTAGGGCATGAGCCTGCTGTGCTGCAATAAAATTTGGTGTGGGCTGGTGCATATATGCACCCTAGATCACAATGTGGGAGCCAATGGTATGAAAAATATAAGCAACTCACATGAGAGAATCCAGAATTCGGAGCAGAGCCTGCAAATGAGTGCGGATCATCGAATAAATCCGGTGAAGCTTGAGGTAGTGACGATGATAGGGGCCCAGGAGCTTGTGGTCTGAGTCTACCCGAAGATTGTTCATTGGCGCGAAGAGACGGTATTGTAAAATCATACGAGTACCGAGGAGAGGGTCCAGAAGAAAATTCCATGTTGCCGGTGGACATGGTGGTAGCGGAGAGACATATGTTTGCTGCAAAGGAGTTGTTCACATGAGCAAAACTGGACTTCAATGAAAATCACGCAAATTACAACATCTACTCTAGTACCATCATGAGCCTACCTTTATTGCGCTTTTTGCAGATGAATTGCAAAGATATTGACTTTGACAATGTTTTCCTCAGTGATCCGAGCGCGACAGAGAGCAGCAGCAGTCCTTATTTGACAGCCTCTGATAACATGCTTATCGACCCCGCATACTGGAATCAACATCCTCCTCGATTCCATTATCTGATTCAACAGATTTCTACTCTACTGCCTGCTTTAGAGTCTGACCTGGGCACACAGAACCACAATTGGGTTGCCGACCTGTAGGCTTTTTTTTATCTATTCTATTTAATGCCTTCGTGACACTGTCTAATCTCACATTAAAGTTTTGTCAAGGATGTGCAGGCCACCACACTGGCAACGACCCCAATCGCAGACAGCGCTGGCTCGATTACAGAGCCCGAATCCGAAGAGATCGCAGCGCCAGCACACACCGCCTCCGCTGTTGCAGTCACTGCAACCGCCACTACCACAATCCCATCTGCAGATGATGGTTCCACTACTGAGCCTGAATCTGACACAGAGTTCGTGCCTCCTTCCATCTCCACTCTTACAGCTGCAATCAAGACCGAAGTTCGATTCACCTCAGGGCTGTCGTCAACTCCAGCAAGCACCACTATGCCACCACGTCTCGAACGGCTCGATCCACGATCGTTCTTTGCTACCCCAAGTCCCCCTCCTCCAAATTCGATCTACTGGAAATATGTCACGCGTGAAGAAGACTCAAAGTGGTATGACCGTGCGGGTGTTGATGATAGCTTTACAGTTATACGCCAGCGGAAGCAGGAGCTGCAGGAATTGTTAGATCATGATGAATGAGAAGCACTTTATCACTGTATTATTGAGACGACACCCTTGCATTCAGAGACCACCTACAGAGACAACCTTATCGAACTCTCTCTTTGCGAGAACATACATCTCCCTGTATTGTTTGATGCTCTCGGTGAGTATCTCTGCTTTGGACTTCGTGCCTTCGCAAACTCGGACCATGCCTATGTCAGAGTTGCAGCAGAATTACTAACCGGTTGCATTAAACTCTTCACCACCATAATTTACTTGCACAATTGTTTCTTTGCCTTCCGCATCTGTGCTACAACTTGCAAGAAAGCGCTGGGTGATGAACTCGTATACCTTCTTCTCATCACCGGCTCCACTAAGCACCTCCATCATCCTCGCCAGCCTCCACTTCTTGTTTGTCCAGCTGATCGTCTTGAGCCGCGGGTCCTTCATACGGGACACCGAACATCGCAATATCAAGGCCGGGCTTTTCTACCATGAAATAACGATCCTCAGTAACACCAGACGGAAGAGTTGGTTTATGTGGGACCATACCAACCACACCAAGAATAGACTTGATATCAATGACACAAACGTCATCATCTTCAAGTCGACATGAGCTGACGGTATGGCATGATAATTCAAGGAGGTCGTTGTCAGGGAGTGAGAACATCGAGATGACAGCAACGTCCTTCCAGACCCAAATTTGGTTGTCATTGTCGTCAATACCAGCTTCAACAGGTAATTGCGTGAAGTATAGGACTTCAGCAACTCGGGTTTTGCCTTCGATAATATTAGTGAGACATGGACAACAATGGTATGGATACTAACTACCTTGACGTGTCGTGCAGGACGCACTTTTTCAGGTGGGCGTTTGGTTTCCCTCCACGCAGTGCGCGCTATCTGTCCATTTGGAAGACGTACACGAGCCCACTGGCGGATTTTGAAGTCACGATGCCGGTGACCGAGATATTGAAAAATTGCTTCGGCACCTGGTTCTCGAGGAGCCATTGGCCGTGAATCTCGCTTATGCAAGAGAATATATCCATCTCCGAGATCGATAGCTGTTGTCGGAAAGGGGGGCCTTGTCGGGGGAAAGATCAGGCATCATTGCCTTTAGAGCATTGACTTGACATCGTCGGACGCCCTCCTGTGATAAGTTGGCATAGGGATTGGAAGGTTGGCGAATTTCTTGCCTGAGGTTGCCAATGGTACATTCCATGGTCCATTGAGAATAGCAGATGGGAGGCCCTTTCTTGACAGTCTCATGTACAAGGTGGCTGACTTGGTGCACGCAGGGTCGAATGAAATGCAAACGTTCTGCATGGTGCTGATAGTAGAGCGTCTCGAATTCAAGTTCCCACTGAGTAAACAAGGCTTGAGCAGTACGAGCATCTTCACAGCTGATAGAATGCTGGTTAATCAACTGAAATCCACGTACGAGCCTGCAGTAGTTTAACCAATATGGTCGGGGAAGGATATCGAATAGTAACGCCGGGCCAAGACCGAATATGTAGACTTGATACTCCCACATTTTGTAACCCGAATTCATTTTTTCAGCGGGATTTCTTGGTTTTCAGTCGAAGGAGCCTGGGAGATGCTGCGCTGTGTTAGAAACGGCCTCTCCATGGGTTTCCCAGGTCTCGGCATCATGAAAGATTGCCCAGGGCCACATTGAGACATGATCCGGAAGGGTGTGGTCCATTGTACCGCGCCATAACGACAACAAGAGGTCGGAGAGTAGTTGCGCGAGGTGCATGATATCAGGAGTAAGACAATTTGGAATTCCAAGGGTGTATGATGGGTGTAAGCCGAGTAGAAGGGAGGGTTTCGTGATTCCGGTTTGAGTTCGCAGCTTGCGATACTGGCGGGTGTTTGGTGCGGCGACGAGTTTCAGAAGGTTGTCAAAATATTCAGTGAGGTCAGGATCATGCAACTCATAGACACTGACGTCGGGGTGGTTACTGCCAGCGACAGCGTAACGATGGGGGATTAGCAAGGCAGGGTAGTAATGGGTTCCCTTCCGACGACCGAGTAATCCGCAGTACAATCGACATCCATTCTTTCCACTGTGCCCCACCATGCCATCAAAATACACAAGCCCAGGTCCATCTGCAGTAACGAAGATAAGAAACGGGTTGGAAATAAATACAATGTCGTGCCATGCATCCCAGATACGAAGGCCTTCATTCTGCAAGGCAGCTAAGTGGTGCATACCAGGAAATAGGAATGAGTCCACGTTTTTCGGCTTGTTGGGTCCTGGAATGAAACCTCCGGGAAGCACGTATTGTTTCTTGTATCGCTGGTCGGGAGCGTGGTTCATAATGACCCAGATGTAGATCCAACAGTCTGATAATTTGGACTCGTACAACTGCGCGCCATCGAGTGAGATCATCAATACAATATCATCAGGCTTGATATCACCCCGTTGAACAGCCTGTAGAAATTCACGGCCCTTGCAGAAGTCGTCGAAAACATCGACGATGCCACCATTGACTCGAAGTGTTTCGAACAAGCGTTGAGTTCCTTCCCGCAGATAGCCCATTGCTTGAGCTTGGTCTCGGTCACGCCATAGTGCTTGTAGTTGTGCACTGAGGGGAATGGTTACGAACTTCTGACAGTGCGATGTGCATTCGACCACCACTCATATGAAGTTTGATGGGGTCATAGCGGTCTGTATTGCAGATAGGACAGTGTGTGAGATCGGCGAAGGGACCCGTGAACGCAACACAGGTATCTGGACACATGTCATGTTCTATTGATTCCACACCGGTGTACTCTGCAATAAGTCGCTCGACATTATAGTAACTAGGTATTTGAGTAGCCTCGCCTTCAAGGCAGCGCGCAGCGGATTGTCGAATAGACTCGTATGCATTGATCGCGGAGTGTTCTAATGCAAAGTAAGTTGCAATCCCGTGTCGGACAGCACTACTGTCAATTTCAAGACCAGTCTGGTATGGATTACGCAACCGGTTCAGCGCAGCGTCATCTAATTTTGCCACAGGATCATCCAGTGATGCTACCCGCAGTAACTTGATGAAAGCTACGGCATCTGTTTGTTTCGGCAAGACAGCCTCCTCCTCAAGCTGATCAATATCAAAGACGTGGTGAAGGGGCCGAGGGAGATGCTGGGGTTCGTCAGGCGGGGGCATGTTGGGTTTGTCGGGTGGGGGCACATTGGGTTCATTGGGTGGGGGCACGTTGGGTTCGTCAGAGGGAGGTATGTTAGGTTCGTTGGGTGGGGGCACGTTGGGTTCATCGGGTGGGGGCATGTTGGGTTCGTCAGGTGGGGGTACATTGGGTTTGTCGGGTGGGGGCACGTTGGGTTTGTCGGGTGGGGGTACATTGGGTTCGTCAGAGGGAGGTACATTCAGTGGATGCCCAGCAGATTGGGGCTCATGGTGGTCCGAGTCCCCAAATTCGTAGTCATGATGATCAACATCAAGCTGGTCCTGCGCTGCATCTGGTCCTGGGTATGGTGCAGACTACATACATAGTCAGTAAAATACAATGATCACAAAAATTGGGCTTATATACCTCGACTTGTGGACGAGCACGCTTTCTCCGTCCGACCCGTGAACTTTCTGCTTGACCAGACCCACTTTTTATGAGCGCGTGGTGGGCTTGAAGCCGACGCCTACTTGCTGGCTGTTGGTTGACTGTGTCACTGTGAAGATCACTACAGTTAGTGAAGAAATTTGTAAAGTGTTTTAGCTTACTCTTGCATTGGGACAATGCTGACGAAAACGATACGATGCGCAACCAGAATGATATGATAGACAACAACGACAACAAAGAGAACGATAGGAACGATACGATGCACAACGAAAACGATACGGCGCACAACGAAAACGATACAGTGCAACACGTGTTCATTAGAAATCTCAGAGCTCGTCACTTTTCCTATTATGTAATTACAGAATTATCATATTTCCCCCGTCCTCATCGTGTTGGGTTCTTACTGGGAGTGATACACCATTGGCGTCAGCATAATCAATGCAGAGCTTTTGCATGCGGTCACAAACAACCAAGGCCTCCTATTGAGTAAATATCAAAACACCCTCAGTGGGTTTCTCAAAATGCTTGACAACATCTTCCTGCGATATGGGCTGGTTGTCATCATGATACTTGACTACAGTTAGCCAATCATTGAGTGTCAAGTTGCTTCGTTCATGAGCTGGTAGCTTCAGCAATGCAGAAGTCTTCGGTAAATCTTTGGCCTTCAGTTTGGTGATGCAAATGTATGGCTTATGGTTATGACAAGGTTTACGCCTTGGGGGGTCTGCAGGTGCAATAAGAAAGTAGTGAAGAAAAGTAGTGAAAATTTATGCCCTGCCTGATTTCATTTATCACCAATTTGCATGAACACCAAAGGTTTAGCGTCGGTTTGTAGCGGCATCCCTGGTTCAACCAACTGGACTACTATATTTAGTATATATAATAATGCATAACAGCCCAATGCCCTATGCATGATTGGATAATAGATTTCATGCATAATTACATAGGAACGATGTCGGTTCCCACCTTTGGCCATGCATTATGAGATCTTATGCATGATCACCTTATGCATTGTGAGAATGTCAACTGTAGCGCACTGATGCGATTGGTGGAGATGCTGAACACAACCAAAAATGTGTGCTTACGAACGCAAACCTGAACTAAACCAAAAGCGAACTGCTCAAAAGTACTTTGAGAGAGGAACTTCGACCAAGTCGGCGTTTTAGACGTCTCCCATATTTACCGCTAACGGTCAAGCAGCAACCTTGTTCCCATCATGCCGTCCACCACAGATGCCAGCCAGACTTCGAGTTCAGAATTGTCTCCACTGAGCAAACTCAAAGGATACACCCGGTGACCCTACATGTCTGGACACTCGCCCTTTTCTGACAGTGTCCGCGCTGTGAGCGGATCCACCGACCGCTCTGCACCAGTCTGGGACATTCCTGAAGTACGGGAAATTGGAGAGCCCCTCTTTGGCTACGACCATTGGGTAAATTGTGTTACTGGGTCTCCGTACGACACGAGGGTTGCAGGAGATGCGGACGCGAAACGACCTGTCAACGAGGCAGCTGATCGGAGAGCCTTGGGATGCGCATGGCGGTTCAGCCGTAACCTGTATAGCGTGATGCCTAGTGGGCGGCACATGGCTAGCTGCTCCTTTGATGACGCTCTGCTGAAGGTCTGGATGCTGCGTCGCCAGGAACCTTGAAGGGCTCCTTGACGAGTTGCATGGCATATTACCCTGATGTAAGCAAGTTGGCTGCGGGCGCTGATGCCTTCGCCAATGGCGCGTCAATCAGCATCTGGGATACAGTGAACAGGAGACTGATATTCCCACCAATTCGGGGCCACGACAGTGTCTTCGCTGTTCTGGTCCCCGGACGGAAAACACCTTGCGTCGGGATTCAATCATGGCATCCTTCAATTCTGGGAGACTACGACAGGACGTCCCGCAGGGGATCCTCTTGATCTCCAGGTTCAGAGGACTTTCTCGATTACATTGTCTGTCAAGGACAATCTTGTTGTTGTGAGGACTGGGTACATTCATCTATGGAAACTTGAAAAACGTCAGCGCAGAAACAATATTTTGAATGGAACTAAAGCACACCATGTCGTCTTCTCGCCCAATGGTGATTACCTCGCGGCTTCAAATTTCCGTCGTCCTCGAACGTTTCAACATTGACCTTTGCGCTAACATTGAACATGCACATAGCCAACTCAAATGACAAGTTTTCCCCGGCTTCGGATATCATTGCTGCATTGCAAAAAATTGTAAGTGCCCAGTTTTATAAGCACTCACGTCTAAGAATAATAATCATTCGCCTCAGCAGCTTCAGCTCGTTCGATCAAGTTAACTAGTTGATGGTGTGGCCATTCATCAGATTCTAGACCTCGAAGCCCCATACTCTGGTAAATTCCCCAATACCGACTACTCTGTCATCGAGCTCAATGACCAGAGCATCAGCAGCATCGTCACCAAACGCCAGCAGCAGTTAGATGCAGTTTTGCACGAGACGTCAAAGGGACTTCACTTCCTAGCATCACTGACGCTAGCTAGCTAGACTCTGACAGGCAATAATACCTAGCCAAGAGTACCCTGGAGGATGCGTATTTGCGTCCAGTCACAGTCCTGGCGGCGTATCAAGTCAGAATACATGTTCTTGCCCAGTGACCAGACCACCAAAATAACAAGTGAGAGCTTTCAACTTCGACCCCATCCACTCTTCCTCCACTTCAATCATTCGAGGCTCGTCGTCGGTAGTGGCACTTTCGTCCTTTTCGGATTGGCCCAGGGCAGATATGTCATTCAGATCCGTGTTTCTGGGAAGGAAGTAGGCAATATTGTCTGAGATCCGTTTCGTCAGGCGAAACAGATCGGCGCCATGTATCGGCTGTATCCTCGAGAGGCTAAATTGTGAATGTGCCTCCGGTTCGTCCTGTAGGTCCGTATTGTGGTCGGCAGAGACATGGCTATCGGTAGGAGAAATGTATTCTGGACCACCCCAAGGGGGACTTAAGAAGACGACATCGATCCTGCGCGTTGGGTGGGGTCGTGAAAGATATGCGTTTGCAAATGAGACATAGTCCGCAAGAATAAACTCAATGCGGTCTGCAACACCGTAGATTGCGGCGTTATGACGAGCCAACGCTATTCGTATTGGGGAGATGTCCAGAGCAATGACTATGTAATTTATGAGGGCGACATGAGCAAGAAAACGATGAGCAGTAGAACGGGCCTCTCACCATGCTCACAGGTTTTTGCAAAAGCAATCGCATTTCCTCCGACGCCGCAGAAAGGATCGAGGATAGTATCACATCGACATCGCTCTGCAATTCGGATGGCGATGCTTTCAGGTGTCACGCTATACCAGCCTTCTTCGTCTAATAGACATCCCTGGTCGTATAAAGAAAAGTAACGTTTTCGTTGAGAAAAATCTAAGAGACCACGGGGATTGAGTCAAAAGGCCGAAATATTGGATTGTAGCATGACGGACATTTCTGAAGGTTTTCTGGAACCTCGTGAGCGGTGTTGTAGTGAGGAACGAGGGCGGTCGCATCGTATCTTGTGCGAGCAGGACCAAAGGTATCCGTTTTACGTTTCTTTACAGATCTGCTCTGATTTTGTGATTGTTCTGAATGGCTAGCAGCCTTTGTATCAATAAAGTCTTGTGGCAGGAAACGAGATAAACCCGTGAGGTTTGATTTTTTGCCCATGTTGTGGTGAGGTGACCGTGACGAACGACCCTGATGCGTTTGTGATTCGCGGAGTTAGGGATGCCTTATCAACTTATATCCTTATCATCAACTGTAGAGCAACTGCAGAGAATACTCAAAGTGAGTACTGCAATATTATTAGTAGTGCTGACTCTCTTCACGCGCGGAGATGGAACTTGGCCATTCCAACGCAGATGATGATGCCATACCAGATTTTGTACAATCTTGGCATCCATCAGTCCGTCGTCCTATTACTTCCCCCAATCCGGCGATCTACCATGAAGCCATTCATCCTCGCGCTATTTTTGAGCTTCGTGAAACCCCCTCCAGCGAATATTTCTTTGTTGTTCCCTATTCCTGCACCCATTGTTGTTCGTCAAAGCAGGCCTGTTCCCGTCTCCGGCCATGCGATCGGTGCACCAAGGTTGGGAAGCCTTGTACTGCTTATCCACCAGGCTATCAGAAGCTTCCCCCGCCCAAGGGGACCAAGCCTAGAAACCGTGCATCAATACCTTCATCAATATCTGGAATGTCTCGGGCTCCGTCGGTACAGTCACCCTCCGAAATGGCAGCAGCCTCGAGAGCCGACCAATCCATCACAACTTCTTCAAATCCCCCTTCACCCAAGAAACAGAAATTGACCCATTCGAGTTCTCCAAGTCCTCCAAAAAAACCTTCCAAACGCAGGGGAAATAATAAGAAAGTCGATGCTAACCCCCCTCAGAACGTACCACTCAAAGAATCAATCGATCCGGAAGCTAGTAATGGCGGTTAGTACCTTGTCAGATTTTTCATTCATGCAAATCACGCATCAAGAATAGATGCTTCAACCTCTACAGCGCCGGTTTGGACTTTTATGAGGCCTGCAAAGGCTAAACGTGCGGCTGACAGCTCTGTAGCTATCCCTGCAGTCAATGCCCCTCCTCATACGCCTCGAGTCTGGGCAAATGTGAAGTACCTCGAAATCACAAGTCCGAATCGAATTGTTTAACTAGATACCCAGTCTCGCGCAGAAATTGCTTCAATATTCCCTGAACTCACGAAGTCTGTTACGGGAATCTTATGGCGGCAGTTCGAAATGCCTGCATTGTTCCTAGAGCATCCCCGCCCCGACGATGCCTGGAAAGGCCAAAATACTCTAGAAATTACTTTGTGAGCATAGTTACTTCTGTTTTGAACCATTATTCACTAATTGGGCGGTGCCAAAATAGGGAGTGGGGCTATAAATGCGGTCCCGAACTACTAGTATGTAGCGAACCGCATGACATCGCGGATGACAAGAGGCTCTCCGATAACAATCATGCAACACAGGTTAGAACTCGGCACATTTGCGAGGCGTGCGTCCTGATCTCAAATCTAGGTGGAATGCGAGTCTGTTAAGCATTCGATGCCTTCCTTCACACCCATCAAGCGCGACTATCTCCAGTTCGATTTCTCATCGTTCGCTCCACCGATAGCTGTGGGGTCTGAAGGTGTGCTCGTTCTTATTCTTTATATTTCGTCACTCAGATTACGAGAAGCGTTGCCGTCCAATATTACGACTGCGTCGCAGTTGTCCATGTTAGCACCAGCACCGTTACCAGATTCACCACCGTCCCCAGTATTATCTCCGTCTCTGGTTCCACAACCAGATTCGCCGGCGATGTCTCCCTCGGCAGCCCCAAAAATACAACCCCAAGTGCCTGCACAAAAGCCGTCTGAGATCGAGACCCTAGTTCAGTGTCACATGCACAAAGTCCCCTTACTTGTCTTCGTATCTCGAGAAAGCGGGCTCTTACCGCGGCAACTCCCTCCCGAGTACGCATACTCTTGCCTGGGTTTATTTTTCATATCTGACATGAACGTCAGTTTTCTCTTTTGTCATTCTACGGGTCACGTCTATTAATTTTTCTCGCAGGCAGATATAAACAACACAGTAATAGCTATTTCTAAAACCCAGAAGTGCGGACGCGTACGATGGCGTCTTACCTTGGAATGGGCTCCGGGTGGTGAAGATGGGTTGTTGGAACATTCAAATGAGAAGCCGCACCCGTGGTGGATTGACCCTGTCGACTATCCTGTCGAAAAGGACACCGGCTCAGTGAAGATACCATATCGTCCGAGGGACCTGAGCGAGCAGTATTTCAGCTTTCTGCCTTTGGACCTCCTGGCGGACTTCAAACCCAATGAATTTTTTCCAAGAGGTTGGTACTGCAGGGAGTGTGGAATGCTCAATGCGCAGAGGTGTTTTAGACACCAGATCTGCGAGAGTTCCGGGTGCAAGGTGATTTTTTCTGCACCTGGCACTTGTCGAACCTTACTGAATATGGCAGCAGCGTAAAATGGAGGGGGGGAAAGCAAAAGCTAATAATAATTGCTTTATTTGTCACGTCGATCCGTTGCAAGCACTTCGAGAGCTGCACCATCTTCTGCCCATAGGTGATCCTCTTGATGATGCACCTTCGTCAATTGGCAAAATCGATTCTTCGTGGGACGACCGGATGCGGACTTTGACATATCAAGTCAACAGTGGTGCGAGAGTACAACATATCTTCACCGGTAACCAAGAGATATTGCAACAGGATGCAACAAAATTGCTCCTCGACATACAGAAAGATGTTATTCTTTCTCGCAGTGACCTACATAGTATGTATCATTGTTGTTTGGTTTCTAGAAACGTGCTAATTTTAATCTCAGGCCCTTATTTCACCTGGTCCATGAACCTTGACCCCGCACATAAATATACTGAGGATCCAGCAGGACAACCCGAAATACCTATGCCTATCTTCGACATCCATGATGTCTTGCTTCACTATATGCAAGCGTACGGCGAAATCAACGATGCCAACATCAACCGCATCCTGATTCAGGCGTGGGTCACCCCGGGGTCGAAACGGGTAAGCCAGAAAGGACACTCAACATTTTTTTTCTTTCCTAAAAGCGACCAGGGCGCCATTTTCAATGCGAAGGGCCACGCTGTCATGATCCTTTGTCTCGGCGCCGAAGTCGTCATGAATTTAGTACCTAAACATGGTTTCTCGGAGATACCCATCGAAAGTGCGGAGGACCGCATGGAGGTTGATAGCGAACGGATCTTAAGTGCGTCACAGCTGGTGGATAATGGTTGTTCATCGGAAACTCTTGCATCGGCAGCAGTAATTGTGCCAGACGGCGATGGCGACCGTAACGCCGCGAATCAACCTGACCCAGCGAGCCTTACTGCGGGGGAGTCACCTGGATCGTCATTGTTGTCAGGTATTGTGTGGGATAGCAAGGCAGCCAGAAAATGGAAGGGTACAGGTGGCAAAAAAAGCAAGCAAGCGCCGTTAGAACTCTCCGTGACCTTAGTTCACGGTGATGCTGTCATTCTCGAGGGAGATGACTTTGAGGTGAGGGTGGCATCACGCGGATCGGATTTAATGCACTGCTAACGAGTACGTTAGTACCAAATCAAGCGCAGCGGAACTACCATTCGTGAGTATTTTTGAGTTGGAAGCTTTTGGTTTCTAACTTAAATGACATGGCTTGGCTAGTTCTCATTGGGTCTTATGAGTGATCGGCACGGATCGGTCGGTGGTCGTCTTGGAAGTTTTAGATGAAGTCAACCGTTGCATTGTCATTATACGGTAGTCGCTTATTTTTCGGGTCGTTTATAACGAGGGATGAGGTCCTAGGAGGTCATCGTCGTGCATCGTCGTGCATCGTAGTTAGAGCGCTAGAGCGAATCCGAAAGCAGCAATCAAATCTCCCAAACACTAGAAACTGGCTGGCGCCTGCTGAGCGCAATTCTTCACAGTAACCAACCTCCAAGGATTATGGCTAAAACATCCACATCTACAGATGGACAAGACCCAAAGTGGGGAAGAGGTAAACGCTACGTCGCACTTGTGCTTGTGTGAACGGAAACTGAAATTTTGCGTACAGTACTAATTTGCGGTGGGACGGACTGGTGAGCGACGAATCAGTACTTCGTTTGAGCGCGGATATTTATCAATGGATGTTATGCGCTTTCCACAGGCCGAAACTAGGGAGGAAAGAACGCGGTGGAAAAGGTGAAGGCAACCCTGATGCGTGCGTCATTCGCTAGCCAGTATAGCTTTGTCGACTCAAAAACTGTTTTCCGTATCCCAGACCAGACCTCCTCGAGCCCCATATCCTCCGTTCCCTCAGTAATATCAAAATTGCTTCCATACACGCGTCATGTTCCGGGTGTCACTTCATCCTTCTTGACGTGGACGGCGCAGCGTGGATGTTTGGGCGGAATGGGTCTTCTGCACTTGGCGTGCCAGGAGAGGACGCGATATCTGAAAATACTCCGCGACGCGTGCTTGCGACGGACTTGGGTGCGGAAGAAGGCACTAGATTCGTGCATGCGGCGTGTGGACGTAGCCATTCTTTATTAGTGGGCAGTGATGGACAGGTCTGGTCTGCGGGCGCGAATAACTTGGGTCAAGTGAGTTGTATTGTGGTTTTTGTCGTGTAGGTTGACCAGCTGAGATACGTCAGTGCGGACACCATGTCGTTGCGCAGATACCCGCTTTCGAGGCGATCGAAGGGCCTTTTGTTGATGGCGAAAGACAGCACGTTATCAAGGCAGCAGTAGGCATAACGTTTTCTATTGTACTCACCGATGATGGCAAAGGCACGTACTCCTTGACGTATTCTGTTCTTCCGCCAGCTGATGTCTCTCAGTCTTTTCTTTCGGCAGCGGTGAGAAGGGACAGTTAGGCAATGGTAGGACCGGAGAACATATTATTACCGGGAACAAGACGGCTTTTGATGTTGAGACGGAACCTAGTGAGCGTCGTCATTCATTCGGTAATATGGCTAGCTGATCCGTTCGTAAAAGTACCCGTGAAAGGATTTGACGATAAGACTGTCATAGACATTGCATGCGGGCCGCAGCACAGCGTAGCCCTCGATTCCCAAGGGTAGGCACCATTTAAACGCGGTGATACGTCACTCAAATACTCCTAGCCTCGTGTACGTGTGGGGTTACAACGGCTATTGTCGGCTTGGTCTGGGCAACCAACAGGACGTGCTCATCCCTAAAGTAGTCCCACAGGTACGTGTGTGTTAGTTTGGTCGTCCCTCGCGAACAGTGCTGAAATAACTTAACTTAGTTTACCGGACCGAATGAAATAACGATGGGCGCTCATATTATCGCCGGCCCCTCGAATACCGTTGTTCTGGACAAGCAACAATTATATTGGATGGCCGGAAAGGTCCGTCAACGTCAGACAGTTGTCACAGTGTTCTTTCTGATTCTTTTTTTCAGTGGAAGAATAGTGGAGAAGGTGTGCATCAACTGTCGAATCAGTTCGTTCATGCATTGACTTGACTCCCGTGGGTAGGATCCTCTGGCTCGCCATACTCCTCATTCAGGTTTATCCAAGATTTGATGTACGATCTCAGCTTCGCGCTTTGCTGGTCAACTTGCTAATGTTGAACTTTTTATCAGGGGATGCAAAATATCTGGTGGCGGCTGCGGTGGAGTGACCCATTTCGCTCTCACGACTGATGACGACGGCGGTGTGATGACAGTTGCTTGGGGGCAAAATGCGTCCTACGGTAAGCAGCAGCAGAAGCTACTTGGTTGATCTAGCCTGAACGAGGACTGCAAGGTGAACTCGGCCTGGGACCCGATGAACCAAAAAGCGCCACAAAACCTACTCGTCATCAGCCTCTCGCCGGGATTGAGGTCATAAGGTGAGACATCCTCCGCTCGCAGGTTGGTACCATGTTTATGTGATCTCGTCCAGCGTGGCAGCTGGTCAACATACTACCTTGTTCTTGGCAAAACCGAGTGATAAATTATCTGACCTTCCCCGTCATCCCCTTGAGGTCGATGCCCCTGAACTATGTATAGTCTGCGACAAGGACAACGGAGATGATGATCCTGCCTTGGAGTGTGATAAGGTTAGTTATAGTCATCTTAACTTTCGATGACGGCGCTTACCAGGCTGGTTCAATAGTGCGACCATCCATACCATCTGGGCTGCCTAGATCCTCCTCTGGAGGCTGTTCCAGAAGGTGAATGGTTCTGTCCTAAATGCGTCGATGAGCTGGGTGCCCTTTCAGGTCACGACACTAAACCGTCCGGCAAAAAGGGCACCGCATCGTCACCGGACGCCAAGGGGGGCACAAAGAGGAAGGCAGCTCCTTCCGCGAAAGAGGGCGGTAAGTGTCCGATTGATCTCTGTGTGACTTGCTGATCCCTGACGCCTCTTCGTAGCTCCCAAACGTAAAAAATAAAGATCCGATATATGCAGGACCCAAACATACTACATCTGGAACCATACCTTCTCTGGAAACATTCTTTGTGTAATACATTTGGTGTAACGTTTTAGCTGGGTCTCTATCGCTCTCCATGTTATTTATTGACTTCAATTGTATATAGTCTGTTCACATTCCCCACTCTATCCATGTTGTGCATTGTATATAATTTTCTTATATATGTAAATGTTATTCAACTGGTGTTCCATGTCCGATAACATCACGCTGTGGAAGTCTTTCCACTCTTTATTAAAAGCATTATTTGCGCGATGGCTTCTGTGCTTGAAGCCATATGAACTCATGGATACTGGCAATCAACTTACCTACTGTTGTGATGACCTTCCTAGTCTGCATGAAACGTTCCCTAACTGAGAGGAGAGAATGAAGATGGCACAATCCATCGAAAAAATCAGATACTATAGACATGTACAGCACCTCGTCCTGAGTATGACCACTGGGAACAGTATGGTGTTGAATTACAAGCACGATATAGTATCGCGCGGATCTATGCGGAATACAAGACTCTTTGGACGGCGAACTTATCCGTTGCAGGACTACTTCAAATCATCAATTATGTTCCAAGTCAGGAATCTCTCGGGCATTCACTTGGGCCTGATCCACACCTTGCCAGATAGTTCAGCAATGATCATTCGAGAGATTGTCTCAGTGCTAGAAGGAACAATCACGCCCTGCGCGTGGTAGCAGTGTGAATGCAAACTTACCAGCCGAAAGCTCGAGGCATGCCATGCCCACGATAACCTGCTGCGATGAGCTGGCCTGGGTCTCACCTAAACAACCACGGTAAATGCGACGATCATCAATGCTAGCCACACCTACCAATGGATCGCCTGCATCAGTGAATCCCATAACTACTATCTAAAGTAGCTCGAAGCTCGTCTTATATAGTCAACAACGACTGCCGAACTCACCCATTCCATCTCGGGCTCGAACTTACCTAGGAACACCGAGGGAAGGAAATAACGAGGAAAATAACTAATCACATCGCAGAGGGCGGAGTCATCTTCCACGTTTAATTCAAACGGAGTAGCAGCGAGACGTCGCGCTCCTCCAAGCACGAGCAATGGTTTCTCATCCGAGCCTTTTGGTACAGGTTTGGGGAACCAACACTCAAAGCCCTGTCGGGTAGCGAAAAACAGATGTCAAGACTACGTAGGAGACCCATGCAAGTAGGCGACACGTACTCCATCGTCTCCCTACGCATTGGTCTTGGTCTGGTCTATGTTCACTGCAGTGCGAACGGCAATTACTTGTCCCCTGGTAGGAAAAATGCGACCAGCGAGGAATGGAAGTAGATGTGAAGCATAGTCATTAAGTAGCGTGAATTACTTTCGAGCATGAAATAGAACCTCGAGGTTCTAGTCAATATTCGGACAAGTCCCTTACAGTCTCCATCTCCTCTTTCTCCACCCATTGCGTGGCTTTCATATCAAAGGAAGATGACCTTGCACATTCGAGGTCCCTCTTTGCATCACAGGCGGCCTCCTCTGTGAAATAAATCCGCATGTGCCCACCGTTTACCAGATCAACATCATCGGCCCATCCATATTCCTGGATGATCGAGATAATAGAACAAGCAGCGTATGCTTCGACCACGTAGGCACGCGCCCCCTCAGCTCGACCAAATGCAGCTTCGCGAGCGGCATATCCAGTATAGGTAGCTGCACGAAGAGGGCCCCTGTTTTTGCCCGAGTCATCATTTGGTTGCGCTATCCTGCATTCCGCAACACAGCACTCACCGGTGGCTCCTGAACCTGGCGTAGTTGGATGATTATAAAACGTTTGCTGATTCTTGCAAACCAAGACACTCACAAAAGTCACGCCCCTCGAGGATGACGACTTTTAGAGGTGCGGATCCACGAGCGATTGCATGTGCAGTGCCAGCCTGAGCAAGGTGGTATGCGACCCCCACGCCTGTGATACCTGACCTGATGATATAGATGTCCGCGTCAGCCGTAAGTGGACCCTCGCTACCCCAAGATGCAAGCGGATTGGTATCTGGAGAAGAATGAGTCCAGAATGACCGCGTCGGATTCGCAAAAGGAAATCCTGCCAATCGAGCAGCTTCAAGGACGAGGTGGTTATGGATGGTCTCAGTATGAACCAAATCGACCGCGATATCACAGACCCGAGCGTCAATCGACCTTGGGAGAAATTGACATGAACACCTAACGGCAAAAGAAGTGATATCGATGAACAATATTTGCGGAACACCTCGACCAGATCGCGCACCTTCAAGAATTGTACATTGAGGCAGCGGTAGCGGCTCGCTGACCAGTGACGATTGTATAGTGCTTACCACGACGAACAGTCGTCCCTGGCGCACCCGGACTACTACTAGCACTAGTAGCACACCTTGTTGTCTTCAACCGTCCCTGTGAGAGGACATACAACAGGCATAAATTATGGCATTACATACGTGTTGAAGTACGTGTCACCGACAAGTCGTTAGCTATTTTGTGCAAAGTCATCCGACGGATGTGGCGGAATTCCGTCGAAATATATTATTATAAAGAATGCATTGCATCTTAGTCCAAACGTAGCACCATATGCATAAGATCAACGTAAAAACTATTAGTGATGTCAAGTATGTACTACGGAACTCGTGGTTGTGTCATAAAACGAATGTATTGACTTTAATTCCTAGAGCCAGAACCCTCACCACTAATGCCTGTTTCCGTACGCGTGAATGTGAGCGAGCAGCCCGACGGCAACGTATCATCCTCCGCCATCTTGCAAGGGCATTCGTCAGTGATATCCATCGTTCCTACATCTGACTCAGAGTCAAACGAGGTAGAGACGTCGGTCGTCGATTCGACCTTCAAGTCAGAGTGGCTCTCGGGATACACATCGGGGTCATCAAAAGGTGTAATGCCATCAAGCTCCACCTCGAGCGAGGTAGTCCACCCATGTGGATCATTACCATTACCCTTCTGGGACTTTTGGCTTTCGCGGAATTTCTCTTGGTTACGAACTATGCATCCAACCTGATAAAGTTAATGAGCAAGCAAATAAAGCCCGAGATTTCGTACTCAACAGCAAACCAAAGGCAGGGATGCAGCACGCTAATGCGAATTCGAAGTGAGCATAGAAACCTGTGTTACTCGCAAAGACTTACTAAAAAACAATGTTTCCGGTCATCTGTGTTTTGATGACGTCCGTATTGCAGAGCGTCATGAACAAGATGCTCACTGAAGTGATGAATATATGTGTACAAAGGGGAATACCAATCCTACCTATCACCGCGATAGTCGTGCAGGCACCGTCGCGAACCGTGATTTTGAGCCAAACACGTAAAACTTCCGACCAGCGAGATCTGCCTTGGAAGTATCGCCACAGCATCATGAAAAATATGAACGTATACGTTGCAATGACTGAGACACTGGTCGTCCACTCAGCGATCAGATATACAACAGGTGCAACAACTCTCACCCGGCATAGATTTGACTGGGAGGGGACCTGAGGATGACGCAAGTGGGGGAGTAACGAATGCCAATTACAATCAATCGAGCGCTGACTGCCATGGCAGCAATTTGGGCGCCACCGAAGACGAACAAGAGACCAGTGATATACCTGTCCTTTTGGAACATCTTGTACACTGTCAAGGAGTGCGCGCAGAAAGCATGAATAGTCATGCCAAGAGTAAGATCAAAATATGGCGTACCCTGCCGCATGAGTATTAACTCCACTGCAGATAGCAGCAACTGGATCATCGCGGTCTGGTACGCGTACCATAATCTGCAAACTATCGCATCGTTGGAAACTCCCGATTGCATCCTATACGAAAACCAGACGTTAAAGCTAGCGACAGGAGTGAGCACGCGACCTCTTGAGCTGCTAAACCGCCCACCTCAGTCCAGCCAATCCGGGATACCTGGTTACCAGAAAAAGCTTGGCTGCGGTGCTCTTCCGAACTCGCCTGTTCATCAGAAAGGTGTTTACCGCTCGTGTTCATTGATATGCGGGCACACACTCACGGCCAGACCAGGCGGACTTCATCAGAAATAAAACAGAGATATTCGAGGACCGCGATGGCGTTTAGGATGGCTAATGATTGTAAACCAAACCTGGAAGAAACGTTCAGACAACGGATTGTACGCACTTGTCATTAGGAAGATCCTGTGCGCCACAGTCGAGGGGGACATTATCAAATTGCAAAAATGAAGTAAGGCCAAATAACGAGCGACTAGACTTGTAGAAAGGAGGAATGGAAAAGCGAGAGACAAAAGTCAAAACTGCCCTACTGCGGAGAGAGGTTAAGCGTTCAGAGGAAATGAAGTGCTGAGCATCGAGCATTCAATGTTGAAGATATGTGGTTGCGACTCGGACCAGACCCGGATCCACTATTGGGCTCACCCTGACTGGCATGCCATAAGCGCACCGTGCGCCCGAAGAACATCATGTTTCTAATATTACAGGATGAACGGCCAGCCGACCCCACATCTAAAAAAGCCGACTTGGTCGAAGTTCCTCTCAAAAGTGCTTTTGGTTTAGTTCAGGTTTGCGTTCGTAAGCACACATTTCTGGTTGTGTGTTCAGCATCTCCACCGATCACATGAGTGCGCTACTGAAGTTGTAAGCGTTCATTTCAGTGGTTTTGCAGATGCGGCCAGCCTGAGCGAACTCTTGAAACGTTGAACTTGAAGGGCCTCCCAGTGTCAAACTAGTATTAAACTTTGAAACTTTACTTTCGAGTCATTAACAACATTAAGCAGCCGCACCGCTGATAACAGGGCCAATTAACATTTTAGGGATAGTCCAAGGAATATGCCGTCCGCCGTTTAACCTTGACATAAAATGTGGGTCCACGATTACCTTGGTGGATTGAACACACGTCTACAAACGTCTGTTAAACTTTGTATATGAAGAACGATTCACCGAGGACATGCAGCAAAAACGATGTCCCTAGTCACAGCAATGGCCAAGGCTCGGCGATCAGGGAATTTTCTCGGTGTATTCCGCAGCGCGACAACGATACAGGGTCGACTAGTCGATCGCCCGCAAATTTGGTCATGATTTTATGTACAACTTTGCAGTCACGAGCCGTCCAAGTCTCTTCAAGATCGCTGCCATCTCCCTCCACGACTCCAGCAAGGGAAGAATAACGCTGAACGTCCCGCTCATGAAAACCCACACGCTTCACCGCCATCGTCAATTAAAGTTCGTACATCTAGTTTTATTGATACTCACATAGAGCATGCCACCCAAAATGTGTAAAACCGCTCGCTGAACACGTAGTGCGAGAAAAACATGGATAATGGAACTGGAAGGTCTGTGTGAGATTCCCCCATGACAACGCATGCAGTGCAACCAACCGATAAGAATGACAATCGCGGACATTGCTGATGAATACCATGCCGCTCGCCTGAACACCCTCTGCAGAGTTTCGCGGCAAAGGGGGTCCGCTTGGGTAACATCCGTAGGCCCTACCTCGAAATCTGATTTTTCACGCTTCTCGCCAGATACGACGTCCGAGTCGGGGTCGTTATTTGCCGAACTGTCCAGCATTGCTATAGCCCTAGTCCCTTCGAAATCGTAATTATCAGGTTCTGACGGACGGCCATCAGTTGCATGCAGGCCCATTACAACTGACCGCTTACTCAAAAGAGATACGAAGACTGTAATGATCCCCGAGAACATAAAACCAGTAAGACCGCTGCATACGGCCGATATTGGCAATGCGAGGTTCGCGATGGTGATGGCGCCTGTAATGTGGACCAGTTTTGTCATCATGATGATCATTGCAGACGGAACCGAAAATGCTCACCATTGATCTTCCAGCATCCGATCATCCATGCCAGCATCCCGAGAATTGCTCCGATAATGGAACCATATAAAAGCCCGGTTCGCGTGAGCTTAGACCACCACACCGTGAGGATGATGGGTATGACTGCGGGACTAAGAACTATTCCCCTGCGCCACCACACGAAGAATAAGCATGTTAAATTAATTTTTCGGATGCCACGCACTGAACGTAGTACAACTGGAGCAAGTCGGTTTAGTCCTGATGGAATTATATCAAGGAATGTTCTCACCCAACCCAGGTCGATGTTCGCTGTGTGGAGCTGCAACGCAAGTCAATACGTTCGGTCAGTGACTGGAAAAAGTATTTACTATGGTCGCCCAGCACCCCATCCAAATCGCCCATGCACAAATCGCGTAGTGTGAAACACGAACAATCTCCGCACCCGTCGCCTGTGGATTCCAGTAGGTACGATAGATGCTACGTCCAAATAAGTCACGACAGAAGATGGGGTGATGTTCAGGTCTTACTCATACGACCTTACAGGGGGTGAGCGTGCGCGCAGAAATCGTGCATGAGAAACAAACTTACACAATACTGGATACGGCGATGAGTTCGGCGCTAGCAGCAGAAGTCACCGCCATGCTTCACGAAGTATTGGTTAAAGTTGAATTTCAGGGTTTTGTGTGACTTACAAAACGACCAATAACAGCGCCACAGCTCCGCCCTTTCCCATCAGCACGGCAGCTGCAGCCGGTGCGGCGAGTCCCGCACTTGTCTGCTCTGGTGACAGAGGGAACGGGTATGTCGGGAACAAGGGCTAAAGGGACATTGTCTTGGCGTTGGCGGATGACGAGAACACTGCGCGCGAAACCTTACATTGCTTTGGAGCGCACGGGCACTCAGACCGAGGCATGATCCGAAAGCCCAAGGAACGGCAAACCAGGAAAGTCCACCGAGCATCTGTGACGTTAATGTAAGTGCTAGCATCGGCAGTCGGAGGGATGGAAATACATAAGCTTTAGTTGTTCCTCTAGGGTCACTTGCAATTGCCTTGAGGTTGACGGACACATGATTCAGTCTAAGACGGTAATGGAAAGGAGCGTTATTCACCCTTTGCCAATATCCTGCGCACGGCACGTCAGATCACTAAACACGAGGTAATTATATATCATACCCTGATCACAAAACACGCCCGCAAATCCTGAAAGCAACGCTGACGCTCCGAACACGAGACCCTGAGAAAAATGAGCAGGAAAAGATGTGAGAGAATTGTCTACCCACCTGATTCGACTTCATTGTCATATAACTTCCATTTGCGTTCCCGGGGACGGGCACATCAATTGCAGCTTGTGTGAGTAACTCATACATTCGAGCTACGCTGCCGATCTCCGATGATGTCCCGCTTTATTTGCGCAGATTCTCAGTAGCACATCCCTGTGACATGGAGACTTCACTTACTATGCACGGAATACAAAGGTGTAAATGATGGCGAATAGAATGATGGTATGCGTCCAATCACAGATAAAGGTGGCACGCAATCCGCCGAATACGACATACACCGCAATGCCAATTGGCAAAAGAAAATACGCAGCAAGTAAGTTCATGCCGGTGAGGGCGTTCACAGTAGCTGCGCCTCCCACTGAAACACGACTCAGACAACGTATCGAGGTACTCAGCAAACTCACCTAAGAGAGATCCACATACAACAAGGACGCAGATAAACGCATAGATGGTGAAAACGATGTGGGCCGTGGTACCAAAGCGAACTTTGACGATCTGCAGAGAGGTTTACGGCCAGTCTCACGTGCAGTGGGTCGTACGTACCTCCAAGAACGTGTGAGCGCCATTTGCATTCATTTTGACTTTAGCGGCCACCATTCCAAACATTGCAACTTGGATAGAACCGCCCGCACCATACCACCTTCAAGAATTTTGATCAGTCAAAGCTTGAAGACGCGCAAACTGGCTGACCAAGGGCCGCTGACACCTATGCACGATCAGCATTTATGGCTTAAGCACAGGCTATGATCCATACCAAATGTATAGGCTGCAGTACTAGACTGAAGGAGAGTGGCGCTCCATGTCCAGGCACTGACGCTGCGATAATGCGTCACAGGTGCCCAGATGCGCGGACAAAGACGACCTACATGCCACAGCACACTAATCCAGGCTAGTATGCAAGTCAGCGAATGTCGTAGTTGACTAGAAAAACTGACATACTTTGACACTACGAGAAGCACTCTAGAAGGAGTCCCATTTGAGTGACGTGCACAGGTAGCATAATGCGACGCACCGTGAACTCTTCAGATGAACTTGGGGTAAACCGAGAGAAGTTAGATTGCACCGCGGTCAAGCATAACATGACGAGGGCAAAGAAAAACCCGACTCCTAGAAGTGGATCTAGAAAATGGCCTCCAAAGATCAAATTTTGAATGACGCACCGATAACAACTCCGTAACCAACGCTCTGATCTGATCCATCAAGTGAGTGAATGAGTAACCGAAAATGATTATTTCGCACCAAGAATGGGCTTGAAATCTGCGATTTGAGACATCCTTACAGACACGAAAGGAGTAGAGCTATACGACTGCTAGACATACCGCTTGCCTTCGTTTTTATCATAGCGTCTAAGAATATCGAGAAAGATAAGCAAAGAGGTGGTCTGTCATTCGTGTGATACGTTCATCGTTCTTTGGATGCTAAGGGCTACCAATTGACTGTTGATTGACAAGCGCGGAACAGCGAGAACCAAGCGAGGACACTTACAAATCTCAAGGAGGCCCGTGTCGTTCTATCCTGGTGTATCTTATCAAGGTATTGTAGTGTATGCCAAGGAGGGAGCTCGTGACAGTACCAAAGGGGGGTTGTAGTCGTATAGTGCAGGTCAGTTTTGTAGTTTTCTTAGTATTTGCGGTCTTTGAGTGTACGGAGGTTCCGAGCCATTTGAAGTTAGTTGTGATTGCATGCGATACGCATGTAAGAATGAATTTCATCCAGTCTCCTGTTGTGCTTTCAATATTCTACGGCTAAGGGGGGCTGCTGGCGCTTCTCGACCGTCTCCCATACACTTGTCCGAATCTGTGTATGCATCAGTGATCCTGTCCGCGGTACCATGAGTAAAAGATATATATGCTCACCTCGTGACATGATCATTTTGATTGTCGGATGCACTCCTGTTCGAGCGCTTTGCTCAGTTTCTGAAGTTGGGCAGTGATTGAAGTATCACTACCCTTGGAGGGTGTACTGCGGGCTTGAAAATCGTCCAGGAATCCTTTGACACGAGAAAGGGCGTGTCTGGAGGAGACTGGGGCTGATGAAACGGCCTGCAGATGAACTGGAGAATGGGCTATATCGTCCATGATCTTCAAGTTGTTTGAACGGTATTAGGAAACAATCAGTAGGAGGTTCCCATCAGAGCCTTCCCATGAGCCGAAATTTCAAATTCCACGCTTCTTCTTCCAATCATTTCTGGGCCCAGAAGTTCAAATCCTAGAGGGTCTAGAAGGTTATAGAATTTGAGTTCAAGCTTGCTAAACATTTATACGAACTAGTAGTAGTACTGGCTATGGCAAGGCTATGGGGATTCTGAATCTCGAGAGTTGGCAAGCACCCCACGGCCGGCCCGGAACATATATCGGGTGGGATTCCATTTACGGAAATTAATATTAGCGCTTCAGGTGACATTTTTGTGGTTCGACTGTATTTCATCTCACTGTGGAAGAAGCGACAGCTGACAACTACTCTCTTTTTATTCAGCACCACGACCTCCAAACTACCTCCTCCTTATCCCTCTCGACGTCTGCTGCAATGGGAAAAATGACTTCAATGATGGGTCTACTCTTGACTCACCCTTTCGAGTTCAGAACTCTCGTTCATTTCTACCTTTACCATGAGACGAAACGCGATATCACCGCTCAGCAAGAGCACCCCACGTCAGGCTGGGACCGCGCCTCCATGCGCCGCTGCTGGGAATTCCTTGACATGACAAGCAGAAGTTTTGCAGCTGTCATCAAGGAGCTTGACGGCGACCTTGCAAGAACGGTAAGCGCTTTGCTTCTTTCATGTTTCTCCTTTGCACGGGAGAACAACCCATCTCTGTATATATTTGCATACATGTTTAATCATTTCTTCTAACCCATCTCCGCCACTTTCATGATTGACCCTGCCTTTACAGATTTGCATGTACTACCTCATTCTGCGCGGGTTGGACACCATTGAAGATGACATGACCATCCCCGACGAGAAGAAGCAGCCGATACTCCGTAAATTCCACGAGCTAACAGTAACGCCTGGCTGGAACTTCACCGAGAACGGCCCTGAGGAGAAAGATCGCCATCTGCTCCTTGAATACCACACTATTGTTGAAGAAGTTAATAGACTACCACCACAGTATGTTCATGCATTCATCCACCCTCTTCTATATCCTGCTTAACATCTTTTGTAGATACAAGACAGTCATTCTTGACATCTGTCAGAAAATGGAGAATGGTATGGCGGATTACGCACATAAAGCCGTAATCAATGGCACTGTTTACCTCGAGACTGTTGCGGACTATGACCTCTACTGCCACTACGTTGCGGGTCTCGTGGGTGAAGGCCTCACTCGCATTTGGTCAGCTTCAGGCAAGGAAGCGTCCTTCCTCTGTGATCAACTTGAACTGGCAAACTCTATGGGTCTTCTCCTCCAAAAGACCAACATCATTCGTGACTTCCGAGAAGACGTCGAGGAGAAACGTTTCTTTTGGCCCCGAGAAATTTGGGCAAAATACGGCTTCGAGGAAATGAAAGACTTGTACGAGAAGGGTGACGTTGAGCATGCCACGTGGATACAAAGTGGGATGATTCTCGATGCCCTGCGACATGCATGCGACTCCTTGGACTACCTGCACCTGCTCAAGAACCAGAGCGTGTTCGTGTTCTGCGCAGTCCCCGTCACCATGGCAATGGCTACATTGGCGCTTTGCTTCATGAACCCAGAAATGTTCCAACGGAATATCAAGATACGGAAAGCGGAGGCTGCTCATGTACGTTATTTGCACTGATGCATTTGTTTAGTGATGCTTACACGCCTTAGCTTATCATGCGGTCAACAAATACGAGAGAAGTCGCCCTGATCTTCCGGGAGTATGCACGGAAGATCCACCACAAGGCGAAGCCTCATGACCCAAACTTCCTCAAAATTTCGGTGATGTGCTGCAAGGTAACTCATGAACACTTTCACATTGTTTGTCTGTGACCAAACATCTTGTTTTAGATCGAGCAATGGTACGAACAAAATTACCCCTCGTTCATCATACTCGGTGAGAAGGGACCGACATTCGACTCTTCAGACAAGAGAACAGCCATATTCAGAGCAGAAGAGAAGCGGGCAGCGGAGCGCCTTACTGCAGACCCAAGGAACACACCCCTGCCTCAGGATTTGTTCCCATGGGAGCTTGCTACCTGGGTCGTTGGCGCGTCCTTGCTTATGCTTGGTCTCAGCGCATTCATCGTATGGGCCATTCTCAAGTTCATTCCTCAGGCATAGGGATCAAGGTTTGGACGTTGGACGGTTGCATTTTGGTGTTTTGGATTTTGGAAGATGCAGTACATACCATACCCTTCAAACTTACTGTTATCATTAATGGACTGAGATGCTATCATGTGATATCCTTGTTTTTGTACTTTGGATCAATGTCAGTCCGTTTCATGACACGGACCGACCGTTTCCTGCATGTCCTGGTCCTCGCTTGCAGCGCGGCCGCAGTGCATATAAGCTATGAGGTAACTTGTATATTATTGTTCGCTTCAAGCTCCACTGCTGCACCTCGGCCTTTTGGATTAACGACACGGGGTCCTTCCTGGCTTAGCACAAAGATGTATTGCGAGCCCACGACTTCAGTTACCTGCGAATTTTCAGCATGGCAGGTACGTATCAGCGAAGGTAATAGAGAAAATCTAGGGGCATCGGGTAGCCGAGTGACCCCCCTACACCGTGAACCCCCCCGTGCGGTATTTCCCGAACGATCCTAGGGTTGCTATTAGTATCTGTGCGAAACACATCAGCGAGGGGCATAAGTTGCTGGGTTACAACTGCGGGATACAATTACTTTCTTTTAACAGTTACAATTGACTGTTCGTCGTTTTGCAGATAATCCCGGACGATGTCTCGATTTGTTCGTGCATCCAAGTATCGGTGAGCACAACGCCCAAGATTGTAGCGCACCGAGATACTGATTGCGTCTCTCACAGCCATGTATTCGGACAGACAGCAAAGAAGGAGCACGGATATGACAACGTGAAGTTATCCAACAGCGCATGGGACACCAATCTCGTCTCTGCCTCCGGGGTGACTACTCTCCATCTTCACATTCGTCCTCCGCTGATCTTTCCCCCGCTCAGCGATACATCAGCGTTAACTGGAACGCATCCGGAGGTGGCGCATTCGCAATACTTCCTCTTCCCTCCCCTTTCGCAGCTGTACCCAACTTCCCGTACAAGCTTCCTGATGTCATTCCCCTCGCGCGCAGTCACACCGCCCCCGTCCTCGACACCGATTGGTCCCCGCACAATGACTCAATTGTTGCTTCGGGTGGTGAGGACGGCAAGGTCATGATCTGGAAGGTCGAGGCCTTCCGCTTTTGAAGACTGGGGTCAGGATCATTGGGTACCAGAAGACTTTGACCCCGTCGCCCGTATCGATGCATCACCGCGCAAGATCGGTCAGGTTCTCTTCCACCCCACCGCATCTAACGTCCTCGCCAGTGCATCTGGCGAACATACAGTCAAACTTTGGGATCTTGCTGATACCGATCGTCCACGGTCTATTCTCACCGGACATAACGATACCATCCAGTGTCTCGCCTTTAACCCTACCGGCACCCTCATGGCAACGACTTGTAGAGACAGGAAACTCCGTCTATTCGATCCTCGCGCAGGAGGTGAAGCCGTTCGCGTAACTGAGGCGCATGGTGGTATCAAGGGCGCCCGCGTCGTGTGGATGGGCGATCTCGACAAGATTACCACCACTGGCTTTAGCAAGATGAGTGACCGTCAAGTGTCCATATGGGAAACGGGAGGTCTTGGAAATACCAAGACGATGACCATTGATCAGTCTGCTGGTGTCATGATGCCTTTCTGGAGCGACAATGGCATTCTTTTCCTGGGTAAGCACCTCGCATGTGCTTAGAACCCGTATTTTCTCATATCATTGCTTCTAGCTGGTAAAGGGTAAGATGGAATCGAACGCATTGTTTTCATGGTTAATTTCAAATCAACAGCGATGGTAATATCCGATACTACGAGTACGAGAGTGACTCGCTATTCGCGCTAGCAGAGCACAAATCGGCAGATCCCCAGCGGGGAATTTGTTTCCTACCTCGTCGTGCTCTCAACGTTTCGGAGTGCGAGATCGCCCGCGCGTACAAGGTGTCAGGGTCCTGCGTGGAACCTATCGCCTTCATCGTGCCTCGTAAAGTAAATATTTCTTAAAATCTTGGATCGCATTCGCTGACGAACATACCAGGCGGACTCATTCCAGTCCGACATTTACCCACCTGCGGCCTCGTCAGAGTCTGCTCTATCTGCGAGCGAGTTCTTTGCTGGAAAGGCTGCCACATTGAAGCTCGTTAGCCTCGAGAATGGCGCCGTGTTCAATGGTGCACAGTCAACATTCACGCCCTCGGCGCCTGCGCCCGCACCCGCACCGACACATGCGCCTGCACCAACTGCGTTCAGCGCACCTCCACATGTCACAAAAGCTGTCTCCATGCCTGCGCCTGCGGTACAAACACCAGTCATGTCAAGATCTGACTCGGCACCAATGCCCCCTCGACCCGCCTCACCTATCTTAGAGTCTCCAGCCATCCTTACTCCACCAACGCGAGCCAACGATGATGTAGGTCTTCCTGGCATTTATCGTGAATTCTGACATCTGAGCTACATGTAGGGCAAGACTACTGTGTTAGAGACTGAAGTCGACCGGCTCAACAGTGAGCTGCGCGCAGCACGGGAAAAGATCCGCAACATGGAGTTGCAGGTCGAGGGCCTTAAAGCCAACGCGAGGAAGGCGGCTCAGGCTTTGATGGAAGGATGAGGATTGGGTTCATGAGAGGCAGGTGGTGAGTGTAAAATGGCGCCTGATGAGTCTAGAGGTGCTTCACGTAGATTGATGGTCGTGTACTTGGTTATCACATCTTGTATTCCTGCGTTTGGATGGACGTTCCCTTTTGGACTTATCCCCTGCATGGTACCACAACAGAAGGCCTAGTCCTGGAGGTGAGACGAGGCGATATGTATCACGAAGATACGAGGGCAGAGGGTTATTTACTACAACGGGGGAAAAGAGAATAGGCTGGGCCACGATGGGTTCAACTTGACAGCGGCGCACGCAGCATAGTGACGCGTCATAGCCGCGTCATACTTACCATGGGATGGTTTGGGGATTGATGCTGGGGTTTCCCACTACTCAAGTATGTGCACCAGGACACCATTGGCATGCTGATATGACACAGTCGGTTTCCTAGCGAATTAGCGGATGGCACTTTCTGCATAACTCAGCGTTCTGGACTCCAACTTGCAAGACGTCATGCACCCAATGTTCGCCACGGAGGTCATCAAGACGCGCAAGTATCCACCTAAAATGAAATAATAGAGAGATGAGGTGAGGTGAATCTTACCGTCAAAAGGTGCTCATCATGATAATGGGCCAGTGTCACGGTCAAGCTAAGCGCGGTTTTCGTTCATTCATTAGTTCCGTGCTGATCATGATGCCCTTTATAGATGCTGCGTCAAAATATTAATCTGTAAGTTCTTGAAAAACAGTATTCACGCTAGCATCATGAGAATGCAGAATCTCCTGATCATTGGTAGCCTATGGCTTAACCAATAGCCAGCCGAGTGTGGAGCAATTGAATCACAACAAGACACTTTCAGGGATAAAACTGAGCCGCAAGCTGAAAAATCCAATTGCCTGAACATGGTGTTATTTGTGGGTAACAAAGAGTTGATATTCCAAGCCCTCTGATTCAGATGAATTAGACCCTTCATCAAACGAAAAGTGAATGTACAATGGAGGAATTCAGATCCCAACCCCCGGCACTCCCTGCTGCTGCTCTCCCCGTTTGCACCACTTAATGTCCTCTCCACACCCCTACAAATTATGACAACATAACAATATACGCCTCGGGACTCGGTTCTGGTCGCAATCTCTGTGATTTGCGACATATCCCGTACACTCTTCCCCACACCTCAACCATTGGCATGAGATGGGACCGCACGTGGCGTCCGAGTTCGGCATGGCTCTTGCACTAAGAAGACTGACAGCCGTTAATGCCAGGAGAATTATTGTCGGGAGATTCATCTAGACTATCAGTGTCATAAGTTGGATCTACAACTACAGGTTGATGAGTTGACTCTTACCGTCGAAAAGTGCGAGCCTATAACCAGTGTTAGGCTAAGTGCAAGTCGTTTTTTATTCGTTCGTTCATCAGTTCCGTGCTCATGCGCTTTATAACTGCTGCTCGTTAAAATATTAATCCATAAGTTCAAAAAGCAGAATCAACGCTAGCATCATGAGAATGCAGAATCTCTTGATCATCAGTGGGGGTTTAACCAAGAGCCGCCGAGTGTGGAGCAAGCCAATGACAACGGGCCACGAGCCTGCCGCGGCCGTGACACGGGCATTCTTGAATATTGGTCGCCAAGGTATTCTCATGCAGACGCAGCATTGACGCGGCACCATTTTGAATTGCGCCTTGAAGTATCATGTTATGTCGCTCGAAACATTTTGATTTTTATTACCGATGGATGTCAGTCGGCGTAAGACCATAGAGTGCTGAAATAGATATCTCACCACATTTATGGTGCTCGTCATATACGGACTCCACATTTAGGCAATCTGCAAGGATATATGCTTTATCACAGCTTAACGTGTGAGCAAAACCAATACACATGACATATATGCACGTGTAGCGGTACTAGGGAATTCGAAAGTTCAGTGTTCACGGATGAATACAACTGCCATGTCCATTCCTGAACTAATGCACATGCTGGCGACGAACACTCGCACATTGCATTGTTTTGTAATGTTAAGGTGGCCAGCAGCAATTTGATGTGCTTCCCGCTGTGACGAAGATACTGGCACATCAAGACATACTTGATAGGGAAAGTCGCATTCAGCCGTCATCAGACAAGAAGGGCAAGAATGACGGACGTCTCCCAAAACGAAAGTTGTCGATGTTCCTCTCGGAACAAGCCTCATATGTTTGTTTTCTGCAATTATTGGTGCGTAAGATTTGACTGCGTCCTTCACCAGGGTGGTCCTGTTGGTGCGCACGTCCGAATTGGCTGTTTTCAATTTTTGGGCATCCATGCTTGTTTGATTCCTCCCACAGTTTAGTACGCGCTCTACATCTCGATGCAACAACTCCACCACTCGCGCAACCTCCCAGTATCATTTCGAAGGCTCTCTCACCAAGAAAATTGTTTCGCTCGTTCGCCCATCAGGACATACTCTCATGTACCAGCGGGACAAAGTGTTTCGTGTAGCCACCACGTCCTCGCCAGCAAGTATGTGCATCGAAGGACATGGAGTGCGAGTCTCTGGACCCTTGTCCAGAACTCTTAAACCTCTTTCTCATCCCGTCTCTCTGTTCTTTTTGTGGACCTGCGCTGCCTTCGATGTGCCCACATGTGATTTACTTGTCGTACTCATAGTGAACTATTCACTCCAGTCCATGATTCAGAGCGCTAGCACATGATAATTAGTGCGCAATGACATTTAGAGCATGGTTTCAGTCTCGATGGCGTGATTCTCAGAGTACCATTCAGCATACTTTCAGAGGGCATTTCAGCACCTTATAATGTGAATCTTAGGACAATATGATCTGATTCGCTTACTGAATTTAATTGGATTCACCACCTACAGTGTCAAGCTCAGCGTGGTTTTGTTATTCATTCGTCAGTTCTGTGTTCATGGGCTTTATAGCTGCTGCTCGTCAAGATATTAATCCGCAAGTTCGAAAAACAGCATTCACGCTAGCATCATGAGAATGCAGAATCTGGTCATCGGTAGAGGCTTAACCAAGAGCCAGCCGAGTGCAGAGCAATTGAATCACAACAAGACACTTTCAGGGATAAAACTGAGCCGCAAGCTGAAAAAAATCCAACTGCCTGAACGTGGTGTTGTGGACAACAGAGAGTTAAGATTCCAAGCTCTCTGATTCAGACGAATTAGACCCTTCATCAAACGAAAAGTGAATATACAGTGGAGGAATTCAGATCCCAACCCCCGGCACTCCCTGCTGCTACTCTCCCCGTTTGCACCACTTAATGTCCTCTCCACACCCCTACGAATTATGACAACATAACAATTCATCCCTCGGGACTCGGTTCTGGTCGCAACCTCTGTGGTCTGCGGCATATCCCGTACACACTTCCCCACACCTCAACCATTGGCATGAGATGGGACCGCACGTGTCGTCTGAGTTCGGCATGGCTCTTGCACTAAGAGGACTGACAGCTGTTAATGCCAGGAGAATTATTGCCGAGAGATTCATCTAGACTATCAGTGTCATAAGTCGGATCTACAGCTACAGGTTGATGAGTTGACTCTTACCGTTTAAAAGTGCGAGCCTATAACCAGTGTTAAGCTAAGCGCAAGTTGTTTTTCGTTCGTTCGTTCGTCAGTTCCATGATCATGCGCTTTATAGCTGCTGCTCGTTAAAATATTAATCCGTAAGTTCGAAAAACAGCATTAACGCTAGCATCATGAGAATGCGGAATCTCTTGATCATATCGGTAGAGGCTTAACCAAGAGCCACCGAGTGTGGAGCAAGCCAATGACAATGGGCCACGAGCCTGCCGCGGCCGTGACACGGGCATTCTTGAATATTGGTCGCCAGTGTATTCTCATGCAGATGCAGCATTGACGCGGCACTAGCCCTACTCCATGGCGGGCATGTCATGACCGCGTCATGTGAAATAAACTATAAAATCATTATTGCCGTGACACGGTCGTTCTTGGACGCCAAAGTATCCTCATGCAGACGCAGCATTGACGCGGCACCATTTTGAATTGCGCCTTGAGGTATTATGTTGTGTCACTCGAAGCATTCTGATTTTTATTGTCGACGGATGTCAGTCAGTGTAAGACCATAGAGTGCTGAAATGCACATCTCACCACATTTACGGTGCTCGTCATGACAGACTCCACGTTTAGGCAATCTGTGAGGATATATGCTTTATCACAGCTTAACGTGTGAGCAAAACCAATACATATGACACACGTACTACGTATTCAGTGTTCGCTGACGAATACAGCTGCCATGCCCATTCCTGGACCAATGCACATGCTGGCGACGAACACTTGCACATTGCGTTGTTTGCAATATTCAGGCAGCCAGTAGCAATTTGACGTGCTCCCGCTGTGACGAAGATACATCAAGACATAACAGATACAGAAAAGTACCGCATCTGAGTGGGTGTTCGATCGGGATCGCACCCCATTGACATTCGCTTTGTCAAATGACAAGGCAGCCTTCTGGACGCTGTAAACAGTCTTGAGATGCGAAAGCTTCGTTTATTTCATAGAAGTCAACATAGTCAGACTCTAGACGCGTCAAATGCCGTTCAACCTGATTAATATTCTGTCTTCAGTAGGGCAGCAGTACCAGTCATCTTGCCTCGCCTGGAAATAAGACATGTAAGTCTATCCTGTGTCCTGCTTGTATTCAGAGTCAACTGACATCAATGGCCTCAGCGCGACGCCCACAGACCCCGTGGGACATCTGGATCTTCCACCATACTGGAGGAGTAAGCTACAAAGGTGTGTGTACTCGCCATTTTATCCGCTTCACAACATATTGATCAACGTCGCATCTCCATTGGTAGACGCCAAAAGACAAGACTTGAATCTGTTCTCCACAATGTTGTTTCTGGCACGAGTCAAATTTTGTCGCTGCAGTTTTCTAGACTGGCAAGGCTCACCATCCTTTCACCAAGCTCTCTGGTTTTAAGCAAAGACTCCAAACTAGCAACCGGAGAAAACATGTCGGTAGCCTCGACAATGAGGTACTGATTCGAATCAGTACTTCATGCTTATCCAGTGCATGGTTTCGTGCTGAAGATGAACGCGATTAGTGCATTCCAGTGAATCATGTCATAGGTAAACCTCATAGTGCACTATATCCACATACCTACATCTCATGCATCATGGATGTCTGATTCATACCCCATCACCCGACGACGAGGAAGTAGAGTTTGGGGATCGCGGGGCTTGATGAGTGACTGAGTACTATGAGATGTGGTTTAAATTGGAAGAATACTGGAAGAGACGCACAGCTGCAGGTAATGAACGTTTGAGAGCCATCGTAAATCTACTAGTATAGATACACGAAATCGCTATGCCACTTATGTCGGTGGTAGTGCCCTCAGATACATGCCGGGACATCCGAATTATTACGATGCTCGTCCACAAGCACAAGAATGCGACCTACGACTTGCTGCCCATCCTTCAAGTCCACATCGCTCCCACCATACTCTCCTTCCTCAGCATTATCCTTATCTAATTTGCGTTTCCCATGCTCGGGGTTGAGTTTTAAGGATGAGCTGGATATGGAATGAGAAGAACACGTGCGCTTCTTAGGTGGCGGGTCGCCGAGGGCTCCGCTGTAAAGAGGTTCAGCTCTGGGTAGTATTGAGTCTTCGCTAGACAAAAGTCAATGCACCTGCGAGCTGTGCGTGTGCTATGGTTGCTGATCAGGATCGCCAGTAGTTGTGGGTTCGGGATTGGTTGAGCAGTGAAGCCCTTGTTAGATGTGTCCGCGTGAAAGCAGGATGTATACATGAGGATGCGTGCCTTATTAGTAGGAAAAGGAACGTGTCAAGGCGCATCGAGGATGTCGTAGTTCGCGGCTTTGAGGGCGTGCAGTGTTCGAAAGACCTTGATGGCATATAGGGTATAGCACGGGTATGGTACACCAGACCCTTCAGTCATATGTACTGCAGAACCTGTTGATAGGACGTGTACATTGACCTGCAAAACCAGGTGTACAGGACACCGGCCGGCCCATGCACTGCCTGTATAGGCCGGTCATGCAGAACCCTGGCAGGCCGGTGTCCTATATACAGAATGATATCTCTGCAGTATCTGTGTAGGCTGGTGATGCAGACTACCTATATACATATCCAGGCTGTGGTTGACATGTGGGTAGGCCTGGTCATGCAGGCTGTATGGGGTGACTGGCTGGCATGCTGCTGGTTTCTGGCACAGTAGGCCAGCCCACAGTAGCAGTCTGTGGGAAGGGGACGGCCGGTTTGCTTCTCATATCTGGCTGAGTAGGCCAGTCCCCCCTTACTGTCTGCAGGAAGGGGCCGGCCAGCAGGCTTTGGGCATCTGGCCCAGTGGCCTGCCCACCCCTGCAGTATGTGGAGAGTGGCTGGCCGGCCTAGGAATAAATTCTTGCTGGGCCAGCCTCCATGTGCAACCTGCAGGTCATGGCCGGCCGATGTGCTTTGGGCATCTGGTCCAGTGGCCTGCCCACCCCTGCAGTATGTGGAGTGTGGCCGGCCGGCCTAGGAATGAATTCTTACTGGGTCAGCCTCCTTTTATGGTCTGCATGGATGGGACATACTGCTGGCATACATGTGAGACAAGAGCTAGTAGGACACATAACAAATTTGACAATAGTATTCATAGATTTTAAAGTTTTCATTTTGAAGCAAATTTCAGTACATTTGGAGAGATATTTATTGGAGTGGGTGTGTAGTGTGCTCAATTTATAGCTTATGACACATTCATTTACTTCTGCATACTGCATTCCAGAACTTTATGTGGTGATCTGACCTTTAGAGCCAACCACAAAACTAGCCTCCAGCACCAATAAGTTGGCCATGGGAAGAGATCTACTTGGATTTTCTTCAAAACAAAAATATGGCACTGTGTATTATGTTGGGGGGAACCTAAATAAAACATACATAAGGATTCCATCAGAATTGCATGTGCTAGAGTCAATTTGTGGACTCTTGGGACATACTTGCTCAGTACTTTTGTCTTTTATCTGTCCACAGAATTGACCACGAAGGAGAGTTGGAGACTGGCACCTTTGCCCTTACAATTGATGTATAGAGTACACCCCCTCCCCATTCTGACCCAACCACTCAGTAAAGCTCCAGTGGGTTATACACTCATTATCTAACACATTTATGGAGTACCCCTTATCATCACACTTAACCACACTAAGTCAAGTTCCACTTCTAGGGCGGCCGGCCACCTCCCACATACTGCAGGGGTGGGCAGGCCACTGGACCAGATGCCCAAAGCACATCGGCCAGCCATGACCTGCAGGTTGCACATGGAGGCTGGCCCAGCAAGAATTTATTCCTAGGCCAGCCGGCCACTCTCCACATACTGCAGGGGTGGGCAGGCCTACTGGGCCAGATGCCCACAGCACATCAGCTGGCCATGGCCTGCGGTTTGCACATGGAGGCTGGCTCAGCAAGAATTTATTCTGAGGCCGGCCGGTCACTCTCCACATACTGCAGGGGGTGGGCAGGCCACTGGGCCAGATGCCCAAAGCCCGCTGGCCGGCCCATCTATGCAGGCTGCAAAGGGAGGCTGGCCAAGCATGAATTCATTCCTAGGCCGGCCGGCCACATACCACATACTACAGAAATGGACAGGCCTGCTGGGCCAGATGCCCACATGATGCCGGCCGGCCCCTTCCTGCAGACAGTAAGGGGGGGCTGGCCCAGCAAAAAATCATTCATGGGGCGGCCGGCCACAGCCCACATACCACAGAGCTGGGCAGGCCTACTAGGCCAGAATCTGTTTACATTCTGAATACTCACATCACACTTTTTTTACAAGTCAGGAAGATCAACATTACATTAGCTTATCAACTCGTGAACTATCAACTTGTTATAAGTAATTTTCCTTCAAAATTCTCGAGGCCCTGAGCTGAAAATTCTGCCCACATAGATGCCTGCCTCTCAGCATATGCCCTATTCCCATTCTTGATGCTTTCATCTGCCCAAACTCTCCACCTCTCCTCCTGTGTCCGAAACCAGGATATGGTCCAAAACATTTCATGTTGTACCAATTTCAGTTCTTCTGACCAACAGTCGTACCTTGCTTTAGCTTTCAACCAATTCACACGATAAACTGGAAATGGGGAATATAAGCTAATTCACTTGATAAAAAACAGATCACAATGAAACTTACACTCATTCATCCATACGTTCTTCTGACTGTCCTCTGCATTGTTGATCCTCCAAAACCAAGCCAATTTATCTGAACCCTGCCCATGTCTGTTTTCTTCTGTGACTTCTTTGCTCACCACTAGGTCCTGAGGCTTTAGGGGTTGATACACTGCCACTGTATCAGAGTCAGCCCCTAGGTGGAGCATTGCAGCCCTTGCCCGGCTGTAGCCTCTTGCATGTCTGTTGATGGAGAGAGTTATCATTTGAAGTTCCTTTTTAGATCTAGTGCCCTGGTGATGGACTGATTTGTTGGAGTGTATTTTCTCCCGAAAGACAACTGATCTATCACCCAGGGCTTGACGAAGCTTTTCCAGGCAGTCGTTTGCTTGGCCCTTCTGAAGCTCGAGTTCTTCTTGACGTAATGCCAAGATGACATCATCCATGATGTGACCAGAGGTTGCCCATGATGGCATCCAAATCTCAGTGACTTCTGCAGGTGAGTCAATATTACTGTCAAAGTCCAAAATGTCCTCTTCCTCTGGATCTTCCATATTGGATATGTCAGCCTCCTCCAGGCACAGTTCAGGGTTGTCCAGTGGTGCTCCTTCACCTCCCTTCAATTCCATACCATTAGTCATGACCTCTGCAGCCTCATGGAACTTAATAATCCGTGCCATGAGCTTTTGCCTTTTTTCTTCAATCGCGGTTCTCTGAGAAGCAGTCGGATCCTGGGGCAGCTGCCTTATAGACAATCTCAAGGCATCTCTAGTAACACAATTTAAGTCAATCCAATCCCAAAGTTAAAATACCTTACTGAGAATTTTCTATATTTATACCCTCGATCAACCATGCAACAGACCCAGTCCTACCATTAGCAGATAGTTCATTTTCAGTCAATCTGAGACGTATTTCAGCCATAGAGGGTGCTTTGAATTATTTTCCATCAGGGCAAAATCAATGTCCACAACGTAAGACCTACCTTTGTCCATTTTAAGCTGATAGATGTCAAGAAGCTCTCCACGGTCCTGAGCCGCTTTTTTGGCTGCCTTTTTCCACTCCTGAACATCATCCAAGTCAAGCGATTTGGTTAATTCCTCATATGGACCCTGAGTGTCACTAACACCCTGTAGGGCTTGACGATACTTTTTGAGTAATGACTTGACTTTTGCCAAGTTTATGTCAGGCGAAGTAACAGAAACCAGAATAAATTGGACTTGCCAATGCCAACCAGCTTCTTCCAATTGGAATCCCGCATATGGTCATCCAAAACTTCCTTTCGGTGAGCCAAAGACATGGATCTTGCAGTAGGGGAAATCTTGTTGAAAGGAGCCCAGAGCGTCTCCAATATTTCCCCATCAATATGCCTGGCTCCGGTCATAAAATTCAGGCTGAACCTAGGAAAGCATTGAAGCTTATGTGCGCTCAAATGAAACTTGCCAACTGCAGGTAATATTTCGGTCCCCTCGGGAAGGGACAGATGATAGCTTTGGTCCACCCGTTCAGCAAAGTGAATACTCCACTGACATGCAACATCATAGATGATGAGCATACTGCCAATATGTTCGGGTGTATATTTAACCGCATTGCAAATGGAATAGTCCATGTTCATGTGCCTGACTACAGGGTCAGTCCATTGTCTGAAACAACAAAACAATTACAGACCGCTCTCCCTTTTGAAAGTCCACCACTGTGTGAGGAACAAAGCATCCATGCCTGGCACATGCTGTTGCCCCAACCCCTGTAGCTCTAAGGTTGCTTCTTTGGATGTTTGTTGCATTCACTGCCCGATGATTGCTGCAAGTGGATTTCTTCAAAAATATTATAAGTCAGGAGTAACCAATCGTTCAAAATCATCACTTGCCTCTTTCTCTTCTACAGAATCATGGATGTGAGCTTGATAAGGTCCCTCTGTTACCATGTATCCCTTTCCATCTGCTAGAGAAACATCGTCTTCCGGAATTTTCATTTTCATATGTTGTGCTGTGAAATTTCCATCGACCACATATCTTCGCATAACTAACCACCTACCACAGACCAATAATGAGTGACATACTACTGCAATAGTTATGAGTCAGCTTACTCTTCATAGTCATATCTCCAAGACGTTGGCAAGTTGATTCCAGGTTGTGGACATGTTGGGCAATAAAGGGCTAAATCCCCTGGACCAGGGGACCGTTCCGTGTCATGTCCAAACCCGAACCTTTTTCTATTGACCAAATCCCGCCATATACGTGACACTCGCATAAGCTCACGGTATCGATCCTTTTTGTCCTATCAGCAGGGCACACAATCATATAAAATTACTCACTGGTATTTTATCAGGGAAAGCATTGTTTGTGAACCGACGGAGCTTTTGATAGAAACTCATGGCTGAAGTCTTGCACTCCAAAGTGTCTATGAGGAAGTTATCCAGGACATCGAATGTGAAAGCAGATCGAGGGCGAGTGATACTGGCAGGAAATAACCTTGCTTTCATGAGATGGAGATGATGTGCCTTCTCAGCTCCAGGACACCAGCACCATGATACACTGTGTGAGTAAACACCAGTAGAGTGTACAATGACCAGGTTAGATACTCCTGACTGCGTGTCATTAATTGTATCCCCCTCCTCCTGTGCAAACACATCTTCCATGGACCCAAGATCTTCCCAGGGAGATGGGTCTGGCTGATGTGAGAGATTGGGGCAAGGTTCCCCCCCATGGCCAAGATACATTATATACCCTTGAGCCTGCAGGGTAGTAGTCTCGTAGAACCTGCCATTCCAGAGTTGAAGGTTGTGGAAGGGGTTGTGTTGATGAGCTTTAAGAACACAAGAAGAACACCAAGCATGTGTTCCTGAGCAAGACAAACACCGGATCAACCCCTCTCCTTCTCCACAATCTTCGCATTTCCCATTGTTCACCAGCTGCTCTAACTCCAATAACACTGAAAGATATTCAGTGCGCCAAGGCAAATAATCTCGAAGGAAATCATTTTGGGCCTGCACATGATTTTTTTTAAAAACTTGAGACTCCAAAATTCAACAAACTCACTTTTGTTTTTCTTTTCCCTCCCATCCAAAAATCACCATGAACCTCTGTGTTGTATTCCAGCGGTATATGATCTTCAATATGGTGATGCCTGATTTGTTTTGATGGTGAAACCACTTCTATCTCACTATCAGAGTCCTCATAGACAAATGAAGCATTAGCTTCTTTCCACGAATCTTTTCCCCTCCGAGTTTTTGAAGGGATATATGCATATTTATAAGCCCCTCTTTTTCTCTTTGATGGGCGAGTTCCAGATGAAGATGGCTGGACTCTGACCCTGTTTCTATTCCTTGGTGTGATTTGCGAGCTCATGAAATCGAGAGTCTGTCAAAGGGGACAAAACAACAAGAACATTGACATTATCCGGGCAGTCCACCACCACCACCGCCCACACACCCTAAAACAGTCCTGTTCCTATCCTAACTATATTTGTAATTTATTGGCTCTCCGACCCGCGGGTTTGGGTTTCCTCCCTACCAACTCTAAAAAGTTCCTCTGCAAAGGAAAACTTGGCCTTGGCACTTTAACTCTATCATGCACAGCATCCTTCATAAAATGGGCAACCACAATTCTTTCTCCATTAATCCAAGGACCCACAGAGTGCTCCAGTACCCTACCGGCAATGTAGACCATTGCACCAGGGGAATAGTCTAGCTCTGCATGGACATCGGCCAAAGAAAGAGTTGCATGATGGTTCCGACCTAAACTGACTAGAAGATCAAAAAGTGAAGAGATCCACCAGGATCTCTGTGGCTGAAGGTTGTTCGGTTGGCAATGATTTCCAACCCTGAAAAGATAGAGGGCCAAGAATCCACTGGAGCCGAATTATTTTTTCGCTGCTGAACCTCCTTGACAACCTTGGAAAATGCAGAGGTGCCTGATTCAAAAAGTTCTGGTGCCACTGCTGCAGTAATGGAGTTCCATAGAAGTTCTGATGTTGTTAAAGCTTCTAGCCATTTTTGGACCTCCTTTGAGTTGTAAGACTCCGACGTTACGAGAGGATCTATCAATCGCTAATAACCAAGTGAGAACTGGGAAAATTCAGCACTGAAAATACAATACCTCTTGTCTTTGCATGAAATATGCAGGTGACACAGTAATCCTACCAGCCCCAAATTCACCCCTCTGGCACCACAAAGCCATCATCTCTCCAACTCTTTTTTTGATCCGAAATGGGCAGCAGGGTATCAAGAAGAGAATTTCGTAAGCCTGAGGTGGCATTGTTAACGTACTCCTAATTAATCAATCAGTCCCTGAGGGAAAATCCCATCCAGAAACATACCAGGCGAGCAGGTGACAAAATATTGGGCAGGTAAACCATCAAAATTCTGCCATGCCTGTCTACAATGGTGGCTGGAGTTGAAATTTTGCTGAGCACTGCCTCAGAGAAGTACTTCTTTAGCCTTTCCAGCTCGGAGGTTGCTGACCCATCCCGATTCGGTGGTGACAACTTGACCCTGTCAGCATATCGATCCACATCCCAATCAACATTGACTATACTTCTGCTTAAGAATTCATGACAATTAGAAATATTTGGGGACACTCACTGGGATTGACCATTGCATGGGCAATAGTTAGTGTGGCCTGATCAATTTCATATTCCGAAATTGATGTATTGGTAAATGTAGTGTGATCCGGCGTTGCCAAGCAAATCTGGAGGTGCACTGATATTCTCATTCTAAAAGATTAATCAATTAGAATTCAGCTAAAATTGATGATCCACCATAGATACCTAGCTTTATGCAACAGCTTAGTTACCACTTGCCCATCTTTCAGGACACCCATTTCAGATGAATTCCCAAGTATCTTGCTGATCCTGCTACTCAGAGCTTCCCTTACTTCAGATGCCTGGCTCTTCAGGTTCTCTTCCATGGTGGATGTAAAAAAAGAAAATGAACCAAAGTTCTCACGGACTTGAAACTTAGTTGTGATGTAATTAATGAGTCTATAAATAAACATGATTAGGCTAATTATCGCTAATTAAGGCATATTTGACAAGATGTTCGGGTGTCAGCAGAAATATGTCAGAGTGGCGGCCAAGGTCACAGGACTGCGCAAGCATATCCTTGAACGCCAACCAAATTGGGCACCGTCCAACGAGAACCTTCTCTGTGAATGCGAGGAGCAAATGAGAGGCGAAAGATGGTTGAAAGCAAGGGGCATTGAATGCCTCGATAATGCAGTAAGTGAAGCATGGTCCCAGAATGACACTGGGCCAAGTAATGATACTGTAGGGTATAGATAGTCCTGGTAAATAAAGGCACCGCTACCGATGGTGACCAACAGCGATGAAAGTGTATATGTTAGTGGCGTCATCGAGACGGCTGAAAATGAGTGTATAAGTGGCGACAGAACAAACGCCACAATGACCACGATGCACCCTATCAGTCGCCATCACCAAACAGCCGGCAATGCGAACGCGATGACAGGGTACCTACAACTCAGAAAAAAAAAAGAAGTGGTTGTATGATAGCTATGATAGTAGTACAATGTTTAGTCCATATCCTATGATAGTGTAGGAGGAGTACAGTGTCAATATATAGGAGCAAAATATAATATAATAAACTCACATTGTTTGAGTCGTCTTGGTCAACGAGGATCGCCTCTTCGTCATTGAGGCTGACGTCGTCCATCTCTCCCTATGTAGTGTGAAAGAAGGAATGAAGTGTAAATATAAATGAATACAAGATATACGCTACTCACCGTTTTAGTGATTTGGGATTCATGTTCGTCAATAAGCATCTCATCTTCATTCTGGAGGTTGACGAAGTCCATGACTTGCTATGGTGGTGTTGGTAGAGTGAATGAAGGTGAAAGTCAAGATTTAAGCTAATTGACTACTCACTTCGTCAATAAGCATCTCATCTTCGTTCTGGAGGTTGACGTAGTCCATGACTTGCTATGGTGGTGTTGGTAGAGTGAATTAAGGTGAAAGTCAAGATTTAAGCTAATTAAAAGACTTAATCTTTGACGGTTAGAAGACTTGATCTTTGACAGTAAAACATTACCAAATCCGACGTCTTGGGCTAGGCATGCTCCTGGAGTTTCCTTGAGAAACAAGTAATGATGCTGTAGGGTATAGATAGTCCTGGTAAATAACAACATATGGATGATAATGCAGTAAGTGAAGCATAGGGTATAGATAGTCCTGGTAAACAAACTCACCGTTACTGACAGCGCTGAGATATGGAGAAGGGCGAAAATGGGTGTATAAGTGGCAATAGTAAAAACGCAACAATGACCACCATGCACCCTATCAGTCGCCACCACTAAACAGCTGGCAATGCGAATGCGAACATCTTGTGTTTTGATGGCGGTGGTACTGGCATGGGCTCATGTTTTGGAATACCGGGTGAAAAACGCAACAATGACCATGATGCACCCTATCAGTCGCCATAGACAGATATAATCTCTAGACATTATTACCCTTTAAGGTGCACTCTCACGATCACGTGACAATTATTTTTGGCAAGAATTAAGGATCACATGACATCAAAATGCCCATAAAGGGCAGTACATTTGCGCTATGGCTTCATATCTAATCTAAAGTGTACAAAGTTGGCAAACAAAGACAAAAAACTAATGTAAGTGATGCAAGACAAGGATGGAGGGGCCCTCTCCATCCAAGCCTTGCACCCTAGAGTACAAAATATAGGTAAAATGCGCAGGAACTAATAATCTAATGTAGTGGAAGTCAGTATGATATTGAATATTAAACCGGCGCTTACCAGTTTGAAAAATAACCAAGGAATGGTGAAATCAAAAAATGATATAGAAAGCTAGAGAAAGAAATGCGGTTAGTGTTAGAGTATGATTGAAAGAAGAAAAACCCACTCAACCAGACAGGCGCAAAGCAAGAAACTGTTATGGAAAGCTAGAGAAAAAAATGTGGTTAGTGCTGGGGTATACTTGAAGAAGAAGAAAAAATGGGGCTTAACAAGGCAGGCGCAAAATCTGAAAGAGAGAGGCGCAAAACCTAGACAAAAGTAAAGGCACCAGTGGGTAGGCGCAGTCAAACAGAAAGTGTGATAAAAGGCTAGACAAAGAAACAATGTTAGTACAGCGTATATTTGAAAACTGAAAAAGACCAGATCAACAAACAAAGAAGGCGCAAAAGCTAGTCAACAAGTTAGTAAAAGAATCCCCCAGATCCCAAAGTCACAGCCGCTAGTCCCTAGAGACATAGATAGCTATAGATCACAGCCGCCAGTCCCTGGGGACATAGATAGCTATGAAAAAATCCCTCAGATCCCAAAGTCACAGCCGCTAGTCCCATCCCAAAGTCAAAGCCGCTAGTCCCTGGGGACATAGATAGCTGTAGGTCACAGCCGCCAGTCCCTGGGGACATAGATAGCCATGTAAATATCCCCCAGATCCCAAAGTCAAATCCGCTCCCTGAAGACATATGTCAGATGTGGATGTAATCAAAAGAGACTGACCTTTTTGATAGCGTGCCAGCTATCAAGCATAGCTGTGAATAACAAAGAACAAGTTAGTATATTGTCAGTAAGCTAAGAGACTGACCTTAAGGCGCACTATCAAATCAAAAGGATTTGATAGTGCGCCAGCATGAAGCACAGCTGTGAATCACAAACAGCAAGTTAGTACAGTGAAGGACATGTAAAAAAAAACTTACTTTGTCACATAGTGCGCTTGAAAAATTACTGTAGCGCTGCCTTTGACTACTTGCAGCTGCAGTCTGCAAGTAGCCAAAGGACAGGCACAGAACAAGTTGATATGTTGCGCAAGAAGGAAAGATAGAGAACAAGTTGATATGTTGCGTGCAAGAAGGAAAGATAGAGTGAGCATGGTTGAAGTTGAGAAATATGAACCGTGGGAGGAATATGAATGGTTGAAGTACATGTATTTATTTGTTCATGTTTGCACCGGGTATTGCCGCAGTCAGAAAGAACGGTTGAATTTCACCAAGTCCAAATTTCTGTGTATTCGGACTTTGCTGGCTGATGTCACGTGCATGTTTGGTTGGTTTTGGACACGTGTCTTTCGTCAACGCGTCTTTGTTCTCAACGCGTCTCTTGAGTGTGTTTTGTTGCCTGCTCTTTTGTTCAAGGCGCTTCTTCTGCTAACGCGTCTCTTTTGACATGTGAGTTTGTCCTCTTTTGTCAACACGTCTGTTTTCTCACGTGTCTCTTTTGCTAACCAGCCAGTCTGCACCTAGGACTTTCGTCTTGTGAGTGGTCCACTGTTCTCAACGCATCTGTTTTCTCACGCGTCTTGCTAACCGGCCAGTCTACGCCTCTTTTGTCAAGTGAGTTTGTCCTCTGTTCTCACTGCATCTGAATTCTCAACGCGTCTGTTTTGCTAATCAGCCAGTCTTTTTTCTCATGTGAGTTTGTTTTGTTCATTTTTATTGGCGTTTGTAGGTGTGGTGTACTGACTACAACTTTTCTGCCTGCTCTCCCTCATCAGCAGCCATGGCCCGCACCAAGATGACCACCAAGAAGTCAAACGGTGGCTCAGCGCCACGCGTCCTCCTCAAGGCCTCAAGAACACGTGTTTCTGGAGGACAAGGCCAGCGCAAGAAGGCTTCGTCTACTACCAAGGGTACCTTACCTGTGGGAGGTGGCGACTTAGAGAAGAGTTTTGTTCACAATGAGGTGCATCTAGCGTGTGTTTTCTTTCTCTTCTATTTGCCAATCTACTTTGTCTTTCAGTTTTGCATCATCTGCAGGGACGGTGCAGAGCGCTCTGAAGAGAATACTCTCTTCATGTGCGCTCTGTGTCCCAGAGTAGTCTGCAAAATGTGCCTGCAGCTGCCGCCTGACATCCTCACTAAAGTCCTGCAAGAGGACATCTCATTCAGGTGTATTTGTTGCCATATCAAGATGGAACAACGCGGCGCCTACTTTGTGAGTCTTTTTGATTTTCTTTTGATTTGTTCACAACTCATAGATAACTTGATTACAGGGTTTCTATAACGCCAATGGCCTTCCATTGTTGGACAGGTTCTTGGCCATCAAAGGCGCACTTGAGGTGTCCGAGCAAGCCGAAATATCGGCTGCTCCTGTCCTCTTCATCCACCTTATCCTCGTCGGCTTCCATCCAGCTGCTAGCCCTTTTGCGCTCGCTCACACATTCCTCAAGCCTTACTTCTCTGGTGCCAGCATTCGATAGATACCTCGAGATCTACTACGACATCGCTACGGATGCCAAGCTTGCCCCCTACCGAAATCAAGTGCGCCAGATGATCAAAGGTTTGGGGAAATCATTTGTCTGGGAGCGTGTCGTCATTGGCGTGTCCACTCACACTGACAACCAATATGGAGACCCTTTTACCGGGTATGGGGATGATGATCCAACGGCCTATGTCAGCACTCCGGTCAATGATGTGAGTTTTCTTTTTTTTCAACATGACCGTTATTGACTTCTGTTCTAGTTCTTGGAAATTCTTCTCCACCCCTGGCAAGGTATAATCGACCAAGCTGAGGAATCATACCTGTGGATGCTGTGTTGCGGCTCAGTTGTCACCATCTCCGAGTCATTCCTTGGCTTGCAAGACGCCGTTCTTCGGTAAGTGTATTTGACCATTATTTGACATGCTTGATCTAATGTTTCAATAGACACAACTTGACCGCTACCATGGCATTCAATGCCCCTCGCTTTCAACCATCTTTCGCCTCTCATTTGCTCCTCGCATTCACAGAGAAGGTTCTCATTGGATGGTGCCCAATTCGGTTGGCATTCAAGGATATGCTTGCGCAGTCCTGTGACCTTGGCCGCCACTCTGACGTATTTCTGCTGACACCTGTCATGGAGGGAGCCCTCAAGATCTCTAGGTTTGCATGGGCTCATTTGGAGTTCTGTCCATGGGGCAACCACCTGCCTATCCAATGCAGTGGATGTGGTTGGGCTAATTCATGGCGGTCTGCCTTTGTCAATGGGAGCAAGGACAAGAGTTACATTTTTGAGTGCAAAAATGACTCTTGCAATGTAAGCCACTTGTTCTCTCAGCCACCAGGGTCCACCATACTGTATTCTGGTAGGAAGCATGATGGTACTTGGTTGGATATTCCTGTGGCTTCAAAGTTGGCTTGATTTATATGTTTTTCAGCAATATTTACCTCAAGTCTTACTTTTGCTCAATGTGATCACTGTTACTAGTTTTATTAATGATTTGTTTGGTGTTTGTGAATCTTGAGGTTTGGTGTATAAACTAATGTCATTGAATTTTTGTGTCAGCCAGATGTACTTAGACGTGATTTTTGTGTGAAGTCATGATTAGCATGTGACCGTGTTTTAATCATGTGACATGGTTTGTTGATCTGTTGTCAAGTGAGTTGGGACTGGTTACACGTTCTGCAAACTTATACCGGCCTGCATTCTCAAGATTTTTGCATACAATGGCTGACTGGACACATGTATTCAAGGCTGTTTTGGATGAGCACGAGATTTCCTATGTTTCAGCTAAAGGAAACCCTGCTGAGAGGGCACAAATCCTCAAAAACATCAAAGATACTATACTTGAAAGCAACGAGGCTAAGGATCCTTCGACTATGCTTCCAGGCAATAACGTTCGGAAGGTGAGCTTCCAGTCTCTTTGTCTATATTAATCTAATTTTATAGGCTATCCGTACATATTACTTGCGTTTTCTGGAGGACGACGAGGACCGTGATCTTGAGCAAAAAATCATCGAGGGAGCTCATAAACTCACATCTGGTGCAGGCATCATCACTGTAGATATGGTCAAAGACCATCAGGATGATAAGCCTCTGGATGCTGCAGCATTCAAGACTGAATTCTCGACTTTTGATGTCGCTCAGAAATTGTTCAAAGAAGAAATTGGGGAGTATGACAAGAAGCACCGTGACACCTCTGACCTAAGGTCCATGGGGACAAGGACAAAGCTGGTCCAGTCCTGGTACAATGCCCTGTCACCAGATGTACATGAGGAGCTCAGACTTGTGGCAGAAAAGTGGAACCAGGAAGGTGCTCATTCCGACGCCAAGGACAGGTATGTTTTTAACACTACATTGCTATATTTAGGAAAAACTCATGTGTATCTACAGATACCGCAGCCGACACCAGAAGAAAATCATGGAGGACTTCATAAAGATGGCAGGAAGAACTATGGGTTTACATGTCGTCATGCTCGTAGCTCATGATCGAGGGGAGGGCAAAATGCCTGGAACAACCATGTCAGTGTTATGTTTTCCTATTGACATCACTATCAATAATCTATTGGTTTAGCTGGGAATCCTGTCCCAGGACAGCGAAGAAAACTTTTACTCTGGCTTCCAAAGAAAACAAGAAATGGGCTGGAGAGTCGCAAGACCGACTTGCTGACTGGCTGAATGAAGCCGAGTACAGTAAGTCTTGGATACTGTAATGTATTTAATCGCTAATGATCTAGCGACAGACATAGACCCTGAGGACCAATCTGACGAGGAAGATGAGAAGTTGCCCGATTTAACAGTGGATGTAGACGATGAGGGCTATCCTTGCCTACCAACAGGCTTTGAATCTCTCATGCTCAAAAACCAGCAGAAGGTCGTACGAAAGGTATTTCAAAAGGCTTATGGTGATTCATTTCTATTTTCGAAGTACTGTATTTTTCTGATGGCTTACATTCAACAGCGGTCATCTCAAACAACCCTCGGGCTGCAGTCCCCTGGGGTCATATTACCCAAGATCCAGACCATTACCTTGACATGGACTGTATCCCTCGGAATGTCGTCATCAAGGATCCTTCTCACCTGCAGAAGGAAGCTATCAGTATGATTTTTTCACTTTGGAAATATCGTGCTAACCGTAATGAACCAATTGTACGGTTTGTTGGGTATAAGGAAGGTGACTTCTATGATTCACTGGCTAAGAAGGGGGATGTAAGTAAAAAATCAAGGAAGAACCGAAAATATGTCGAAGTATCATCGGATGAGGACGAGGTACTGAAGAAGACCCCCCAAGCCAATCTTTCTTCTGACGAAGAGGAAGACTTGGAACGCCACACCCCATCTCTTTCCAATTCCTGCCCGAAATTCCATATGGGTGGTGACACAGTCAGTTATCTTCAATCCCTCTCTAACCTCCCATCATACCGTCATCTGTTGGCCACAGTTCAAAAACTTTCCAACACAGTATGTATAATTCACTACTTTTGTGATACAGCATTAAATTTGACTCTTTTTTAAAAGCAAACTCCAGATCCTAAGGGCAAGGCTAGAAAGCAACATCTGCCTGTCTGGGCATCTTGGACGTGGTCTGAGGCATATCTACCTCAAAATATGCACAATGATATTCAGGCTGTCCGTTGTGGCTTTGGAGGAACTAGGCAACTATATCATCAAATCCCGTGGTTGGGGTATGATTGTTGTCCTGGGCCTTGGACTCCTCCTTCGTGAGTGTCGCTGCACTCAGGAGTATGAAGCAGATGAGGCTGGAGATGATGTACCTCAATATTTGGGCGGCTCCATCCTTGGCATCGAGGTAGGGGACAAGGTTGAAGAGGCAATTACCAGAATCCAGGTGAAGGTGGACGCAATGCTTCCAGATGGTAATGAGAAGCAGATGACAGTGGGGGAAGAAGTTCATATGAGGCGTCTGGAGAACAAAAGGCAGGTGAAAGAGAGGAGGGAGGTGGAGCAGGCAAGGGTGGCAGAGGAAAAGAGGGTGGCTGAGGAGGCTCGGGTTGCTGAGGAGAAGAAGGCTGCTGAGGAGAAGAGGGTTGCTGAGGAGAAGAGGGTTGCTGAGGCATCTCGGATCACTGAGGAGAGGGCTGCCACATCAAAGAAGGCAAGCAGTACTAACACTGGGGGAAAAGGGAAGGGTAAACGCCCAGCAACAGATGTGGATGATTCAGTCATGAAAAAGGTGAAGACATCTGCTCCTCCTAATCCTCCTCGTCGCTCTGCCAGAGACAAAGTAGCTTCAAAGAAGTATAAGAACTGAGACATTATCATTAGCACAATACCTTAGAATTCCCTTCTTGCAGTTTGTTGTCATATACACCTCGATTTTCATGTATATTTTGAGTAACATTGATGTTAGCAGTATGCACAGAGGGAATGACCAACCCACTGATAACTTATTGGCCTATTGGTCAGCCAGTCTGTACAGCATGTAGGCCATGGTTGGCCGCCCTACTGATATTATATTGGCCCAGTGGGCCAGCTACCCTATGCTATATGCAGGGCAGGGGCGGCCGCCACTGAACACTGTTTGGGCCATTGGGCCAGCCAGTCTGTGCATTATGTAGGATATGGCCGGCCGGGCTACTGATAACATATTGGCCCATTGGGCCAGCCAGTCTGTGCATTATGTAGGACATGGCCGGCCGGGCTACTGATAACATATTGGCCCATTGGGCCAGCCAGTCTGTGCAGTATGTAGACCATGGCCGGCCGCCCTATGAATAACATATTCCATTGGGCCAGCCAGTCTGTGCAGTATGTAGACCATGGCCGGCCGCCCTATGAATAACATATTCCATTGGGCCAGCCAGTCTGTGCAGTGTGTAGACCATGGCCGGCCGCCCTATGAATAACATATTGGCCCATTAAGCCAGCCTCCCTAGTCACCATGTAAGGAGTGTAGGTAGACTGTATTTTTATTTTTTATTCAGTCACCATTTATATTATCCCATATGAGATACATCTTTGGTTACATGAGTGAGGTTGGCTAGACTTACTCCTGTATGGAATCTCATTTTATATTAGAGAATTTAGGACAGCCTGCATAAATATTCAGGGTGCAAGGTTGGCCAGATCTACAGTTATCAATTGGTCCATGAGACACTATCACTCCATGATACAAAATGCATCTCACACATCCACAATTCACTTTATGGCCTCAATAATACCTCTGAACTGCTATTTGGCAACTGATAATGATTTTGCTAATGTTCTATAAGCAAAGATTAGCTAATGAGTCACATGTCTCATGGAGTGATAATGAGCAAAAAAGAGGTCCCTTCACTGTTTTGAGTGTTGTCCATGAACAGTTTTATATTTTTCTCTGAAACTTCAGATATGCAATTTTGACATATACTACTTGCTGGGAAAAATACAACTGAGTTTGTATAAGGTGTTGTAAAAGCACAGTACTTCATTTTTCAATTTCACATCTCAAGTACTGATTGACAACTGTACTTTGATATGCTGGTTTCACCTATATAAGTAGCATAGAAATATCATTCTCTTTATGAGGCATGAACCTGCAGGAGTCCTACATCATCAGCAAAATATATCTTTTCTACTTATGGGGCATTGGCCTGCAAGAGTTCTGCATGACTGGCCTATACAGGGAGTGCAGAGATATCATTTTCTGTCTGAGGCATCGGCCTGCAAGGTTTTTGCATGGCCGGCCTATACAGGCAGTGCAGAGATATCATGTTCTGTCTTAGGCATCGGCCAGCAAGGTTCTGCATGGCCGGCCCACACAGGCAGTGCAGACATATCATGTTCTGTCTTAGGCATCGGCCTGCAAGGTTCTGCATGGCCGGCCTATACAGGCAGTGCATGGGCCGGCCGGTGTCCTGTACACCTGGTTTTGCAGGTCAATGTACACGTCCTATCAACAGGTTCTGCAGTACTATAAGACTGAAAGGTGTGGGTACACACCGCAGGTATAGGGGTCACGGGTACGGGTATGGTGTAGAGATGTGCTACTCACGGCCACACCGTACCCGTCCGTACGGTATATGGGTATGTTCACGGGTAGTCCCCTATCTCCGAGGCAATTCCGAGGCTATTCCGCGGTGTTATATTGTGGTCTCTAGTAGTAGATGAACTCGATGACTACCCGCGGCAACCAGTGGAGAATGCCAAAGACCCACTGCAGTGGTGGGTGTGCCACCAAAAGACATATCCAAATCTGCACCGGATGGTACTTGATTACCTGAGCATTCCTGGTAAGTTGAGTGCCATCACTCTCGCTGGCATCATAGCTTACGCGCTGTGCACCATAGCTACCTCAACTGCAGTCGAACGAGTGTTTTCGCAAGGCCGGCACCTTCTACACTTCACTCAAAACCGCTTGTCTCCATTATCGACCCGCGCATCCCTCTGTCTTGGTTCGTGGCTACGCTGTGATCTTGTAGTGCCAGAGGACCTTGTTGACATCGTGAAGTCTCTGAAGAAAAGGAAACAAGATGGTGAGGGTGTTGTATGAGGGTACTGATAGACCTACGTAGTACTATTTCTTGAAGTTGTAGTATGTGTACCTGCAAGTAAATGCACACCATGGGTAAACTGCCATACCTGTGGGTTAGTACGGGTAACATCACCCGTAGGGGTATGGTGTTGAGGGTTACGGGTACGGTGTTGACTTTCCGACCCACAGGTATACCCGTGCCATACCCTAACATTGGTATATCGTTTGAATGGGGTTTGAGAAGAGCGAAGGTGAGGAAGACAGGAGTGTGGTCGGACTACTTGCCATTGACACATGCATGTAGGGGTCTCACATTTGAATTGGAAGTGGGAGTGAACAGAGCAAGAGCGGAGTCAGCGCTAACACTGACCATGTTAACTAGGGCGGTTTGGTTGTAGATTTGGAGGGAACTTACTGTATCGTGTATGTACTAGTAATGATTGCATTGCGGACACTTATCCAGTAACTTTTGAAACATGTCAACCTGATAGAGCAAATTTAAAGCTGACCGCTGAACCCCATGACAATCGATATATCGTTCCTTTGGCTTCTCATGAGAGCTTGTTGTGAGATCCAGTTGTGCATCTATTGGATACCGCGCCCAACTCTCTTTCCAAGATCTGGACCCTGGCTCATCCAGAGGATTCTGAATCTGGCGGAGGTTATCTCCTGTACATGTGCAGCAATGAGTTGTCAATCTGCGTCGTCGAATGTGGGCCCGTAACAGTTGTTGCAGAGACATGTGAGAGAGGCCGCATCGAAGAAGGTTTTGCAAGTCTATAAAGTTGAGCGTACATAGTCATCAGGAAAAACCCAAATAGCCGTAGCACTGGTCACAAATAGTATGTAGCATTCCATAGCTACCATATTGACAGGTAGGCAACCGCTTAACTCTGTTGCTCGACGTACCCGAAGTACCTGAAACGGCAGGTACGGAGAGGTACGGAAATGATATAATGAGGTACACCAAACTATAGTACATGTAGCTGTATGTAGTAGCGGACAATCTATGTGATGGCGCTCGAAACGCAAAATGTATTGAGGTTGATAAATTCATTGAAATAGAAATTACTGGCCAGCTCATAGACATTCGCGCTCTTCCAGCCATGCTCTACCTTATGACCCATCTTCGGAACAAGGTGACACAGCCGAACGAGTTTGTCAATGTGTACCACTGCTGAATTCCGACGTAACTGACGAGTCGAACGAGAGACTTGATGCAGGCCAGAAAACTGGTCTGCCTCTCTGAAAGGTGTGAACCATTCTATATAGGCAAGGGGTTGCGAGTATGCACCAAACTGACGAGGCAGAGTGAATATCACGCAGACCTGCGCCACTCGCACTCCTACAGCTTCAAATCAGTCACTTTGCATCGTCTAGCAAAAGACAACTACATACCATCAAGACTTCGCAACCTTGATGCCCAGACACCATCAGTCACCAAGGCCATGTCAAATCGTGCTGGAGACCCAGGCTTCCGTCCAGAAGCAGAAGGAACTACTTCGGGGACTCTGAAACACGAGAGTCGGGAGGTGAGATAATAACGACTTGACGGAAAACCACTTCAGTCACCCCCAAAATGGTACCTCTTAGGTTGATATTCCTCTATACATGAATTACCCTAAGAGGTATGATTTGCTGGGGATTTCCCATTATATTGTGGGGCAAAGGCTAATGTTGGAGCAAAGGTAGGAGATATTACATGGGACAAAGTTTCTATTTTTCCCAGCCCATCTGGGACATCCTTGTGTGATATTTTATATGGGATTTCCCTGTGACATGGGTGGTGTCAGGGGTCCTTCAGGTCAATTTTTGTACCATATTAGCAGGGGTAATACTGGGCATGATTGGGGGTATTATAGCAACCATTACTGAGAGCTAGTGTGGAAACCCGATGCTGGCCAACATTTGAGAAATTGTGTTTTGGCTGAATCATCTGGATTAATTGGAGCTTGAATTTGGCCTCTGCTTATTGATATCCTCAATCAGTGATCAGTGGGTATGATATATTCCTCATCATGGATCATCAATGCCTAGCTGCACTCGTGACAAATCCTCAACTGCAGGTTCAGGACCAACTACTAGAAAGCCTCTTGCACCGCTCCAGGTTTAGATGAGGATAGTTATCCATTAATAATTAGGAAGGAGGCAAGGTTCAAGCTCCAACATTTTGGAACAATGCTGATGAACCTTGCGTCAACTTCAACAAGCAAATGTTGACCAGCATCAGGTTTCCAAACTAGCTCTAAAGGCATCTTGTAGGAACCATTATAATGTCATGGTGGGAATTCCCACCTCCTATATATCCTCATGCAGGAATTCCCAACTCACATATATTGTTCAAGTGGGAATTCCCATCTGCTATATATCCTCATGCAGGAAATCCCAACTCACATATATTGTTCAAGTGGGAATTCCCATCTGCTATATATCCTCATGCAGGAAATCCCAGCTCCCATTCAATGTTATGGTGGGAATTCCCACCTCCTATATATCCTCATATGGGAATTCCCAGCTCACATTTAATGTCATGATGGGAATTCCCAGCTCACATTTAATGTCATGGTGGGAATTCCCACCTCCTATATATCCTCATACGGGAATTCCCAGCTCACATTTAATGTCATGGTGGGAATTCCCATTTCCTATATATCCTCATACAGGAATTCCCAGCTCACATTTAATGTCATGGTGGGAATTCCCACTGCCTATATATCCTCATGTGGGAATTCCCACCTCATATATATTCTTATGGGGGAATTCCCAGCTCGCCTTCAATGTCATGGTGAGGATCCCCAACTCACATATATTCCGAAGTAGGAATTCTTAGCACATATATATTCTCAAAGGGGGAATTCCAACACTACACATTATTGAAGCCAAAATTATTCTGCACCTTCAACAATTTCGGCAACTTAATCACACTCAGATTTGATAACACAATGACAAGTTCTCATGCAGGAAGACAGTAAATACATAACATGATTAGTGACAACTATATGGGGCTGGGAGTAATGATTGCTAAGGAATTTGAATTAATAATGATAATCATTGTTGCAATCATCCTCATAGCCATAATTATCATTGTCCTCCTCCTCCGAGTTCGGACTAACCCGAGTCTTGCTATCAAGTCGTGATGGACCAGCTACAGCAGCAGACTCTTGGGTGTACAAATGCTGGGGTCAGAGTGGGGAACAATGATAGTTGTATCGACGAGTGGATGGTGAAGGACTTCGCTGACGACAAGGGAGATACATAGGATTATGCTGCACATGGTGACGGTCACCAGGATTGTGCCTAGCCATGGTAGTGAATACTAGAGTTGTAGGGCAAAAACAATGGTAAACAATGTACTGCATGGTACGGCCCTGCATCCGTCTGATGTTCCTAGTATCCTCCCCTTCACTTGCACCATCCCATTTATGCTTCCAGAGAGGTGGATTTGCCACCACATTGCATTGGTGTGTGTCACGTTGGGTGGCAAGTGACCTTGCAGGTTCATGACATGATGTTTCAGTAGGGTGCGAAGAGCGTGGGACAACAGTAAGTTGATGAGGACGGATTTTAGTAGGCACACGGGCACAAAGTGGTTTTGAGACCTGACAGGAAACTCTGCAATGAGTTTGAGGCGATGGAGAAGAGGACCAGTGCAGTGGTGAGGATGGCGGAAGGTCAGAATGTGCTTCAGGAGAGATGACTTCTGGGGTAGCAGCCTCAGGTAGCATGATACTATCAGGTAAATTCTTCCCAAATGTAACCGAGTCTATCAGTGTCCAAAGGACGTTACCCTCAGTGTCAGTGATAAGTGGAATCTTGATCATCTTGCTATCTTCATTTGAGAAGATATCTTTGGACTCTGGCAAAATTTCAATTAGTTCATTCCACATTCCATGATGCAGGCAGTCTTACCATCTGACCAAGGCTCAAACATCAACTCTTCATCAGGTATCTTCACACTCGACATGCCTTTGTTTTTTCTCTTCTGGTCCTTGGCTTCAACTCAAATGAGCTCTACATGATAATCACGTCCCATGCAGCGCTTGAGGTAGGGGACGACGAGTGCCCTCAGCTCATCAGTGTTCAAGTCCTTGAATATGAAGTCGGGGCCAACAGCAGGCACACCCACAGGCCAGTCAGTGACTTGTACTTGATGTAGATACAATGAATTGAGCATCGTCTTCCATGGAATATTTTTCCCATCATGCTGAATACCAACTTGTGCTACAGAGAGTGTAAGCACAATGGCACGTCTCATCACCACAACTCACCGAACTTATCCAGCATCATCAACAGCGCTACACGGTGATTACGATCGCGTGATCCTTCCCCTTTCTCACAAGACAACTCCGTACTGAACTTCAGGCTCACAATATCAGGGAAGGATGACAGGGAAGCAGTATCGTCAAGGAGCTTGTACCTGGAACACGAATTAACTTAGTAAATGTAGACAGAGAATACTTACTTGACGACAGTGGTCATATAGTCAACAATTTTCGTGAGATCAGCTTGCTTCTCATCGACAAGGTCCTTTACAAGCTGCGATCCAGAAAAAAACCCTGCGGCTCATCGACCTTCTTCATTAGTACCAGTGTATATTACAAATCCCCCTATATGGACGTCTTCAAGTCGTGAGTAAGCTTGACACTGCGAATCAACTTCAGAGATGCCATTAAAATATATTTAACCAACAGGCTTACACTACTTGCGAAGGCATCGTGCATGGCCATGATGCGCCGGCCAATTGCTCTTGGAGACTTGCCTCCGTTAGTCCAGCACTCATCAAAATTCTTGCAAATCTCTCTCCACAGTAGAGGATTTTCTGTCTGGTCGCAGCATTCAACATAACTGTTGTACTGCTCCTCCTGCCAGTCTTTCATAGATACTCAAATATTTGCATCAGTCAGAAATCCAATCGGTACTGGACACTACTCACCGTCAGACAACTTGGGGTGCTTGATCTTGTACCATGCTTGGTACATGTTCCAAGGATTTTCGGTTCAAGTAGGTTTCACTGATAACCTGGCCGCAATCAGAATGGCCCCAGGTGATTTTTCATACTCCTTGGCAATCTCGGTTGCCTCTTTGAACGTTCGCTCGCCCAAGGCAATTGCCTTGCACATTGCTTCCGCCGGGAGCCGGCCAGGCGCAAGGGGATTGTTGGCATCAGGGTCTTGTGGATCCTGGTGGGCATCATCTGTGTCTTCATCATGTGGAGCATCAGGAAAATGTGGTAAGGCTATATAGCCACCCATAGCGCTATAGACTGCTATACAGACTCCATAGCCCTATAGCTCGTATAGCCAAGTGCCCAATTGTGCAGGCTTACTACACCAGTGTATAGTGCTATATAGCTCTATTAAAGTTGCTATAGCTGGGTGGAACATACCACAACTATTGTAGCTATTATAGCTCAAAACACAAAGCAAAAATTTCTCTTAATAGCTGTTTGTTGCCATGATAGTGTTCTCAAAATTAAAAAATAAAAAAGCGAAAATTCCAAATTATATTTCAACTACTACAATACATGTAAACTAATAACTACAAAACAGGCAAAAATGCGAAAATTACAGGAGGAAGAGGCAAGAGAACTAGAAGGAAGAATCAGAGAGGAAAGATGAATACAAAAAAAAGAAAGACTTACCAAATAGTGAAAATTGCGAAAATTCTTGAGGGAAGAGGAGGGAAGGGAGCTAGAAGGAGAGGATCAGACAGGAGGAAGTGAGAGTCAGAGAAAAGACTTGCCAAATGGTCAAAAATGCGAAAATAGTTGGGGGGAGGAGGAGCAGGAGGGAAGAGAGCTAGAAGGAGAGGGTTAGAAAAAAGATTAGTCAAATAGTCAAAAATGCGAAAATTATGGAGGGAGACTTACCAGAGTTCAAAGCACCAGCACCAGTACCAGCACCAACAACATCAACACCAAGAGAAGGATAGAGAAGCAAGAAGAAGAGAAGAGAGGCAAAAACTCGAAAATTGTAAGAAAAATATGGAAGATAATCTAATGAGGGGGCAGTGGGGGGGGAAGGAAAGAATGGGAAAAGACTTGTTGGTTGACCGCATTTTTGCTTACATAAGCAGTGCCAAATAAAGCCACAACACAAGACTTGGTGAATTTTCGAGTTTTTGGTTAATAGGACTAGGATTATGACAGTAAGAAAAAGACAATGAAATTGACTGTTAGCATTAGGATTTTGAATACACATAAGGTGAATTTTCGCATTTTTGCTTACATAAATAAGGTGTACCTTAACACTTTTGAACCCTTCAATTCCAAGTATTTTCCTTATAACTCACTAAGATCTTGACCTATTGAAGTCATTAGACTATGGATAGACTTCCCTTGACAAGGACTACAACTTTGATTTAATCAAAAAAAGTTCCCATGGTCAAGTTGCTTTCTTGAACCCTTCAATTTCGAGTATTTTCCTTATAACTCACTAGGATCTTAACCTATTGAAGTCATAAGACTATGGATAGACTTCCCTAGACAAGGACTACAACTTTGGTTTTCATCGAAAAAAGTTCCCACAGTCTACTGGGGTCTATAGTTGTTGAAATGTTTTACTTCTAAATACACTTACCAAACTTTATGGTAATATATAGACTTTCATGATGTCTATACTGGTCTATAGTGCTGTGATAGCTTGCCATAGACTGTATAGAGCTGTGGTGTGCTATCGGGGCTATATAGAGGATGGTCCTCTATATAGAGATATAGTTTTTCCTGATGAGGTGTGGTTAGTTCCTTGCCTTTGCCCTTGGACCTTTGGGCCAGAGGACGTGTAGGAGTAGGCAATTGATTGGCATCACCGTCGACGTCACCATCATCGGAGCTGGACTCAGCCTGGTCGCCATAGTCGCTGTCTTCAGGTGACACCTCTGCAGTATGACGTTAGAGTCCCATAGTACAATAACACATTTCTAACGCACCACCCAAGAGATCATCAATGCCTTGATGCTCTGCTGAACCTCTTCAGTAAAGTCCGCCAAAAAAAAATGAAGACAATACCTGACTCCACCTCTTTGTCATCAGGGATGGCATTGGTATCAACATTGGCGACCTGCTTGATGGTAGGCAGCTCTGAAGGCGAGTCAACAACGGTGGTATCATCCTGGATGATCCTATCTGTGAGTCGCACCAAAATTCAACCACATTGTGCTTACTGCGAATACGCCAGAATCCTTGTCATTAGCGCTTTGTTCATGGCCTCCATTTTCAGGGACATGCAGGTGCGCTGGCAGCTGAAGCAAGTAAGAGTTAGGAATCTTCTTCAATTGTAAATAGAACACATGCCTTAGACTTAATAAATTTATGATTACTTTTTGCGCCACGAGGAGGGCCGACTTTGGCTGGCATTTTCAAAAATTGCATGGCAAGACTCGTAGTCTGAAGGCCCAAGCATTCCAGGACGCGAAGTCACAGGAGGTGAACGTAGTCGAGACGTAGTCAGACTTGAGAGTAAAAAACAAAGACACAGCAAGATATAAGGGCGATGAGAGTGCTTCACAAGATGAATGGGACGGCGGTGGAGGGAGGAAGAGAGGGAAATTTTACCTGGCGTAAGTAAAGACTGCACTTTTTATGTGCCCCAGATGATTTACCATTGTTCTGGAAGGTTTTGACTGGGTTAAACTTCACTGGTTCGACCGAGGGCCAAGCATGCAAGTGAATTAGAAACTGGGTTGGAAACTGGTCTGGGCTGAGGGATTGAGGCCTGTCAATACTAGGAAATGGAAAAACGGGTCGCGTTGTCACCGTACTCAGGTCAGCCAAAACGAAAGTTATATAGCCTTGTCTGAACAACAGTTAATGAATTACGTGCACTAACTAATACACATGCTCGGCACTAAGGGCCTGGGTCGGATGACATATGAAAGAAATGTGTCTGTTGAAGACACGGCATGATTGGAGAACTGGATCATTTGTGTATCAGTTCAATGCTATAGAATGAAGGATAGACAGGCTTACAGCAACATCGCTGAACAAGACACAAACAAAATCACGCAGGAAAATGATGCAGAACGATGGGGGGCCTTCTGAAGTGGTCGAAGAAACATTGCACGTAAAAGTTGCATGCAGGTTGCATCACCTCGAAGTATGTAGTAGCATTGAACGTACTTGCGTCCAGGGATGCACTGAGGCATGGTGGGGCATTCTCCCAGCTGGACAACACGTTGCGGAAGCTGTCAACGTAGGGGAAGATGTCTCTGATCTCACAACTCCACAGCCCACCCCTATCCCCCTCAGGTATAGGAGATGCAAAACCACCCTCTCCAGGGAAAATGCTATAAAGAAGATCATGACAGGCAAGCGGTGAGTCCTCCCACGATGCACGCGCCATGACTCGATTGAGAGCTTGAAGTCCATGACAAAAGTTGAGCTCGTAAAGCTCCCAGAGGATGCGACAGATATGGTCTCATTGCGCCACACTAGGGTAGCCTGAATGGCCCATGTGCTCCCGTCAGTGTCCAGCAAATCTTCACCGAATATTTGTTGGGCTGCTTGCTTCTGCTTAGCTGCAGCAGTGGGACCTGCGGACAACAATGAAGCTGTTGCCGAGGACTCGCCAGAAGGGCTACTGTTGAGAAAGTCACACCAAAGCTGTGGCGGGGGAAATTTCTCTGGAGGGTTATGATTAGTGATGTGCCAGGCCTGGCCTCAGGCCTCCAGGCCCTGGCTCATAGGCCCTCGTAGGCCAGGCCAAAGCCAGGCCTATGGTAGTGGCCTGATAGGGCTTTGGGCCTGGCCTGGGATTCTGAAAAGCCCAGGCCCGAGGCTCAGGCCCTGGCTTCCAAATAAGGAATGCCGCCGCCGGCAAGTGTTTTTTTAGAACTGTACAGTTACTGATAGCCCTAGTTATGATCGACACGGCTAATCCACAGTGGTCGTGCAGCAAGCCAGTTCGCAACAAATAATTTCTTTTGCTCTGGCGAAGTGGGTGTAATGAGAAGCACTGGCTCAGGGAACCGATACCCTTGGTCAACGAGGCCCTCTTTGACGTGGCCTTTGTCCTTGTCAGCTTTCTGGAAGGCGAGATTCCAGAACCCGATGCTTTTGGGGTTTTCTGGACAGCGGAGATCCTCCCACTTGTCCCGGTTACGTTGAGCGTCATTAGTTTTGGAATCTTCTAAAGGAAGTGGTAAGGTTCTAGTTTTAATTACAATAGTTATACACGTACTCGTTTTCATCAATTGAGACGAAGCAATCTTTCGCGCCTTCTTATTTTGCTGTCCCTGAGAGGGAACTTTACCGCTGGCCGGGTTCTGAGGCAATGCCGGAGACAACGGGTTCACGCCAAAAGTGCCAGTATAGGCCCGACGGGTATGAAAGTGACGGTTGAAGCCACCATGGCCATGGTACAGGAGGGGGAATGGCTGCACAACTTTCCCAGGTTCAGAGAATATACTCTTAGTGATGTCGTCTGGGAACGTGAGTTTGACCGGTTTGATGATGTTCATGTCGCGAGGAATATATGCCTCCACGCGAACAAGCCACACAGGCACGCCCGCGTCGAGGAAGGTATCGCATGTCTTTGAATTGTCAGTGAAACAACCCATCCACTTTGGGTCCCCAGGAAGGGTAGACCAAGACAACCAAGACGACCAAGATGATGTGGTGAGACGAGGTTGAATGATCTCAACATAATCCATGAAAGCTATTATGTCGAGGAATGAACGTTGCGCTTGAGCAACGAAGACGATGATGTCATGGTACGTTAGGGGATGTCTGCGGAGAATATTGATGTCGTGCTTGAGGGATAAGAGCATGCTGCTAACTATGTTGTTCTTGCCTGCCCGGTTCGCCTTCCATGCTTCAACCCACTTGCGGGCAATTGTAAGTAAGTTATCGATACCATTGATGATATAGGAGTGTAAGGTACCGACAGCAAATGCAGTCCCAGGTTGAATGACGAAATCTGCTGTAGTGGGAGTGTACCATGCGGATTGAAGGCTGAAGGGCGAGGTGTCCTTGCGAGGGATGCAGACAGCATACTCGAACTCCTTACAAAACATTTGCAGCCATTGGAAGCAATCAACCACTCCAAAATGTCCATCAGCTCGAGCCTTCAGTTCATCTAAATTATCATTCTGCAGTTCTGGTACCCAATCCATATTTGGAGTAGTGATTACAAGCGGATATTGATAACCAATGGCTCTTGCATCCAAGGAAGTGATAGTCGCTATAAATCTGTTGTGAGAAGGTAGAAGATCGCGTAGGAATGATAAACTGACGATCTGCACACGTGTAGGGAGTGAATTTATCCCGAGCGGTAGGCATGGTTATTAAATCTGGTGCTGCAAGTGCTTTAGCATTGAAATCAATTCAAATAAACATGTACTATAAAGACGGACGAGAGACGGTGTGTATGATCATAAGGTAAGTAGCAGTAGAAAGGTAGAGTAGTCCCAAGGAAGTTTGTGAGCCTGCAAACACCATAAGCGTTAAAACCAATTAAAGCAAACGCGTACCTTGCAAAGAAGCTTTGAGAAACCGTAAGACGGATAGTAAGCACAAAGAAAGTGTAGAAAAGTAAAGATATACGGACCTTGTACAGATGATTTGAATCGCAAGGCAGATAGTGAGTACGAGTGGTGCAAGAGAGGCAAATGATACTCCCAAGAGAGTCTTCAACCCCACTGGCGCAACAATGAGAGAGCAGCCGGGGCGACTCTCAAGACGCGAAGTCTAGGAGAATGTTTTCAGTGACATGAAGTCAACTCACCACGAAGTGAACGGCACGAAGCCAGTTCGGTCCAGGTGGGAGTTTGGAGATGAAGGATGAGCAAGATGACGAGCGATGAAGGTGAAAAGAAAGGATGTGCAAGCAGTGCTGGGAATTCTTGGGAATTCTTGGGAATTCCCAGCGCAAGTCAGATCTTCTCAGTGCCAGATTTGGTTAATCATATCTTTATTGCTTCGTGTTTGCAATGACTTAGTCATTGCGTTGTGCTTTGAAATTACTTTGTTTGTTTATTCCTTTCCTTTATCGATATCGTCCAATCTTCAACTTCAACCTTCACCTTCACTCCAGCTCCCCGCTTCATCTCTATCTCCTTTCATGGTCTCTGCATGATGGATTTCTCCCCAATGCTTCAAGCTCTTGCCGCCTCCGACTTCGTACCTGGACGCTTCGAATTGGCTTTGTGCCATTCACGTTGCAATCAGTTGACTCCACGTTGCTGAAAGCATCATTCTCCTAGACTTTGTGTCTTGAGAGTCGCCTCAGCTGCTCTCTCGTTGTTGCGCCAGTGGGGTTGAAGACTCTCTTGGGAGTATTACTTGCCTTCTCCACCAGGCTTACTCTCTTTACAATGAGTGAGTTATCTCTTCCGCTGTCATCACTATCTAATTGTGATCTACACGAATAATTTATACGCTATCTTCAAATGATGGTGAGCGAACATCGGTGAGTATTTCATTTCATACATCTGATGGAGCTTACAGTTAACTCATAGATTGCAACGAGGAAGGATGACGAGGGAAGCCTGCAATGTGTGCATAACCGTTTCCTTCTTCATCTCTCTATTCAATCATCTGCATACTCATACTCCCTTGATGTAGATGCGCCCGCTGTCAAGCCTTGCTGTCTCTCCCTGGACATCTACCCAGGGTCCATGCCATCCATAGTCAACCTCAAGTTTAAGGTATGTATCTCGTTTATCTCTTCTCTCCGCTAATTCCTGTCTTTCCCAGTGTCCATGCCATCCATAGTCAACCTCAAGTTCAAGGTATGTTTCTCGTTTATCTCTTCCCTCTGCTAATTCCTGTCTTTGCCAGCGTCCATGCCATCCATAGTCAACCTCAAGTTCAAGGTGGGTTTCTCTTCTATTTCTCCTCCGCTAATTCCTGTCTTCAGGGTAGCAAATGTGTGTGTAACTGTTTCATTCCACATCTCTCCATTTAATCACCCGCATACTCATACTCCCTTGATGTAGATGAGCCCACTGTCAAGCCTCGCTGTCTCTCCCAGGACATTCGCCCAGGGTCCATGCCATCCATAGTCAACCTCAAGTTCGAGGTATGTTCCTCTTTCATTTCTCAGTATGCCTTGGACTGAGTATACATGGGACAGTTGTTTTTTTATTCTCAATGAAGCGCGAGACGGTCACCCCACGATCCACCCAAGAATGGAGAAGTAGTGAATGTCTTGGTTAGGAAGATAAAGCTATCTCCTGGACTTCGCATCTAGAAAGTCGCCCGCACTGCTCCCTTGTTATTGGACAGGTGGAATTGAAAATTCTGTTGGGAGTACCATTTACCTTTCCTGAAACAAGGCCTATGCTACCCATCCTCAAATGGGTGAGTTATTTTTTCTTCTGGCACCGCTCACAATTAACCCCGGTCTTATTATTCAGCCCAAGGGTCTTTGAGATGTTATGCAACATTTAACACGTCAGCATCGTTAATTTCGGCATAATTTCATTTCTTGGTCTAATTATTTTCATGTACCCTATTTACATAATCTTGCCAAATCCGGTTTTCCATACCGCATAGAACTTCAAGGTCATGGCACTATCTCTTTCCCACTTCTACCCAGCGCTGTTCTGCTTCTTTTCCTGTTGTTTTTCTTATCGTTCTCTCATCTTCATCTGATGATAGCATTCACATCTACCGTACCCTTGTCAGTCTGACTACGTGTTGACTTCAGTGACTTCGCGTCCTAAGACACTTAGACATCGAGACTACGCGTCTTATGCTGTGTGGCGTCCCAAACGATCCTGTGATGCTGATTCCTCAGTCCCTTCAAAATGGTCCCATCCGCGCCCTGATCACCCATCACCTATTACTCCTACCAACTCGCAGCCAACTCCTATCATTTGTGAACCGTGGATGGTTCAGACACACTGAGTTCCTCAGGCTGCTCACAGGCCTGCGCCTCCTCTTCTTGTTTTACCTGGCTGGCAGTGTTTCACCCAGAACATTGTATCTTCACTTATTCATGATAAAAACAACCCACACCCCCCTATTGGTGCTGATCCCCTGGATATCGATCCTTTCATCGACAACGAGCTTCTCTTCAGTGACTCGCTGTATATGCTGGATGGTCCAATTGACCTTCCATGCCAGTGTCTCTCTGGCCTACAGAAGAAGCAAAGACAATGGCGGAGATGGTCTGAAGAAGTGATCCCTTCCCTCATCAGTCCTTACCTTGGCTACATCCAGCAATCGGCTTCCTTGCAATCCATCCCTGACCTCACATCAGCAAAATCACATATTTCTTTTTTGGCTTTGTGCCTCTTAATCACAGTTAATCGCAGTTGTAATTTGAATGAAGTTTGCAATTTGACTGAAAGACACCACAAGTCATAAAAATCAAATTGTCCTTGAGTCGTGCAAAGTGTCAAAACGCAAAAAAGACGGAAAAGCCAAAAAATCAGATTCAAGTCATACAAATGGTAATTAACATGCAGTAGGTAGTATAACTCGAACAGATTATGAAGCAATTTCAAACGCATGATGGTCAACAAATTTGTTGACATCGTAAGCCCGAAAAGAGTCATAAGAAACATGTAGATTGACGTTTGGAGGAAGAAAACGCCTGCCGTAGATGGGGATGAGGTGAGCAGCACGGTAGATCATGTCCACGTGTATGATACTATGTAAAGGTGTGCGGTTAGCACTGTATGCTGGATGAACCATCCACATCCCAGTATCTTCATCAGGTGAGTCTCCAATGACGTCAAACCAGCGCACGATGGCGCATGGAAAAATTTCACCACTATATTTGAATGAAAAGATGGCGCGGACCCTTGCGACTTCGAGTCCTCGGATGCCTTCTGTACTGGATCCCATGTTGACGAAAATGCAGTCGTTGCGTGGAGCTTCGTTCCGCCACAAAGGGCACACACAGATATGTTCGACTCACATGCCTCCGGTTCCACTAATGTCGCTTGGTGCGTAGAACCTTGAAGATGCAGAGTTAAAGACGGAGATTTTCCCTGCAAACCTAGGACAGCCAGTGAGGGGAATTTCCACTGGATCTTGGTCATCGTCTGGCCTGTGCATCTGCTCAAAAAGAAACCAGCGAATCAAATCAGGAAAACGGGGAAGTTCCAATTCTTCGGCTAGCGCCAATACATCGCAAGCGCATTTTCTTTCTGCATCACACAAAGCTTTAGTACTAGAGCACACTCAGGAAGATAGACGTGTGTAAATGCTACTCACGAACTGTCTGTGCTAGCCATGTGTGCGCTTGTAAAATGGTTAGTCCATGGTCTACTGCTACCGGTGCCTCATCGGCAACACTACCGGGCAAGGGATGGACTTGGACATTGGGGTTGTTGTTGCTATCTGTGTCTGCAAGGCCTGTCATTGTCAATTAGTGGCATGGACAATAATAGTAATTGATTTTAAAACTTACCAAGAGCTTCGAGTTCTGCTGCAAGACAAGTATTGTCCAACATCCCGCGATTGGTGAAGTCAACACGCGCAGCAGCCAGCTTATCGAGACGCTGATTAGTAACTAACATTTGACCAAGTGCTTTGTATTTGCTTGAACGCCTCCATGGCTCTTTGATGGCCTTAATATGTTTGCTCTCGGTGATAGACGAGCAGAGTCCGTTGGGAGCACCGAATCGCTGAATAAGATAGGCGTAGTGGACAAGGGAATGTTGGCATGGTAATGAGAAGGTGGGAATTGTGCCAGACTCTGTAAAAATTGTGCGGTAGTGATGATAACGGGAGAGGGCATCTTTAATCTCCTCCAGAGTGCTCTCGGTGATGGTATTTCAGCGTACAAGGTAGCAAAATTCTAGAAATGCGCGGAACGCACGAACAATATCCTGTGGTACATGGCCCTCGATTGCAGCCAAGTAAACCTGAGTAAAAACAATGTCTCAGTGAAATGAATTAAAAAAAAGGATTTTTTACCTTCATGAGGGCTTTCGAGTCGTCCCCTGTCCACTGCTTGAAGCCCCGCCCTTGCGGGAAGCGGCGCAGGCCTGCAAATGAGGCAACAGCCGCTATTCTTAAGTGAGAGGGAAGTTAGTCAAGGAGTCTGATTCGAGTGCAGCGGCACAGCACCAGAAGCGAAATGTAAATGACCCACCTGTGGTCAATGTCATCTAAGATGCGGAGGCTGTCGCGTTTTCCATGCATCTTCATGATATATAACTCCACCCAGGCCACGAGATGGTCCTTGAAGGCACCCTTAATAACTTGATGCAAAAGGTCGGGGGCAATCAGGTGGTAAATGTCAGCTCGTGGGAAGTTGTTTGTGAATGGCTAAAGTATGTGAAAGTTAGTGAAGCCTGCCCGACAGGTGGAAACGAAAGACTTACAACGAGATTGCTGATTATTCCAAACTCAAACCAGAGCTGTGTATACGTGCCAGTGTCGACGAGGGCTTCAGTGTGGTCACGGCATCGAAGGAGTGCATCTGCGTCAAGGTCTTTATGATGTCCACAGCATCTAGAATCAACTTAGTCCCGGTGCCTGAAAATGACGCAAAATGAAACTTACCTCGGACACCAGCGACTCACTATACACGCAAGGAGCACTTGCTCCTTGTAATCCGCTATGTAAGGCCCCAAGCCATAAATCACCCGCTGAAAATGCCCATCTCTGAACTTCGCAACTTCTGGCTTTGTCATCCCTGGCCTAAGGGTTTCGAGTATGCGGGAGAGCGATGAATGAAACAACTGGCATCTGAATGCACGAAACTTCGAATCTTCAGCATACTCCTTCGTTGCTAGATAGTTGAACTGTGTGTTAGCACGTCGCAATAGATCAGATATAAAACCCTTACTTTTGGGAATTGCAAGGAACCCAATGATAGCTACTGCATCTTGATATGCACATCGAACATTGTTGTGTACATTTCCTATGGATAAATAGAGTGGATAATATTCATTATTTCCGGTGGCAACTGAAACCGTCGTTTTATCACTGCTGAGGATGATGGGCACGAACATCAAGCCAAGTGTCTCTGGGTCTCCAGTAATGATGTCCTGTAATAGGCGAAGTTAGATAGTCTTGAATAAATGTTCAATGCGGAAGATGAAGGGGTAAAAATGGAGAATTCTGGTAGTCTAGCACAGTGAAAAGAAGGGGGAGGGAAGAATAGAGAGTTTTGGTAGTCTGGTGCCCTAATAAATGAAGGAACAAGGGGTAAAAAGGGAGAATTCTGGTAGTCTAGCGGAGTGAAAAGAAGGGGGAGGGAAGAACAGAGAGTTTTGGTAGTCTAGCGCAATCAAAATGAAGCACTTACTGCCTGGTCCCAAGCCCAATCAGCAGACATGAAATCCCGAAACTGACGCTCATCTCCATTGGTAGAATATTTGCGATAGGGCTGAATGTTGATGCTCACTGAATCTACGCTATTCTTTGTCAATTCATGGAAAACAAGAGCGAAGTCAAGTCTGGGTGGCCATATCCAGAACTGGAGGACAACCATTCCACAGAAGCTGGCCAGCTCAACTGCTTCTCAGTCTGATTCATTCACAAGTGCCCAGCCTCCACCTTCCACCATTTTATCGAGGTCTCAAAAATCTGCATCAAGTGCCACCACTTCTTTAAATTCTCACCTGAATCAGCCATCTACTAAGCTTCCAGCTGTTTGTGAGGATGACTCGGCCCTAGTTGGAGCATTCGGAGACAAGGACCTTGATGACTCAAGTGAGCATGAGGTTGTGCTAGCTACGAAAGGGAAAGTACCCATGAAGGTGTGTCAGCGGTTGAACACACTCCTTGTACTGACATCTTCCAAGTCCATTATTGCACTTACAGAGGAAATGGATCCTGACCTGGTGCCGCCGCCTCTAGCTCAAAGGCAAGATAGAGCCGCCTCTGGGACCAAGAGGAAGACTCTCCATGACAATGTCCCTGAATTCTCTGATTGTAGTGATGACTTGATGTCGCCAGTGGACGTTATTGAAGCACTCGACAGCGACAAGGACTCAGAGATTATGGATGTTGATGAATTTGAGGCAGTGGTCATGAAGCAGCCAGTCAAAGCCAAAGTGAAGGTAGAAAAAGCTCCACGCACCACAACTTCGGTATTTCCCCCCTGTCTCATGTTTTCACTGCTAATTTTGAGGTAGACATCAGTCGCTACCACATCTAGCAAGGCCCCCCCTTCGAAGAAAGTAAAAGCCGAGAAGGAGCAGACAGCAACCATGGTGCTAAAGAGCGACGGCATCTGGGTGGAATCTGTGTTGAAGGCATGCTCAACATATCTGAACACTGACCTTCCTCCTGCTTGCCATGAAGACACCAAGTGGGGTCGCATTTTTGTACCGACCATTTTTCTCTGGCTGGGTGCGCAAGAAGAGCCTTGGACAATCCCTGACAAGAACCTTCTTCATGCATGCCGTGAAATATTCAAGGTTGTCTATCCAAGCATCAAGTACCAGGTTGTGACGTCTGGTTCAGTTTTCGGTGTTGTAAGTCTGTGTTTTGTTTTATTGAATAATATAATTAATTTCATGTTTTTAGGTCACCCAACACGTCAGTGAATGGTGCAGCAATTTCGGATCTACTGCGTTTGCCATCGTCGTTGCTTTTTGCACCTCAAACAGAGATACCTCTGCAAAGGAGCTCTCAACCCTCTTCCTTCGACAATATGCGTTCCTGTACCCGAATCCTGACAAAATTAATAAAGATGAAACCTTCCATTCAGCCTTCATTCTGGAGCTTCTCACTACTGCCCATCTCTCTCGCATGCTTGGGCACGCTGATGTTCCCACTCTCAATACTGATAATCTAGCTCAGGGTGGCTTTGTTGGAGCTCTTGGATTATGTGCTGTCTCGGTGCGTCAATTTCTCATGCCTGTTTTGACCGGGATGGGCTGATATTTGTTTTCCAGCTCGAACGTGCATTTTCTCTACTCAGCGACAATGCTGTCAGCATCGAAAATTTGAAGGACGCAAACATGCCAACCACAGCACGGAAGACTCGTTTCAAGACACCAAAGACACTCAACAAGGCTACTGGCAAGGAGATGGGAACAGAGCATGCATTCTCAGTCATTAAATGGGGGATGAAAACTGCCGCATTTGTTCGGGCAGCAAAAAAGAAGGGCCTGGAAGCAACACGCCTGATGGCATCCATGGCATACAAGCACCTGAAGAAGCCTGGTGCCAGCATCGACTCAGACAACGAAATGGATGACCGTGAAGATGTCTGGTAATTTGCACTCGAGATTTATCCTAGCCGCATCCTACTAAATCCTTTATTTTTCTTTCAGATTTAATCAGGGCAAATTTCTCCCCCCCTCGTATTATCTGTACCTTTTGCTCTTTTACATTGTGGTTTGCACCATCATTTTCTTTTTTCTACCACATTTTCCTCCTTTCATGCAGCTTTTAATGACTTTCTCTGTCATTTATGTGCCTTTTTGTCCGGCTTGATTACCTCTTATTCCATCTTTTGAATCTTCTGCAGTCACTTTTCCGATGATATCTAGGACATTCGAATGACACATTTTTGCCCTTTTGCGAGTTTTCTCGTCTTGTGCCGCACGTGAAAAGTCGGTACAAGACAAATTGAGACAGTTTAAGAAAGCGAGTGGCCTTGACACGTCTTTTGAGACTCAGGCTCATTTTGTGGCTTATATCGCGGGAAAATATCAAAAAAGGCAGGTTAAGTCATTTGTGATTTTGCTGATGCGGTTGCTCCACTGGGGGTGACTCGCGTTGCAGTGGATTGTGTTGCCTGCGATTGCTGGCGGTCACCTGTGTACTCTTTGATCGTGCGTTTTGTCTTTTGTGCCCCAAGGCTATTCACTTACATTCGTCGTAATAGGATTACAAGTTGTCAATATTTCCTGCTGCGAGTGCTCCCCTGCACCGCTCCAACTCGTGACACGTGGATTAATTGCATGTGCTCCCGTCGCCCCATCCCTTGCAATGGACATCCGTGTTTTAGAGCTGGTAAAACACTTGTTTGTACGGATGATGCATATAGTCTGCCTTTTGTCATTATAAACTCTCTCAGGCCCGCCTCTCTGCTACGACGCACCTCCATGTGAGTCATATTCTTCAAACTAGAATACACAAAGTCATTTGTATTATTTCTGCCTCGGCTTGGACTGATACTCGCCAACTCATTAAAGGTCTTCTTTGTGTAGGTGGTTTTACTTTCTCGGAGGTCCCTGGCCAGTGCCGCAACAAGCTGGCGCCTCCATAGGTCTCGCGCTGACACTACTCACTCTGCACTGTCACACGCTCAATCGCATTCAGCCGTCGTCAGACAAGAAGGGCAAGAACGACGGACGTCTGCCAAAACGAAAGTTGTCGATGTTCCTCTCGGAACAAGCCTCATATGTTTGTTTTCTGCAATTCTTGGTTCGTAAGATTTGACTGCGTCCTTCACCAGGGTGACCCTGTTGGTGCGCACGTCCGAATTGGCTGTTTTCAATTTTTGGGCATCCATGCTTGTTTGATTCCTCCCACAGTTTAGCAAGCGCTCTACATCTCGATGCAACAACCCCACCACTCGCGCAACCTCCCAGCATCATTCCGAAGGCTCTCTCACCAAGAAAATCACTTGTTTCGCTCGTCCACCCATCAGGGCATACTCTCATGTACCAGCGGGACAAAGTGTTTTGTGTAGCCACCACGTCCTCGCCAGCAAGTATGTGCATCGAAGGACGTGGAGTGCGAGTCTCTGGACCCTTGTCCAGAACTCTCAAACCTCTTTCTCATCCCGTCTCTCTGTTCTTTTTGTGGACCTGCGCTGCCTTCAATGTACCTCATAGTGAACTATTCACACCGGTCCATGATTCAGAGCGCTAACACATGATAATTAGTGCGCAACGACATTTAGAGCATGGTTTCAGTCTCGATGGCGTCATTCTCAGAGTACCATTCAGCATACTTTCATAGGGCATTTCAGCACCTTATAATGTGAATCTTAGGACAATATGTTCTGATTCGCCTACTGAATTTAATTGGATTCACCACCTACAGTGTCAAGCTCAGCGTGGTTTTGTTATTCATTCGTCAGTTCTGTGCTCATGGGCTTTATAGCTGCTGCTCGTCAAGATATTAATCCGCAAGTTCGAAAAACAGCATTCACGCTAGCATCATGAGAATGCAGAATCTGGTCATCGGTAGAGGCTTAACCAAGAGCCAGCCGAGTGTAGAGCAATTGAATCACAACAAGACACTTTCAGGGATAAAACTGAGCCGCAAGCTGAAAAAAGTCCAACTGCCTGAACGTGGTGTTGTGGACGACAGAGAGTTAAGATTCCAAGCTCTCTGATTCAGACGAATTAGACCCTTCATCAAACGAAAAGTGAATATACAATGGAGGAATTCAGATCCCAACCCCCGGCACTCCCTGCTGCTACTCTCCCCGTTTGCACCACTTAATGTCCTCTCCACACCCCTACGAATTATGACAACATAACAATTCACGCCTCTCGACTCGGACCTGCTCGCATTCTCTGTGGTCTGCGGTATATCCTGTACACTCTTCCCCACACCCCAACCATTGGCATGAGATGGGACCGCACGTGTCGTCTGAGTTCGGCATGGCTCTTGAACTAAGAGGACTGACAGCTGTTAATGCCAGGAGAATGATTGCCGAGAGATTCATCTAGACTATCAATGTCATAAGTCGGATCTACAGCTACAGGTTGATGAGTTGACTCTTACCGTCTAAAAGTGCGAGTCTATAACCAGTGTTAGGCTAAGCGCAAGTTGTTTTTCGTTCGTTCGTTCGTCAGTTCCATGATCATGCGCTTTATAGCTGCTGCTCGTCAAAATATTAATCCGAAAGTTCGAAAAACAGCATTAACGCTAGCATCATGAGAATGCGGAATCTCTTGATCATATCGGTAGAGGCTTAACCAAGAGCCACCGAGTGTGGAGCAAGCCAATGACAACGGGCCACGAGCCTGCCGCGGCCGTGACACGGGCATTCTTGAATATTGGTCGCCAGTGTATTCTCATGCAGATGCAGCATTGACGCGGCACTAGCCCTACTCCACGGCGGGCATGTCATGGCCGCGTCATGTGAAATAAACTGGGGGATAAAATCATTATTGCCGTGACACGGTCGTTCTTGGACGCCAAAGTATCCTCATGCAGACGCAGCATTGACGCGGCACCATTTTGAATTGCGCCTTGAGGTATTATGTTGTGTCACTCGAAGCAGTCTGGTTTTTATTACCAATGGATGTCAGTCGGCGTAAGACCATAGAGTGCTGAAATGCATATCTCACCACACTTACGGTGCTCGTCATGACAGACTCCACGTTTAGGCAATCTGTAAGGATATATGCTTTATCACAGCTTAACGTGTGAGCAAAACCAATACATATGACATACGTACTACGTGTAGCGGTGCTAGGGAATTCGAAAGTTCAGTGTTCGCTGACGAATACAGCTGCCATGCCCATTCCTGGACCAATGCACATGCTGGCGACGAACACTTGCACATTGCGTTGTTTGCAATATTCAGGCAGCCAGTAGCAATTTGACGTGCTCCCGCTGTGACGAAGATACATCAAGACATAACAGATACAGAAAAGTACCGCATCTGAGTGGGTGTTCGATCGGGATCGCACCCCATTGACATTCGCTTTGTCAAATGACAAGGCAGCCTTCTGGACGCTGTAAACAGTCTTGAGTATACCAAATCCTACCCCTTGACCGGAATCCAAGGGGGAAGTATAAGCTGCGACACTGTTGTGATGTGCGGGGCCATGATACGAGTCCATAGGACATCCGCGTAAATAACATGTTTATCCTAGGTAGGGCACTGGCACCGAACTTCTGGAGGTGACAAAGGAGTCTACGTCGAAATTTGAGCAGTGCAGGAGTTGGAATGCAGGAAGGGGTGATAGCATACTACACCACCTGCAAACATATTGAAGACATCGAATTCGAAATACAATGAAGAAACATGCGAAGCGGAGAGGAAGTGTGTATCGATGTTAGTCTCCCCTCGACAGACCTGAAGACAGTTGTTCTTTCTCTATTAAGTATCGACACAGTCCCTTGCATATACTTAGGAAGATGCAGTGCCAATGACAGGACCTGAGCGCTCCGTCTACACAACACTTGAGATGTGAAGCGAACACGAGGAGAACACATGGGACGGACCTTAAAAGACGATTTGGACTAACAGGCGCCCAACTTCGCCGACTCCATATCAAACGTGTCGACACCTGTACAACATCAACCATCAAAAACAAGATTATAGTCGGGAAGGGGGGAACTCTCCTGTCGCCATAGAACAACTATCTTGGAGAATGCCAAAGACCCACTGCAGTGGTGGGTGCACCACCAAAAGACGTATCCAAATCTGCACCGGATGGTACTTGATTACCTGAGCATCCCTGGTAAGTTGAGTGCCATCACTCTCGCTGGCATCATAGCTTATGCGCTGCGCACCATAGCTACCTCAACTGCAGTCGAACGAGTGTTTTCGCAAGGCCGACACCTTCTACACTTCACTCAAAACCGCTTGTCTCCATTATCAACCCGCGCATCCCTCTGTCTTGGTTCGTGGTTACGCTGTGATCTTGTAGCGCCAGAGGACCTTGTTGACATCGTGAAGTCTCTGAAGAAAAGGAAATGAGATGGTGAGGGTGTTGTATGAGGGTACTGATAGACCTACGTAATACTATTTCTTGAAGTTGTAGTATGTGTACCCGCAAGTAAATGCACACCGCGGGTAAGCTGCCATACCTGTGGGTTAGTACGGGTAACATCACCCGTAGGGGTACGGTGTTGACTTTCCGACCCACGGGTATACCCGTGCTATACCCTAACATTGGCATATCGTTTGAATGGGGTTTGAGAAGAGCGAAGGTGAGGAAGACAGGAGTGTGGTCGGACTACTTGCCATTGATATATGCATGTAGGGGTCTCACACCTGAATTGGAAGTGGGAGTGAACAGAGCAAGAGCGGACTCAGCGCTAACACTATGACCATGTTAACTAGGGCGGTTTGGTTGTAGATTTGAAGTCAACTTACCGTATCGTGTATGTACTAGTAATGATTGCATTGCGAACACTTATCCAGTAACTTTTGAAACATGTCAGCCTGATAGAGCAAATTTAAAGCTGACCGCTGAACCCCATGACAATCGATATATCGTTCCATCGGCTTCTCATGAGAGCTTGTTGTGAGATCCAGTTGTGCATCTATTGGATACCGCGCCCAATTCTCTTTCCAAGATCTGAACCCTGGCTCATCCAGATGATTCAGAATCTGGCGGAGGTTATCTCCTGTATATGTGCAGCAATGATGAGTTGTCAATTTGCATCGTCGAACGTGGGCCCATTACGGAGATATGTGAGAGAAGCTGCATCGAAGAAGGTTTCGCAAGTCTATAAAGTTGAGCGTACATAGTATGGAAAGCAGGACAGCGGTGCTCATTTTCCGGTGCCCTGCCTTCCATGACATAGTATTTACTGGGGAGTCGTGTGCGTAGCATAGGGAAACACTTTCGAAATTCGCACGGAACGTTTTGCTATTGAACTTGACTATATATATTCTGGAGCACGCCGTTTGTCCGGGATTAAGTATCTTCGTCTTGACTCTACATCTTCAAGGTGTCCTCTGGAAAGCCTGATTTTGCGCTCTAGAGTGACGACAACACTTGAGCAACGAGTGGAATACATTGATCTTATTCCTTCCCTCGAAGTAGTAGTAGATTCAGACCTATTTATCGCAAGGTCCCTTGCCTCCGTGTCGTTCAGGTGAGCACTGAGAAATATATCATCTGCATTTCCTCCGCATCAAGAATAATTTCAGCCAAGTAGCCATGGGGGCCGTACCAAGATCGAGGTCAACTTCAAAACTTATCCTACACAACTTCGCATCTAGAACTATTCTCTCCAGCTCACACATTCACCTAGTAGTCACGCTAACACGAATAACGTGAATATGCGAGTTCCAGCGCAGAGGATCACCACAAGCTCACCTTCAATCGAGCCTTCGCATCAGCGAGGTTACGAGCTGACGACCATGTTTCTACATTTTCCTTCCTGTCGCCAGACATGTCGTAGATATTCTCCATGATCAGCTGATCAGCCGTACGACCTCTGACGCGCATTAGGGCATGGAGGTATTTGACTACTAATGAAGGATCTCGTGAGGAAACCAACTCCTCAAGGGTTTCCCTGTATTCGTTGATGAGATCCTGTATCGCAAGGCTTTCGAGAGCAGAGCCGATGATGCAAGTTGACATGACCTTGGAGTCAAGAAGTGGGACGACGATGACCCCTTGAGCAAATGTCAGTCGAATTGGTTATCTGCCTCTGTAGAAGACTTACGCCGTTATACGGGTAAGACCACGGTAAAAATCGAGCGCATTCTACACGAGAAATGTTGAACAATTACATTTATCCTGGATCTCGGTAGGTTCTTACATGAAAGCGACTCAAGCTTGGCTCGCAAGCGACGAAATGCTAAAAGCTGCATGTCGACAAATAGATCGCATCAGAAAGAGAAACACGCACTAAAGTGATCTTCTTCTTCAGCATGTCTCTCGCCACATCAAGAGGGTCCGGAACTGACGTAAGTATACACAAATTCAGAACCCCAGAGTCTACGACGACGGATGGTAATGAACTCTTACCACCTGGCACACCGTCAGGCCAGTAATCGCCCTGGGATCCAATACCGTGGGGTGGAGCATCCGAGACTAACACAGCGACCTTGTTGCAGTCGTTCCTCCACTTCATCGTTAAAGCTCGAGCTAGAGCTGCTGTTACGGCTTCTGGCCCATCTCCACCGCCATCCGCCTCGGGAAGATGGCTCAAGTTCGCGTGGATCCTAGTGATATCCGAGACAAAGTCCCATTGGCGGGTAACGAATGTGTCATCCTGGGGATAATGATCGCGGAACCCAATAAATGCGACGCGAAGATCGCCTGGGTGAGCTGATTTCATATGATCGGATCCCAGTATTTCCGCGCAGATGGCGTTGATCGATGCTTTGACTGAGTCTATGTACGGTTGTTGGCTACCAGTGAGATCGAGGATGAACAGCAAATCACTGTAAAGGCCATAAACAGTGCTCGAACTATGAGGAACTTAGACCTAGTATCACTCACAGCTTTAAGCCATGCGTACGCGAAGAAAATGCATTTTGCTTTGTTGCAGGATCCATCAGGTACGTGTACACCACACGTTTGACCTATGAAATTTAACGACACTCATTGACTGTACATTCTTCTTGGTATATATCGATAAAAACTTACCAGGTCCTCAGATGCGGGTGCTTTCTTTGCCTCTACAAATGGGAGAGATGATCCCGAGCCTCTAGAGATCATCATGGGCATTATCGCTCTTTCATGTGCGTCTGAAACAAGGAGAGCTTCTACAGCCTCTGCCTCTGCTTGAGATACTGTTTGGAGATTCGCAGGGTGGTCATGAACGATGGTAGTGGACGGGGTGTCTTCAACGTAAAGCTGCGCTAGGAGATTTCCGACCTGTTCAACCTCGGGCCGGGTAGCCTCGGTAGCAACATCTCCGATCTGCAAGGTGATTGATTATTTTATCTAGAAACTCGGTGACTACAATACTTACGGAGACTGATTGTTCAAGAATTGGACCTTCATATTCCTGCATAAGCTCCACCATGGCAGGCGGGGGACACCACAGTTCCGAGATCGCCGTGCCAGAGTATTCTGCGTCAGCGTAAACGCTAATAGGTTGTACGTCTCGTGGACTTGTGGGTAGGTGTCCATCCAGAACGTCTACCTCAGCAGGCTGTGCTCGCAGTTCGCCATATGAACCAGGAATGGCGACACTACGAAGTTCAGCATCCGCCGGAGTATCGTCGCTTTCTGTTTGAGGAGCTGTTGGCGTTGTGGGTCCACGAAGTTCAGCATCCGCCGGAGGATTGTCGATTTCCGCCGGAAGGACCGGACGCAGGTCTGAAATTCCTGCCCGGGTTGGTTTCCCCTCAGGATTAACAAGGGTTGACGTTAATGTTGGCGTCTTGGGAGATCCTGGTGACGAGAGTGAATTCGAAGGGGACAGACCCATTTCTTTGCCAGACTTTTCGGCTAAGTGTAAGCTGCTCGACCGAGTGATTTCAGGGGAGGATCTGGCCCTTCTGCGTCTGCGACGTGCAACAAACAGGACACATCCACAGAGCAGAAGCAGCAGGACTACTCCCCCAACAACTCCACCAACGATCGCACCCACCCGGGTTTTGTGGGAACTTGAAGATGAAGCGCAGGAACCGGCGGCTCCCGTCAAGTCGGAATATGCTTGTTTAAATCAATGTATGTTCGCAGATTCGCCAAAGTGAGATTGACATACACACTGACGCAATATCTGATGCGGTCGTTTCGTTAAATGTTCCGTTCAGCCAGCTTCGAGCTGTGAGGTCCCCATGAAAGGTAGCTTAGTGATAAGCGGTTCAACACGTACGATCATAGCCCGCGTAACAAGGTATCGAGGTATTGGAAGGCAGTGTCACTCCCGCATACGAGGGGAAGTATCTTTAACAAATTCATTAGATCAGGGACATGAGATACCTATAAAAACTCACGTTGTTGTCGACGTCAGGTTTGTGGGGCAATTAGCTATCCACTCATCCCAACTGTACCATGTTAGCTCAAGTATATCGCTGGTGACCTAAGAAGACTTACCTCACTAGTAAAGGCGACGAAGAAGCACAGAACATACAGGCGCTAAACAAGTTGTAACTAGCCCAGGAACTGTTGATAATGACGCCATTATTTACCTAGTAATTTATACACACTGGTGGACCTACCATGTGCAAGCAGTCACGTTTGAGCCAGCTGGAATGGACGCTTCTTCAAAAGAGGGAGGGGAGATGGTAGCGCCTAGAGTAGCTTAAGCCTGAGCATTAACAAATGAAATTGTTGAAAAGTTCTTACATGTATATGAGCACGCGTTGTCCACCTCCTGGACCACCTCGCACGGTGTTTGACTTTGGTTGTTTTCGGTCCAAGACGGACACAAAATAGAAGTTGACATTTGATCTAAGACAGAGGCGAGACAAGATAAGCCGTATTGCGACGTTGAGATTGTTTTCAGACTGTAGCGGCCAACTGGTCACCGGTGGTACACAGAGAGAGAGAGAAATAGGTTCCAGGAAGGATGAGGGAAGCGGTACTATATGAGGAGATCATATGTGAAACCAATGGCCATACTTGCCACACATTTAGATCTGATCTGTTGAATTGAAGTCTCGTGAGCGAAGTTGTTCTGCAGTGGAATCACGGACCGACGCATGATTCTTCATACAGAAAAAAAAAGCTTCTGGAATTTGAAGGAATTGCCGAAGATGGTCTCATCATCTGTCTTCTATGCAGGTTTAGTAAGTGGTCGCGAGACGATATGCACAAACTTACATTAATCGCGATGCAACGGAATACACTGTCCTTGATTTTTGGTATAAAGCCTCTTAGAAAATGGAAATATACGACCTGATCGATTTGAATTCCGCGCAAAAGCGCAATTCGTTGATCAAGTTATCGCGGAGAGAGAGATATTGGCGCCCAGTATATTTATGTGACCAGTACTTCCTCGCAGGAACGTGGTGATTATCGATATACTCTGGATCGTGGCCAATAGGTATGAGCGATACGCCGCCAATCTACCAGCTAGGCACAAATTGCTATCGTTCCAAGTTCATGGAAGCACGCATGAGAAGGTGGGACATTGCGGGGCAACTGCGAGAGGACTCGGATATTGTACTTGACGCACTTAGGTTGAAACTTGAGGCCTGAGGTCCGAGTGAGGAAATGCATAGGGTGATTATTGACTTGGATCCTCTATCTCACCGGTAGCATCTCCATCATCCAGGGACTCCTTCGCATAACTTGAAGACCTTAAAACATGCATTTTCGACACCCAACTGCCTTATACACCTGCCCTTGTCGCCAAAGAGGGATAGAAGGAGCGCAAGAGAGCCTGTATGAGGGATTTCTCAGTCGTCTTCTGCTGAAGTTCTGCAACATCATGCATCGGTCTCAACTTGCACCTGCTACCCTATACCATTCAGATTCAGAAACATCAAGACGGAGCTTGAATGTGTCCATGCCTATTCTATATCAAAAAAAAGTCGGAAAACAGTAAGAAAAGAAGACCCACACGACTCGACAAGTCTGTTCTGCGACCTTCAAAGTTCAATCGAACTTCGGTTGACTTCAACATATATATCGAGTTTCCCAATTCCAGCGAGATAATATTTCCAAAGGTGTCTCAGCGTCCAAGCTCATGATCAGAGGGTGTGATGGCAGGTATCGTGAGACCAGGCATTTTGTTGGTCGATTCAGAGTCCAAGTCGAGACTTGCAGTTACAGACTCAGTTCCTTTCTTTCCTACTAATATCCGTCGAAGTACTTCGAATCTTTCCCTCCAACTTGTTTTCCTCTCAACCATTAGCAAACAATATGGCTCACAAGTCAATTTTGCACGGCCTCGGATATCATTGGTGCACTGCAGAACATCGTAAGGACTACAGTTTTATAGACACTTGCTTATGAGAATAACTTATAACCATTCCTTCAGTTACGTTCACAACTAATCGTACGTCTATGTGGATGTGTCCGATGCCATATTCACGATTAGCAGATACCAGACCTTGAAACCCCGTACTCCCATGCCAATTTCCCCAATACGAACTACTCTGGCATTGAGGTCGAACGCCGCACCATCAGCGCCATCGTTGCCGAACGTCAGCAGCAGTTGAATGTGGCTTTGCGGGCTGGAAACAGTCATGTACATTGTCAGTAATCTTCACCGGAACCTCGTCGAACAAACGAACATGATCATCCAGTCCATGAATTTGCACAAGAAACTTGTCTCGACTCTCTGGCGCTTTCCAATAGAAGTTTTGTCCCAAATTTTTCACCACTGTCTTCCCGCACCCGATGAATTGCAGCCGCCATCAAAGCTACAGCTCCCGTGCTGTCAGTGACTGCAGTGTGCCGACGATGGAGGGAGGTTGCTGTGGGCGTGCCCAAACGATCACGAGGACATCCGCTCTCGTTAGCGCTCGCCTGCCACGCAAATGACTCCACCAACCTACAAAGCCTTCTTCAGTCTTACATCAATCAAATCTTGTCTGTTTTACCGGAGATTCGGACCAACCTGAACTGTTGTTTGAAGATCTCACAGTACTTCAGGAGCTAACCATTTTTATAATGCGTCAGCAGGCTATTGCACAATGCGACTCGCGACTGCCGTTCACTCTGAGCAGTCTCTAGTTCTTCAGGCCATTGTTCGACCACGAGCTCCTCGACCGTGCAGACTGCTTGTGCTAGCAAAGTTCTTTGTTTGATCGGATCCAGGCTGCTCGACTTTCGCAACATACAGACATATCTTAGCACATACTATCCTTGCAAGGCTGCATCTTTGTATCTCGCATGCCGTACATGGTTTTAGGTCCAATGATACGTTCATTGAACTTACACCAACAATATTACAGACAATACTGCAACCTCTATGCAGTGGACTCCAACGAGGTGCTTATATACAGTGCAGACATCATCGAAGATAGTTGATGTACTGGATTTCCATTGCTTTTCAGAATTCCGGCGTTGCCTCCTGCTGCTCCATCATATCGGTCCAAGATCTGTGCAAATACCTCGGCTGCACCGCTCATATGCAAAATTCGAGAGATGGCTGCGTGTAGGGTGATGAAATGAGGGTTAGGCAACGGTATGTCTCGTGTAGGGGCAGCATGATTCCGGAAGGTGATAGTTCTATCGAGAATGTCGCGATGTATCCACCGCCTGCTGCTAACTTCCTTGACTACATACTCGTTTTCTCGCTGGAGCGCTGATCAATGAAGCATTGCGAGGACGAAAGCCTGCAGACTCACCTCCGTCTGTTCGAGGTATACTTTTAGCTTATCAAAAACAGTGTGGACATCGCCTTGGAGCATCATGCCGTTGGAAGGATCATCTACAAGCCTTTCCATATCTTGAATAGTTTCTTTGGACATTCCTGAGTAATGTCGAATGATATTCCACGTCGCAGCCGCAGTATGCGGCTGTGTAATCCAACTCGAGGGTCAGGATTAATGCCGACATGGCAGAGAAATCCTTACCCGTTCCAGGGTGAAAACACCGACGGCCCGTTTCAGGATGTGTGCTCCTGTCAAGGTCACCCAAGCCTGATCGCTACTGGCGGGCCTGTGTTCTCCATCCCACATACCGGTAACAACGCATCTATAACCGTCTCGCCGATTAGGCTGTTGGAGTTAACGCTGAAAGCCACCTTTCTGACAGTGGGACGTACATCGCTCCTAAATCCGCTACGCCGTTCCGGATTGGCACTTACGAGGCTGCCATAGGTGTCGTCAATAGTCGGCGTGGTTTGATCAGAAATCAGGTCTGATGGCTGGTGAGATCCGGCTGTGACTACCAAGGGGAAATCACATTGATATTCGTGACAGACACTTAAGTTATAACTTACATGGCCATAGCAGATACATGAACCAAGTCCTCGCGAGGTTGACTTGCTCGTAGATCTCGGGACATGCGCAAATAGCACAGGCGGTATAACGCTCGGATTTTTCACCACCGCTTTGGCGAGCGTTCCTCAGCATCGCGTCTAGAACCCTGGATGCGTCCACGTTGTTCACGCGTGGTGGAGTTTCGATCCACCTGTTTTGCTTCGTCACTAGCTGGTCTAGGATTTGTCGAGCCTGCTCCACATAGGTCGCAGTGGATATATCAGCGTTTTGCATGGACAAATACACGTTCTCGTTGAAACTGATGACGGAATCAGGTTCGCTGATGGTCTCGCTCAGGTCGCTCATATCGCTCGTGGTTCGTGAGTGAGACATGTTAGAGGACAATATTAAAGGTATATGATGCTTGGGGTGATTATTGGGTGGTTGTCGTTTGTACGGCTTATGGAACCTTGTCCGGAAAACGACAAGGAACACTAAACGAATCGGGCGAAGATAACAGGACGAAACTGTGGATTTCTTGAGTAGGGCTCGGTGAGAAATGCGGATGTTACTAACATCCGGTTAACTAACCCCGGAGGGCTTCAGAGGCACTTTAGTATGGACTCGCTCCGGCATTGTCGTCTCATAAGCATGTCACACTATGGTCACATCATGTGATGTTCGTCGACCTCTACCTTATTCCTCAAGGCCAGGAGCACACAGGAGTAGTGCCATTCATGGCGCTTGACTTTCTCACAAGGGAAGCCATCGACAGCGAGGTCGAGCACTTGTACTCACCACGCTGAATCATTATCTGGTCCTCACCTAGGTTCACCTTCGTTATCAAGGCGGCATGCTCCTTAGCAGGCACAGTGCACTCAATGACTTGCTGAGAGGGGATGCCATTGGATGCCACGAGGGAAACAACAGCTTCTTGGGCGGGGGGCGTCATCATGAACAATCCTCATCATCGCGCCCATCCAACTGGGAAATTGCGTAACCCTCCTTACTACTATCGCCCTTCTGTACGCGGTGCATCCTAGACAAGACGAGTTTGGCTTGAGCTGAGAATAGTGCGTTGGTCCAATTCTGTCAACTTATAATAATAGTAACAATGTCGTTAACTAGCGTCAACTTTTACCATTTTTTACATGAATACATTTTCCAAGAACTCCGGAGATGGCCTTTGGTAGCCGGCAGGTTTTGATTCGACCTGTTGGTGAAAGGTGATCGTTTACAATGTTTAGACTCGGTGACTCCACTGACTCTTGCATCAAGGTTGAGATTTGAAATTTGAAAGCTTGGGGAGTATACAGAACTAATAACATGCAGCTGCCTACACATCTATTTACCGTGACAAAGGCCTGAGCTGGCCAAACTTCAAACTACATATCCGTGTAGGCAGAAAATTTGAACCGAAAATTTTCAAGTCTGCTTCGATCACCCGATCGCGCGCGTGAGCCTTGTACATTTTCCACCTGCAGGTCTGACCACTAGTGCTGTCTCTTTTTTATTGGCCTTACTAGGCAGGCCCATGCGGGGTTGCTGCTATTATTAGTGCCAAGCTAGTTCTTGCTCTAACTTACGTAGACCCCGTTGCTGGCATAGGTGCCCATGTGCGTCCAATGTCCGACTCAGATCTGCATGGACATTCTTTTACAGTATAAATGGCTTGTAGGCCTCTTGCGAGCAACCGACAAAATCCCTCATAGTTATGCTGTCGGTTCTCCCGCCAAGCCCTCCTGTTTGTAGTCCTCATCGCGGCCAGCAGGTCGACCTCGTCCTTGGTCAGCATCCCGTTGACGAAGCTTGAGCGCACTGGGTCGTATCTCCGAGGGTCCCCACATGCTGATCGTGCCCGAGCATCATTCTTGAAGACTCGAACAACTGGCGGTTCAACGACCGTCCCGGCTTCAAATTTGGCATATGTACAGTACACCACCAGCGTTGGCATTGGCAGCCCCGCCACATACTACAATTTGGCTATTGACACAGGGAGTTCTAACACCTTTATCGGGTGAGTAGCTATGTATAGGAATGCCCTTTCGAATCGAATGATCGATGATGACGTACAGAACAGGTAAAAAGTATGTCCGTACGTCAACCAGTGTCCCCACTGGACAACAAGTCAATGTAACCTATGGACTTGGTTCTTTCACTGGCGTTGAATGTTTGTCTTTCTCTCTACTTCGCTCTAGCGTATGGAAGTTGATACGGTCTAACCCATCAGACTCTGACACGGTCACTCTTGCACCCGACCTCGTCATTGCGAACCAGTCTATTGGCGATGCCCTTCAATATGCAGACTTTGAAGGCATTGATGGTCTCATTGGTGTCGGACCAGTTGATCTCACGCATCACAGTCTGTCACCTGATACTAATGCGTTGATCCCAACCATCATGAATAACGCCCTGAAGCAGGGCCTGATCCGAAAGCAAATTCTCGGTGTTTCGTTTGCACCAGCGACTGACTTATAATTACAATGACACTAGTATGTATATATGATATTGCAACTTTCATGCAACGTTTCTGATCGACTGAACAGACGGAGCCATTACATATGGTGGCATTGACCATGCTCTCGTGCGTACCATGTACATGCTTACTGTTGCTATCAGTCCCTGATTTTCCCGTCAGTACACTGACAAAATAACCTATGCCCCAGTTACCGAGACTCACCCAGCAGGCCACTACTGGGGCATCAACGTGACTGAGTCGACATATGGTACACATGCTGTCATTCCTCAGTCAACTGCCGGCATTGTCGACACGGGCACCACTCGTACGTATCGTTCGATCACCCGCATCAACATTTACTGAATCCTTACATCGCAGTGGTTCTGCTTGCGGATGATTTCTTTGCCACGTACATAGACGCCATTCCCGGCGCCTACCTCGACAACAACCTCGGCGGCCTCCTTGTCATCCCCTCCTCCTCCGTCGCGGACATGCAACCCCTTAACTTCAAGATCGGTGGCGCCGTGTTCAGCATGGATACAGCTGCACAGCTAATCCCATTGAACCAGAGCAGTTCTTGGGGCTATGCTGGCGTACAATACGGCACTGTCTCTAACATCGGCCACGACAGCGGCAAGGGTTTCGATTTCATCATCGGGATGAAGTTCATGGAGAAAGTACTATACTGTTTTCGACGCTGACAGCAACCGCGTTGGCTTTGCGTACACGTGAGTCAGTTTGATTTGGTACTGAGGGGATGTTGAACCTGATGCGGTTGGGTCTAGTAAGCACACCTTCTCGACGTACTCGCCTTGAGTCGAACCATCGCCATTTGGAGGATAATAAGACTTATGAGTTGGGCAACCCTACATCGCGTGATTCAAGTTAGGGTTCGCTGACGACACTATTGAAAGCAGGTACACAGATATTCAGTACGTAACGTTGGTTAATTCTGATACCGAACTTCGACTTAGCAGACCGAAGTTTGACCTACTAAGTCGTAAGTGGCCAGAAGTTGATTTGGTATATATCGACCCGGCGACGCTTAATGCTTAAAGGTTTTACCAGGTTGCGTTGGCGTTCATGTTCATATGTTCTAAATTGTCTATCCGCCGACCGTGTGGTTCTGCATATTCGAGTATCCCTGAAGTCCGCTGGCAAGCACAACCAATCTGATGAAACCACGGAGAAAACCCCTATTTCTAAGATAGAAAAGCAAGCCGTCTTCCTACTGCCAGTATCAGGGCTATTATTCGAGATCTCCCTTAGCGTATCTCAGATTACCTAGCACAAGCTATGCGTTTCTCATTCATCCTCACTGTTGCTGCTGCTTTGACAGTATCTAATTCTGTCAGTGCCAGCACTGGTGCATGCCTGGTTGAAGGCGACATTTGCAACATCGGCATCCCCGGCAAAATCTGCTGCAAAGGTCTTACTTGTGAGACGGGTGTGAGTATGAGCCGTCTGCTTTGCATCCGGGATTCGACCCCATGACTCACCCTTTGCGCCTTGTACAAATAGTATCTCGAAAACCCCAACAACTACAAGTTCTGCCAGAGTCCAGAAACCCCCTCCTGATGAGCTTGGCAGACTGAACATGTTGCGACAGTGAGTCGTGTTTCCGCTTTCGCGTTGGTACAGTGGTTGATCGCAAGATATGCAGGTCGTTGCAGAGTTGATCAATATATTCACTCCTGTATAAATATCCCTGTTGCCTCGACCAGACTGTTGCATAACTATAGCATGGTTGTCGGACGTAAAATATTCATTTTATTCGACTTGCATACATTTTTGCATGCATGCACAAGAAAACCGGTGTATTCAGTCGACATCGAAGTACGTGTACATGCATATCCTTGAAAATTCGTTCAGAAGGAAGAAGGGACTAGTGTCGAGGACACTCGAACTTCGTCATTCTGCTGGACACTGCTCCTCCTGAGCCACTTGATGAGCGCGAATAGATAGATCTCAAACACGATACTGATACATGACTATGTAACCTCATTTTCTTCCCACCCTCTGTACTGATTATTATCGTGATTTTGCGAGCTCACTGGCACCCTCTATCTATTGGTCTCACTAGGCACCATTTGTTTCGTCGTGGTAAGCCCAGAGGCTGATGGAAAACGTTCACGAGGCAGCGGAAGGCGGATTTAGAAGTACTTGTCGACGATCCTGTCTCGAGGAAATGGATTATGTCGGCGAGTGTAGCGCAATCGCAAACGAACACGTACTCTCTTCATACACATTCCTATCAAACATGTTGGACAGCTCGAAGATATAGCTGGTATTGTAAGCTATCTCACATCAAAGGAAGCGCACTTTATTACCGGTAACTTCATAACTTCATCAAGTCTGTCTCTTGCTTACGTAGCATGTGATGTCTCTAGGCCAATGCGTAGGTCGAATTGGTTTGCTACACACAGCTGGTCTGATTTTACTCGCAGATTTCCGTCGATAGGGGAATCGTCATGACTTGAGGAGGCCCTGTAAAAAATTGTGCTCTTGCTCCTCGCAGATGCTATAGTTTTGGTAATAAACTTGCGCCAAGTGATGCAAGAATTTCGTCCAGGAACACCGACCTATCGTGGCAGAATTAAAACGATCTCGAAAACAGTGGATCCCCGTAGATCGCTTTGTATTCAACCTGATGGATGATCTGTACGACTCGCACGATGCCAAAATTGATGTTGCATACTGCAACTCAGTCGGACAGAGATATCTAAGCATCGTTAAGATAGACCTTCGAGCAATCAAAACTATACCACCTGAACAGATGATCGTGTCGATTCGTGTTGGTGTGTAGTCTTGCATTCACATTTTGTATGGTACAGTGGTCCAGGCGCTTGATGAGCAAAAGAGAGGATGGTCGAAGCAGATTCTGCCGGTGATGCATGCAAGCCATCTTGGAGGAGAATGGGGTAAGGCGACTGAGATGCCAAGCGGAAACGGACGGGCGGATACCTGGTCGTTGGACATCGAGGACTTGATCGTGTTCCATACGACGCTACGCGCAACGGAGGACTGTTAGAGCATGAATAAAACAACTAGCGACGAGAAATTTAAAACCGATAATCCGAAAGAAAAGTTGGTCATATTTAACTTACCTAGACTAAGCCAGCAGCTGTGAACAGCCGCAGCGTCCAAGCGAGCATCGTTGGAAGACCATACCCTTCGCATCTGCTGCAGTCAGCTGTCTCTTAGGATAGGGTTTTGTTAGTCAGGAGAGACGGATTAATAGCGGTTTCCAGCCGACAAAGGCTCTCACCACCGGGATACCGCTACATCGACTGCTTGCCCTTCCAATGTTTAGGATTCTCCTACCTTTGCCTATCTTTGGAGTGTAATGGCCTGTGCACGACTGATCGGTGCCGTTAGCCAAACTATCAGCGCTCGCTGTCCTTTGCTCGTGGCCAGCGAATTATCCTGTGTATGCAGACTGTATTCACGAAAATATAAATATACGCTAGCCGCGGGGCAGAGTCTTTGCCTCAGGGCCAAAAACCTTTGGTACACCCGACCCACGAAGACAGCTCCATCCGGCTCTTTCATTTTGGCTAGAGACTTGGTCAATTATCCAGGTAGCAAGACGAGCTTAGACTGTGACTGCAGAAAGAGGGCGATCGCGTAAAGTATACAATGTGGAGCATTGATTATTATCCCTTGTGAGCACCTGGTTGAGGGCTTTGTTAGAATATTAAGGGCAACCAAGTGAACCATGTACGTGACATGACTACTTAGCCTGTCTTCGTGTCAATGAACCTGTCCCGTCGTGGCAATCAGCATTTCGTGACAGAAGCCTGCGCCAAGGATGCGGTTATCCCTACGCCTGGAGAAGGATCCAGTAAGATAAACACTTTGGTGTGCGTCAGAGGCGTCGCTGTGACTGGCACTGACGATGAACTGAAGGTACTAATGGTGAAATCGGACTCGACTCATACGTCTACAAAAGATGAGGCCAGGGTGAAGGTATAGGTTCTAGCGCCGACATGCGGAGCAGTAGATTTAGGCCAGACGAGTTGTCAGCGGAGAAGAGAGAGAGGGGAAGAGGAATATGCTCACAGAAGTTGATTTGCAGACAGCTCACATAATACCAATGGGAATCTGTCAAGCATCTACAAATCTGCAGATCTGAACGCTGAGCTGTGTACCTGGCCTAAGTACTAAACTGATGGTCGTCCCCTCTGCAATCCAGCAGCATCGCTCAGGCCTTAGCTTCAGGCCTCACTGGCAGGACATGTCAAATTGTTTGTTCACGTCAAGACTCGTTTGGAACGCGTAAACAAAGATCAACAACGCGCCAACGCGGTGGATGCAAGGTTGATGTGATTTTTAATCCTTCTTTGTCGTTCTATACAGCTTCAAATCTGGAACTCAACGTTAACAAAAAGAAATGCAGACAATCAACTCACAAGTCAATCTTTGCCCAGCCTCAGATATATATCATTCGTGCACTGCAGAAAGTCGTAAGTAATAAATTTTATTGGCCCACTCGTGCATGAGAATAATAACTATTCACGTCAGCTACGTTCAAAAGCAATCGTATATCTATGTGGATGTAAGTATAAGATGCCATTTTGACGATCCTCAGACAGACTTTAATTACCAGCCTCGTAGGATATTCCTCTCTTGTTATGCACTCAGGGAATCAGTCGCCAAGCTCAAAGACTGGTATGACGATGTCCTCACTCCAGCATTGTTTTGATAGCAATATTAATATTTGTGTGTTAAGTATACTGCACAGATGTCATCTCAAGGCTGCTACCAGTGTAAACACAACTCGATTGAAACTGAACATAGATAGTAGAGATCGAGGGGGAACAGGATGACAAGAGTATTAAAATCCTGTCAGCGACGTGTCAGTAATGCAGCCACATCGGAGAAAAAAAATGAATTCCAACCTAAATTTTCCACCCTCCAGCGAGCCCCATCACATTGTTTGGATCAACAGCCTTCTTGATATCCTGCAGACGAGCCAGATTATCCCCGTAGATTTCCTCTATGCTTGTGGAAGGATCTGCATTATTGGGATACACAACCACATGTCCAACGTCCTGCCCTGCAGCAATCGCTAGCTGTTTCATGTAATTGGAACTGGCAGTAACGCTGTCATATACGAGGTCATCGTTACTTGAATCATTCCATGCATAGAATAGCGCTAGGAAGTGAGTAGCCTCGTTCACGTGAATCCGGCCTACGCAGATGGCGTATCGGTGTGGTCGTAAATCGAAGTGAGGTAGGGCCTTCACGGTGTAAGTCATATCAGTCACGCTATTTCCCAGTTTGTCAGCCGTAGAACTAGCCGCTCGTGTCAATAGACGACCTAAATCAAAACATATAATACTCACGAGAATTTCCTTGGCAACGTCGTCCAACAAGGACTCCGTCCACTCCTCGATCGCTATGACATTGATTACAGCTCTGTTTCATTGTGAGTATAAGCTGGGCATGAAGACCAAAAAATTACCTAAGGTCAGGTGTACTCGGCAGCTCATTTTTGATCATGCTTGTGAAAGACCGAGTAGAGACGTATCCATCGACGTGCGGAATCGCCAAGAAGTCGTCAAAGATACCATCTGGGTAAGTGGGTGCATTATAGAACAACGTGCATGATACGACGAGCTACGCAGCAGCGCGTTAACCCGCGACCCCACGTAAATTGCCTTTACAACATGCTTACCTTTCCAGAGACATACTTATATATAGAATACATCGCCGCCTTGGGATCTATAACGTTTGCAGAGAATTTGGCGATGGCAGCTTTTACTGCTTTGAGTTGATCTTGATCGTATGTGATACTTCCACCCTATTTATAGTGGTCAGTGCTGTACGATATGCTGTAGGTCTGACGTCTCACCCAAACTTGAGATTGAGGATATGTTTTGAGAGTGACGTAGGTAACAATTCCCTATGAGGGTGTTAGTCCGAGGTTGCATAGGGTACTTCTTCAGATGATCACGTACAAAGTTATTGAAACCTCCCTTCGCAGTGGCACGAGAGATTAAAACATCGACAATCTAGATGACGAAAAACGCACCCGCAAGCCGAAGAATAAATCTGGGTTGCTGGAGCTGGTGACTGTGGTCACCGTGCCATTAGGCAAGACAAGTTCGTACGCGACCACGTTATCAATTGCCAGTCCATACTGGTTTGTCAGATACGAATATCCTGATCAAATGACACAATGTGAGATCACATTTGAATCATCCGGCGACGTTCATACCTCCGCCAAGTACGATGCCGCCAACTCCAACGCCAGTGACTTTCCCCCCTACAACATTCACGCCGTATTTTTCCAGCATTCGATAGACAACATCCCATGTCGCACCAGTAGCCAACAGTTGCTGTCTGGGAATCTGAGTCAAATGTGACGTCTGAGAACAAAGACATCGCGATCTGAACGCCTGGGGTCGACGAAAAGCCTGGGTTGGTCGCGTGACCACCACTTTTGATCTATTTGATTTTTGTGAGATACAAGCGTAAGCTGAAGAGGTCAGTTGCTCACCTGCAAACGGCGTCCTGGTGTCTCCCAAAATTTGGAGCTGTGGGATGAGATTAATTTGGCATGAGGATCTTCATTTCAAGCAACACGAACCGCTTTCGCGAGGTCCTCAGTGGTGCCAGGTTCGAAAGAGCAAGCAGAGACTTGACTAGCTCGAAGATATCCAATGATGATTATCCTTCAGTATAGGAAGACGATCCTGTCCGAGACTGTTTAGCTTCATTCACACTTGGTTTTAGTAGCACCAAGTAGTACATACCATTGTAATAAACTGCGGACTTCGAAGAGATGGAGCCCGCGATCTCCGAACAAGCAGCTAGTGTCACGAAAGTATATTCCTGATACCGAGTAAACCTGAAGACGCAAGTCCCCAAATGGCCTACAAGCACGAAGGATATACTAGCAGAGATTAGCATCTCGACGGGCAGATGGGTAGAATGGGACGTACGAGTCCTGCTAGGACACTTTATGTAGCTAAGGTGTCCGGGCTTTTACTCCGATTAAGTACTCTGCACTAACCGCACACTCTATAGTACCATATGGATGCCGTGAGGGTGTTCGGCAGCTTGTAAGCCGAGCAGTAGTACCATCCGACGCTCTCCCGTGCAAATGTGGGTACATATCGCCGTTGAGGGTGCCACAGTCTGCAAACACTCTTCGCCCACTGTTTCTGCCATTCTCCTTCGCTATATTCCTTCGCTTGCAAGTTCGGCTTCCCTCCGTCCATGGTCCTCATCATGACGTTCTCGGCCCCTGCGTCCAGCTAACCGGAAAGCGCTGTTTCCTTCCTCAGTTTCGACAATCGCGACGACGAGCGCAGATTGACCCACGCGCTTCCTCGCTCCCGTTGAAACTGGCACCTTGCAAAAAGGCTTGAACTCCGAGTCCTGCCAGTATGTATAGGGAGAGATTGTGGCCACCACTGTCGCTATGCACATTGATGATTGGAATACTTATGTTGTTTAAGTCGTGTCGAACGAGAAGGACATGGTGGACGCTTGGCGGACGGACGGTTCTTTCCCAATTTTCGGTACTTATATAGCGCCGTATTCCCAACGCGACAAATACCCTGACATAACATAAGCAATGCTGCGACCTTCACATCGGGGATTCGAATATTTAAGACTGGTTTGAATGTCGTGCGAAATGTCAAGATAATACTTAATATTTAGGTTGTCGTCTAAGCGGATGTAAAATTTCAAATGTTAAAGAGATCTTGCACGACAAGAGAAATATAAAGTATCAGCGAACATTTTGTTACTATCTGAACATCAATGATAATAAGAAATATAAATATATCTTTAATGCTGGCATAAACTTTGAAATGAAACTTCACATTTAAGACTCGAAAAAACTTCAACTATCGCACGTGACTGAATGTCTGCTCATGTATGAAGTTTAGACCGTCGCTTAGATGGGCGTTAAAATTCAAAATACCCCCTGACAATAAAACGTGAAAATAAATCATCAAGTTTTATCTCCAGATAAAACCGATTGCCCGATGATCGCCCACTCATGGCTGAATCATTGCCCACTTACAACGTCATTGCCCACTTAAGTTTGAGATGCGAAATATTATGGGACTAGACAATGTGAAGTGAAATACGAAATATTGTACATGAATCTACCGTACACAAATCTACTGTACACAAACATAGTAGAGTGAAACTGAAGCCTGTTTGACAGTAGTCAGACACCGGTGATTTCTCGAGGTGAATGAATGTACTTACAAAATCATTTCAACTTGTATACAGGCTAGTGCTAATTGTCTGTAAAAGCTGAGCAGGAGATTAGAGACGCACAAGTAACAACCAATTTATTCTTACCACTTGCTTTGGTGGCAAGAAAACTGCAAGATGCCGCATTGACATTTTTCATCATTTTGTTGGTGCCCACATTGAATTTGAGTGAGCCTTTCCACTGCAAGCCAGTCATTGGACTGTTAGCATCATTAGTGAATTTATGTCGCTCTCATGAAACACCCTGTTGAATGTTGTCCAGGCGCGACTGAAACCAAAATTCACAGCGACTGGACCAGAACCCCACATTTAGTCCTGAGGCAGCCCATGCCTGGGGCCTGGGCCACCAGGAGACAATTTCAGCATTCCCGTCGTCTAGATTATTATTCAAACATAAGCGCCTCTGTCAATGTAAATGAGAGAAACTTACTGGTATGCAAATAATACGTCCTGCACATGAAATCTACCTCCTCTTCTGACAGCTCATCATCAAAATAAGTCTGGCCATTAATGTCCAGCATGAGGCCAAACGGTACTGCTTCCTGTGAAATGCCATCAAGAACGGAGGGGAGAACATCGAACCCAAGACTATGTAAAGCCAGCCGCCATATGAGGCCACCATGAAGAAGTGCTGCTCTTGTGCGAGGCTGGTTCATGAACTCGTGACGGTGCTGCTCGTACACAATGTAATCGGCAAAAACAGGCCTAAAACGGGCGAGCCTGCGATCCTCGGGGGGGAAGACATGTCCGAGTGAGTATGTACGGAGTTCTGTAAGTGGGCGTCGAGTGTGAGGCAGAACTGAGATTGGCTGCAACGTCTTTATAGTGATTCCTTTTTCAAGGAGGTTATGCGCGATCTTGGTGATATCTGAGCCCCAGTCATGCTGGAGGCACATTGCAGCCGTAATAGTGTCGGGAACCGCCAGTTTCCAGGGCACCAGATTTGACGACAGTGACTCGATGATGTAGAGCTGCTGCTTGGGTTGTTGCACATAGGAAACTCGAATGTGTGCGTTCGAGACTGACAAGGACAAGTCAGGTCCTAGATTCCAGAGATCGGGCGGGATGTCTGAAAACTGAGATTGAGGGAGGGTGACAAGGTAACCTATAAAACATGTGATAACATGCTTCTGTGCGTCTGGAATTGATGTGATATTCGTGGGGTTGTCGCCGACGAGTCTGCATAAGTGAGTCCACTGTGTCTTGTGAGTCCAATCATCGAATGTAGTCGATCTGCCTTGGGGTGTAGTGGTGGATGCTGCAAGGCGATATCCGAGATGAAAATGCAAAATCAGGACAAATTGCTCAACACTACGAGTGTATTGCGTAGAGGGTGCAACCTCATAATGACCGAAGTAGCCTTCGATGTCTTTCAAGAAACTGGACAAGGGTGGTGGAGGGGCAGGGGGAGCAGGGGCAGGTTCAGAAGGAGCAGACACAGGCGGGAAATCATCTTCCTCCCAATCGCCATCGGGAACGCTGGTAAGATCCAATGCATCACACAAGTCCCACTTGTTACGGAACGAATCATATACCCTGGTAGATTTGCTATACGACATCCAAGTCATTGGTATCTCAGCCTTTGTGAGATGGATGCATTGACGAAAGCCACCAAACTCGTCATTAGGTTGCCATTCAAACACCACGACTGTGTTGGATTTGCCAGGAATGCTGTGGTTCATGGCTACCCACTCATGGCTCTGACGCGACTGCCGTTGAGCTGGTGTCTCCGTCTCCTCTTTCCTCTTGTTCTCCTGACGGCGCCGTGCAAAGAATGCCTTCCAGTCTTCTCCTCGCCTCTGTCCAGAGTGGGGTTGGGAGACTGGGAACAGAAAGTCCGCATGTGCTTCAGGAACATCAGACACGGGCTGTGCCCCACTGTTCTGACCCCATCCAAGGGCGCTATTGTCCCAGTTAAGGACACTCTGAGTGTTGTCCTCTGGTCGACCCCACACACTATAGTCCGGCTCACCCCACGCACTATAGTCCGGCTCACCCCATGCACTATAGTCCGGCTCACCCCACGTGCTGTCATCCGGCTCACCCCAAGTGTCAGGTGTCTGCTTCCTTTGGGCTTCCTCGGTCGCACAGGTGATAGTTGCTGGAGGTGGGATATAATGATGCAAAGTAGAATCAATGGCGGCAGAAGTATTCTGAGAAACGCGGACCCAAATCGGAAGCGAGAATTTCTCAAACATGGGCAATTGAACTTGCCAAGGACAGTGAATGGAAGAGATCAAGGCTCCCATACGTGGCACGTTTGTCATCAGATCTCCAACAAATGAGCGCGACAACTCAAGAACCCATTCAGCAGGTATGGGATGTCAGGGGTCACTCGTTAAGATAGCCATCCACTGATTGGCACCTTGGTATCGACAACTCATGATGTACCATGAGCAGGTGGCGGCAATTACTGGAAATCCATCAGGCAATCACGAACGATGAATAAACTGGTTGACTTACATAGAAATGCATCACACAACCTTATTGCAACCTTCTTAGCAACGCTAGCGTCTGCATGCGACCATTGGTACCCATAGGTAGTCAGAGCACATGGAAGTTTAGTCCCCCACGGAATGAATAATCCAGCACCCAAACGTTCCTGGCACCAGAGCAGTTTCTGCTCTAAGTCGACCCATTTTGCCCAAATATCGCGGTGGAGAATGTGCTTTCCTGATGGATCTACCTCTGTAAGGAGGGAAAACCTGGAGTGGTTGAGGCATCCAAAGATCGGCCCATCGGAGCTAGGATTCAAAGGTACAAGGGGAAACCATGGACGAGTTCCGTACGCCCAGCGAGTAGTGAGTGGTGTATTACTATCATTGGGAGAACAGTCGTAGTCTTTGTGAGCATCCCAAGGAGGTTCGTGAGGTATGATGTCGGGAAGGGAGTGTGCGGTGAGAGAGGTATAAACCTGCCCATCACAGACGATGACTCGGAGATTGTTACTCATGGAAGCGAGGAGACGCAAAGAGTATCACAGTCAAGACTACCGCAACAGTACAAACTGTTATGTTAGATAAGGAAGAAGGTAACGAAATGAGAGAAGTTTGGTGCGTCTAATATAGACGTAGCGGAGTTTCAACAAACAATTACCATATCAGTGGCAACAATACCAGGGGGTGTGGTCTGTGGTCTGTGTGGATTGAGACAAGCGGAGGAAAACAGAACAATGCCAGGGCTGTGGCGTGAGATGAGTGGAGAAAATTAAAATTAAAAACAGGATTTCGACTATGTGGCTTGAGACGTGAAGTAAAGAACTACCAAATGAAGATGACATTTTCTGATGATTAAGAAAATGAATTTGGACACAGGCATGTATTAGAATCTTATGCGAAGTCTGAAGAGAGGGAGAGCTGGCAGCGACCTGAGCTTGGTGTGGATCATTGGCAGTAAAAGCAGAGAACGCCAGGTGGCACAACTGTACATACAGTCATGCCCTGGAAAAGGTCGTTGAAGGTCGTTGTCGACGAGTTTCCACCCAAGTTATTTCTGGGATAGGCAGTCCCATGAAAGACCAGAAGGATGTTAAACCCATGATCAATATGGGATGAAGGGTCCTATGGAAGACCAGGGAAAAGATGTTAAACCTATGATCAATAAGAGGAGAATAATGTCATGATGACTCACTTCATAGATCTGCAGCTTCTGCCCAAGTTGTTTCTGTGATAGGCGGTCCAATGAAAGAGCAGGGTAAGGATGTTAAACCCATGATCAATATCGCGAAGGGCTGCCATGGACGTCGAACCAGGAAGCGATGGATGTTGACTTAGAGTTAGGACATTGGCGGTGGCAATGAAAGTAGAGAACGCCGGGCACGACTGTACATACAGTCATACCCTAGAGAAGGTTGTGAAAGGTCACTATCGACGAGAAGTCTAGTGATGATGAAAGAGGAGAATGCAGGGCATGACTGTATGTACAGTCATGCCCTGGAAGGAGGTGAGGAAGGTCATTGTTGACAAGGAGAATGGCAGGCTCAACAGTACAAACCGTCGAACCTCCTAGAAGAAGGTAGTAAAGAACTTAGTAATAGCAATAAAGATGAGGGACTTAGAACTTTGGCGACGAAAGCGCCCAACAATCACAAACAACCATATTAGGAAATTGTTACATAACAATAGGGACTTGGAACTTTAGTGACAAAAGCTGGAGAAGGTCACTGTCGACGAGAAGTCTAGTGACGATAAAAGAGGAGAATGCAGGGCATGACTGTATGTACAGTCATGCCCTGGAAGAAGGTGAGGAAGGTCTTTGTCGACAAGGAGAATGGCAGGCTCAACAGTACAAACCATCGAACCTCCTAAAAGGTAGTAAAGAACTTAGTAATAGTAATGAAGATGAGGGACTTAGAACTTTGGCGACAAAAGCGCCCAACAATCACAAACAACCATATTCAGAAATTGTTACATAACATTGACTGCTCAAGCCTTTCAACCCCGATGTTTATCACAACTACGAGCATGACAGTATGTACTGTCGTGCTCGTCGAGTTCATCGTTCCTGTCTTCGGAGCATGACGGTATGTACTGTCATGTCTCATGTGTTTCAATAAATCCCATTACCACCCACCTCGCCAACTCCATCCTTTTTCGCTGATCAAGCCATCAACTCCTCCAGGTCATCCCCTCTACTGTACATACAGTAGAGTGGGCGATGGCTAATCCACCTTCGCTTACTGCAATCCTTTAGATCACGTTGGTCCGTTCCTCCATACATCCTCTGAGTCAGGTAAGCTCCAATTGTTGACAGATCCAACCATTAATCAACCAATAAGTCCAGCCGTCAACACCCATCATCTCCTCCACCATACATACAGTGGAGTGGGCAATGGCTAATTCGCTTTTGCTTATTGCGACCCCTTGGATCATGTTGGACTGTCCCGTCCATCTTCTACGTCAGGTAACCAAGTCATTTATTAAAAATCCAACCCCATTGACCAATCGTTAAACAATCCAGCCATTTGTCATATACCGGATCCGAGTACCCCCAGTACCTCCTATGAGCATCCCCACTGCTGGCCTGACCCCCTGTTTCCCCGTTCGCTTCATTCCTCCTTCCCCGACAATGCACGAAGTGCATCTCAGCAGGATTAGCCCTGCTACCTCCGCCCAACTTTGTTCCGCTCTTCCGACATTACCCCTATGTCCTCCGACCCCATACCCCTTCCATCCGACCCTATCTGGGGTTCCGCTCCTCCGCCCTATCGGTCCGCCCAATCCTATTCCTACTCCCTCCGCTTTTCCACCCCGCTCAGATCCTTTGGTTCCGCTCGTATTGACCCACCCGACCATTAGTCCGTCCGACCGCCTCACCAGTCCACTCCTAGACTAGGAACCCCTCAACTGGTCCTATCCCCGTTTAGTATTATAGTTCCGCTTTTCGGGTTGCTGGTAATCCCTATACCCTAGCGAGTTCTGATCCGTCGCGTACATACTTTCCTCCAAGCCTTTTCTCGTATGTCTCAGTCATCCTATTGTAATCCTGTACACTCAGCACATAGCCTTCTGCTATGCTATGCTCATCACTTAGAGTATATAAACCTATGTACACTTGTCTGTAGATACTCAGTCTGAATATTACCTTTTCTAAGCCCTGCTCTTCTGCCCTTTGACTTAAAGCTTATCCCAAGTCAAACTCCTGTTTCCCAGCCTAGGGGATTGACTCCCTAGGTCAGCTGTCCTCCGATCCTCCGCTTCCCCGCTTCCCCGTCCCGCTGGTTCCGCTGTTCCGTTGTTCCTCTGTTCCATTGTTCCTCTGTTCCGTTGTTCCCCTGTTCCTACATTCCTCCGATCCTCTGTTCCCCCGTTCCTCTGCTCACCCGACTTCCCGTGCGTCGGAACTAAACCCTGCACTCTCGCATCCATCCCCTCTGTTCTGCTCTGCATCAGACTTCGTCCAAGCAGTCCCTCCTGCTCCGCTCCTACTGTTGGTTCTGACCCCAGTAGTTTCCCGCTTCCTTCCTGTCGGGCGGAACAACCCCCACCCGACTTTCCCGCGCTCACCTAGTAGTCCGTCAGTCCTCCTTCAGAGGACCCCCATTCCGACGTCCTGTTGGAACCCATAGAACTCGTGTTGGACTACACCCCGAAATTAGGGGCATGTACTTGGGTAAGGGGCGCAGCGTACGAGCTGAAGCCAAGCCCCTCAGACTCCGCTTTACCCCTGAGCACGGTCTTAACACCGTTAACCCCTCCACCATACATACAGTGGAGGGGAATTGACTTATTGTATGTCCATCTACCCAATGCGGTGGAGGGCATAATGCAAAACCTATGTCTATGTTCAACTAGTGTGCTACATGTACTGGATGAGAGATAGGTCCTTCGTCTCTTCACCTCCTTTCGCTGCTCGTGGGTAATCAGTATTGCGCTTGCCCCTATGTTCATCTTTGTCGATCTCTCCATCCGCTTCTTGAGCTAGCTCCATGAGCTTTGCCGCTAATTCCCAGAGCATCATAATGTCGTTTTTGACGTATCCTTCGGTCGGCCCTTCCTTATCGTCCTTCTTGATATCTACATACTCGTCAAATATAATGGCAGCTTGGACACACTGTGAAAAGTCATCAGTCACATTAATCATTGTTGCCGAAGTCATGTACCCATGTACGCGGTTCAGTGCACTATCCTGAAGGTGTGTTAGTTAGATCCCTGCTGACCAACTGGCCCACTTACCTAAAAAGCTGTCTCTATAATTTATCAGCAGGAAGACGCTCATAGATAGCAGTGCCAGTAGTCATGTCAACATCACCAGTATGTGCGACAGGGACCAGTAATCCCCTGAGGGCGCCTTGGATACCTTCGGCACTGTGTAGTTGTACACCCATATCTTGATTGTAGTTTTCCCGCGCCCTGGCACAGGGTGAAGTGCTGGCAATTGTGCAGCGGCCATTGAGATCGCGTGTCTAAACCAGTTTAGTGACATTCTTTCCGACTAGTCTTAATACTTACGGATATTGTTTGCACAAGGCCAGTGTCCGCATGGTGGAGGGTTTCAAGTATCTGCCCTGTCTTCCGATCAAATATGTATACTAGCCCATGGTCACTTCCTCCCACAACTACCTTGCCTTCTTCCCTGAATGCCACTTGCTTCAGGACTGACACGCTTGGCAAACCAGTTGCAAACATTTGAATAGGCTCACCATCACCTTCAAGGCGATATAATGTAAAGCCGTCTGTTGCATTATCTACAATGAAAACGCCCCGCTTTGAGTACACCACAGCATGACCACTATATAATGTCAGTAACGCGCCCAGGTCGAGAGCAGTAGTTCCTCACATCATTGATTTGCAGCTAATTTCTTGCACTATGTAGCCATCTTCATCCTTCAGTTTCATGCTGTTCGGCTCTCAGCATCAGGCAATAGGCAATGAAAGTATGCAGTGGAAGGACTGACAAGTTGCCATCATAGAGCCCGAACACATAGATGCTCCGGTTATCTGCAAACGCTACTGACTTGGGCACCGTATTTTCAAGTCGCACTGCAAAGATGGACTGGAGCTGCGAGCTTATGTTGAGCGTCAGAACCTGAACCATTTTGTCTCTAGTTCCGACTACAATTCGCAGGTTGCCTTCAAAGGAAGTTGAATGCCATGACAAGCATGTGATCTCAAAACCTGATCCCAGTCTCCTGGTGCATATTTCCTGGAATTTTTCCTGTTGGTGTCAATGGACGGTCGAACAGCAAACCTAGGCCCTTACATCTGTGAGACTGCATCGCAAACATACAATATAACCCAGGCCTGTTCCATAACAGAGGGTTTCTGCCGTGGTTTTCATAGTCGTGGCCCAGATTGCGCAACTGACTGTTCCCCTTGATTCATGATGATTAGCCGAAGATGTGAGTTCTTTCCGAGATTTGATATCCCAGAGTTTGATTCCCTTGGTACCTGTTTGTTTGTTAGCCCTGTCTATGATTGAGTTTCTGCTTTCTTACCACCACATGCAAGCAGGTGTCCATCATTAGAAATTGCAAGTGCATGGATAGAGCCATTATAGGCAGTTAAACGAGCGAGCAGCTTGTAACGCAGTGGCTGCGCTGACTTGTTGAACAATGCAAGGAAAGACATTATGATATGATCCACTGTAGTCGCCCACTCACAATGTATTTATCTGTACTTCTCATTTGTTTTCAAATACTTTTGTATCGTTACCGTATTTGTTTGATTCCATGGTAACTTTATAGTCATTGTCGACGCCATTTGTGTAGTGCTATTCTGCTATTCTTCTTATTCTTCTCTTGAGATATGTTGATGGCTACCCCTATTATTCTTATTCTTATTCTTTGTAAGTGCTATTCTTGGTTACCATTTTCGAAGCCCCTTATTGTTTTCGCTCAATATGGTAGTCTGTTGAATGCTTTACCTCTCATGAACCGTCCTTAAGTTCCAGGTAGCTACTCAGTTCTTTCTCTATCATGCGCAGTACTACAATTGTTCCACCTTTCTATGACTTGGAGCCTGGTGCTCCACCACCTCTTCCCCCAATGCTCACGGACCAGCTGGAGCTGTTTGGCAATGCCAATCGTCGCCCGACTACACTTATTGCTGATGAAATCCTAGTTCCTAAAGCTAGTATCATTCTTACTGCAAGGGCTTTGTCGTCTACACCCGCCCCTGAATTCAAGCTTGCGAAGCAGATGCGCAAGCATTCTGATCGCTCTTCCTCTCCATACACCAAGAAAGTCACTTCCACGCACTCTCATTCTCGAATGTCTTCACCCTCAGATTCCTCAGGCTCTTTGGATTCTTTCTCAGATAGCGACTCCTCAACTTCGAGCGTGAGTTTATCAGAAGACTCAAAGATTCCTAAACCTGCTGGTGAACCTGGGCATCCGGGGCGTGGGGGGTACATGCTTCGCGAAGCTTTAGATTGGAATCCAAAGGCATATGCAAAATTCAAGGTTTGCAAATTGTCATTGTACCCTTAGTATTGCAAATTAACTCACGAATTCCTAAGAGGTCTATGCATAGTCTCATCGAGGACCACCTTGACACGACAAAATGTGCTTCTGCCCAAAGTCCTGTGCTATTGGACGTCGTGCGTGGCAAGGTGAACAGTTTCGCAGAGTCTTGATATTGTCAATGAACTTATCATCTCAGGCGCTCGACAACTTCCCAGACCTTGACAATTATAACAACTTGTGGCCAGTCAATTATTTGATCATGACACACCTGAAATACACGTCTGGTCGTGCAAGATGAAAGGTGGGAGAAATGGCTGTAGGCAAGAGCAAGAGCAAGGTCAGGAAGTGATACCCCCACTGCATTAGATGTCTCCGTCATTATTACGTGCTGTATGCATTCTATGTTAAGCTGGCATTTCAAAATCAAGCATATTCATTTACGGTATCAGACAGGATGGAATACCAACTAGTAACCATGAGTTTTACGCACATCAGGGAGAGCGAAACTACATCATGCAAGTCGTCTGCGAAGCTACCTAGAACCCGTCAGTATCAGTTCAAGCCGGTGCTTTCGAATGTTTGGTCAAGATCATCATGGCACTGTACTACAACAATATGGCATTCTATATGGAACAGATATTGTTATCTGCAGTCCAGCTGAGAAATTCGGTATGTAATAATGCTTTCGTAGTCTAGGAAATTATATTACTCCACACCTTGCAGCTGACCGACAATTGGTACAAGTGCTCAAGGGTTTCACAAGAGTAAGATCGCGTGGGAGCCTAGCTCTTGGACGACTACTTATGCTTTGCGCAAAGCTGAAAAGATAGTTATGGTAGGCTCAATAGATCATTGAGTTTACTCACTGGTGAATTATAAAGTCAGCAAGCGCATTATCACTGGCTCGCATGTTCACAACTGAGGGATGGTTGACTCCAACCCTCATAACAACTGCATCGCCTCGGAACTTATGATCACCCCTGCTAAGAAGCATGTTGGCTCTGAGACGAAGATGTCGCTTGAAGAAGATGCAGAATCGATAGATGTGTCTCCCTTCGCACACATTCACGAAACAGTTGTGAACATAAGGCTGCATGGTAGCCTCCTTGAGAAGACTTTCAGGAACAGGAAAACACTGAGCAGTGCGTGAGCGGCCAGAGCAACGCGTCAACATAGTGACCTGACAGGGTCTGGTCCACGATGCTGAATATAGCCTACACCACAGGTGAAGCTCCAGGGTCTGATTTGAAGGTAAATAAAGGGTGTGAGGTAGTAAGCGATAACTTACAGCAGATGTTGGAAGGATATATGTGCGAGTGTTTACCATCTGATTGTAATTCGATCAAGGCAATAATCTAAGAAGTGGGCGATGAATGCGGGCGATGAAAGTGGGCGATGGAAGCAGGCTATAGCAGCGATCCATCTTTTAATAACTTCATGTGCTGAGTCAAAGACAATAACCATAATCGCTCGGGGGATGTAGTTGATGAAAAAAATAGCGGAGAGCCAAACTGAAGCATGACAATACTGCAATGATAATCCTGCAGCGCTAGTTGTCAAGGGTAATTGTATGAAGTAATATGTTCCTGTTAATACATTGGTCGCCAAGGGTAATTGTACGAGGTAATTGTAAGAGCAAATAGAGCAAAAGATAATTGAAAGCGATGAAGATGAACCTGGACCTGTTGGAACTTCTGTTGTTCATTCATACAACAAGACGTCTAAAAGAATCAAGACAAAAATGCATGCACATAACTTAAAAAGACCCAGGAATGATGTTTGCAAACTGACGATGGATTATTGCCTCGTTATGAGTGTCAATAACATTGACATTGACATGCAACATCCTGAGTTTCAGCCAGAAGACGTACAAACATCTCATGATGCGGATTTATTTGGTGATGATGAAGACAACGATAAGGGTGCTGGTGACTTCGTGGATGCTCTCAGTCAGCCTCACACCAGTGTGCCGTGACTCAACAAGAGGGCCAGAGATGAAGTGGTGTGTAGATAGTACGAGTCAGCTTCCATGACTCATAATGCCCATCCAGATATCTGGGAAGTGTCGCTTTCGTGAAGTCAACTATTCACAGATACTTCACCAGACTGTGTATGAACAACAAGAATATATTAACAATATTATACAGGAAACTGAAGTGGTACGCACAAGAAACTCATTGAAAATACACTGCTGATCATACCGGCAGATACACCGAGAAGCTCAAGACCACATTGAGGAGCAACAATGTATTGCAGAAGAAGAGCATGAGCGCCACATGCACGATTTCAACGAGCAATGGGAAGCAGCTCTGAGAGAGCGAGAGCAGGAAAAGCAAGTAAGTGCAACAGATGCATTCAGTCAGATGCATGCTTACAAGTTAATAGGAAATTCACACATGGCAAGAGCAGCAGCAAGCACTGCTGAGGAAGAATGTTGCTGAAGAACTAGCACGGCACGAAGCAAAAATAAGTGCAAGAAACGACCAAGAGGTGAGAAAGAACGACTGACCAAGGAATTACTAATGATGGCAAGTAGTTGACTGAAGAACTGGCACAACACAACGCAGATTTAAATACAAGAAAAAATCAAGAGGTGGGGAAGAATGACCGAACACGGGATGCCTCGAGACAATCAAAAAGATCAGGAAGACACATGGAACAACACGCAAGATGCGCCTGGTATCTGTAGTAGAGGTAAGTACTAAGCGGTTGGAACTCATTTTAAACTCACGTCATAGCAGGACACTGACGACCCTATGGAAACGCATTGAGAATGATCAGCGACGATTAAGCAAGAGCCACAGCAATTTCAGCCTGACGATGTCTACCCTATGTCTGCGATGGAAAATACGATCTCCAAAGGCATAGAGGTGGCACTCCGACGCATCCTCATCGATAAGGATATCCTGGTGTCCATGAAGTGTAGTCCTCGAAGGAAAAAGAAGCAGGATGATGAAATTAGGATAGAAAGGGCCGCAGAATTGAGCCACAAAAGAGACTTCCTTGTGAGAGTTAAATTTTTGACGTATATGCTGATGCTAAGCATGAAGTAGGGTGAAATCCAGCGTCTCCTCAAAGATACCTTCAGTATATCTTAAGATGCAGATTTTATTGTGCACCAACCAGCGGATTGTGAAGATGTGTACTCGTACAAGTATGAAGATGGCCCAGGCCCCAACACCCAGAATCTGGCCTTTGATCTCAAACACAGATTTAACACCCCCTGGAATGCGAAAATTCTCGATATTCTCCTTGAAGAATTGAAGAAGAGGAGTGTAGAAGAGGAGTGGCCGTTCCGGAGGTCGGATGGCTATTATAAGGCAATACTTGAAGATCGCTACAAGCAGCTGCGGATGGTCTGGAGAGCAGCACAACCAAAGGTTACAGCAAAGGGCAGCTTGGAGACTGCAGCAGAAGTGGAGGAGAGGTTAATTGCAAAAAGAGGTGAAAATCTGAAGTCGGTTCATCAAACAACTCGTCGGCAAAATGTATGTCCACAGCATGATCTCAAGGCTCTTTGGATACTAATGCATCTATAGAAATATCTCCGCAGAGCAAAAGTTCTGGAGCAAGTTATTGAGCTGAAGAAAGATGGTGAGGACGACGACATACCAGCTTGGCAGTGGCTTCAAAAACTAATCAAGACGCTGGGAGATGGGGGTATGAGTTCAGAAGAAAGTGACATAGAAAACGATGTCAAATGCGTACTCCGGGTCAAGAACATGGCATGGTGTCACGGGATAGAGCAAGAACTGAATATCATCGATAACCAGAGAGTGTTGGATGATGAAATTTTCGCACCCCAGGGTTCCAAACCAATGAAAAGAATATGCGCATCAGGAAATTCGACGACTGTACGGAACCCGGTCACTGGATTACCCAAGGCCCTATACAACAGCGGATGGTTTGAGGGTCTTACCAGAGGTCAGGTAGAAAGGTTGAATGTGTCAGATGAGACGTTCTGATGGATGACAGTTGGGGTAGCATAGTAGCATGTTGAATAGACAGTGTAAGCAAACCGCAGGGAACAGAAGATAAGTCAATTCCCCCTCCACTGTATGTACAGTGGAGGGGTTAACGGCTGGATTGTTTAACAGTTGGTCAATGGGGTTGGATTTTTAACAAACGACTTGGTTACCTGACGTAGAAGACGGACGGGACAGT